TGATACCAAGGCAGTGATCTGAGGATGGATTACCATCCTAGGGCCAAGCGCAAGATAGCTGAAGTACACTGATGCCGGGTGCTGGTTAACAACCCTTTACTACCCTTGTTTTTCTTAATTTTGAGCTGAAATTCAAGTAAATTTAAGTTAGTATCTAAATCTTCCTTTTTACTTCAAAGGGATAGTTAAAAATCCAGAATCGTCATTATGTTTGTATTAAGGGGTTTGTATCTAGGAGAGCTCTAAAGTTGCTTCATGCACTGTGAGAAATGCTCTCTTTTATACATTTCTTTATTTTAAAAATTGATACATTATAAGCACGTAGCTTTAACCAACTGAACTACGCGGGGAAATTAGTTTTAGTTTGTTATAATTTATATGTCCATATATTAAATGCTCAATTGGGTACCTTAGTAATGTTAGATGTTTTAAAAGCTACATATTTTTGTGAGTTTGCGAGGTTAATTTTATATAATCCTTCTATATTTTCAGGTTTGTAAAAAATCAAGTTATCTTTTGTCTTAGTGGCTTCATTGTTGCTAAATGTTTAGTACGGTCGGTTTCATCTAACTTTCCTGCGGATATTAAGTTATGTTTGAATTTTGGGCCGTATATAGCCCTCCCTTGATCGAGTAAAATGTCTTAGGTTTTTTTCATGTTTTACATTGTTTATAAGGCTTTCGCCATTGAAGTAGTGTGGGTAAGCCGCGGTGTCGAGTATTGATTCAGCCGGTTTACTGTATTTTCCTTCAAGATACAGGTTTTCCGTATTGTGGTTGAAGCGTTTAAGTGTTTGCATTTTCGTAAGCAAGCTTTTTCCGTGTGTCCTTTTGTGTGACAATAGATGCATATTGAATTAATTTTGGGACATTTATATGTAAAATGTGGTTCTGTGCATCTGATACAAATAAGCTTTTTTACTCTTTTTTCAATGGGATTCTTGTAGTTATTATAGAAAGAGGTTAATGACTGAGAAAAGGTGTTTTGGAGTGGTAAAGTGTTGTCGTTTCTGCACTTCTAACATGACTCGTTTTGAGTATTCGTAATTGAGTTGTGGATTTGTTATTAGAAAGTGTTTCGGTAATAGCACTCTGTATGTGTATAGTTCTTCGCTGCGAAAGATGATAGCAAGTGATTTGAGTAATTCCACCAGTTTCGGTAGAACGCTTTTTTACGTCGTTGTCATTACAGAGTTGTATGACAGAATCTCCTAAGTGATCGAGTCTGTTGGTATATTGTTGTTTGTTTCCGTTTTCTTGTCGGTTTGCCAAACAGAGTTCCCCTAACTTCCTCGCGAAGGTTATGGGTGATTGTCTCGAAGGCGTCTCGTATTCGTCTGAATAGCGAGTTCAGGATGTTCAAAGTTTAAATCAGCTTTTTTGGTTAAGAATTCAGAACTTTCATGTATAATTCGCGATCCTTTAGCCGTTTGTGAAATTTTTTCAGATGAGAGTTTTTGATCCTCATTAATTTTTTCATTAGGAAAAAATAGGTTTGTGTATTTTATGTTCAATTAAGTATAAATTTGGTTTGTTTTATCCAGTGTCGAAACTGGTCAGCTCGTCTTGGTTGTATCCCTCTCCACGCGCTCTTTTCGTGTTCGGTGTTGTCCACGTTCTAAATAGTAGAGTTACGTGTTTATAACGAAACAAAAAAAAGGTATAAAAGAAGCTTACTAAAATCAAGAATAAATTTGTTGACCAGATTCGGTCTGTATTTTTACCTTTACGAAGGGTCGAAATACGCTTCCATATATACGAACAGTAATTTTAACTGAACCAGATAAAATTTAGTTTGCTTACTTTGTATCCAATTAATAATGTAGTCAAATTAAAATTTTTGTGTTGAAATTTAATTTCTCTTGTATTTTTGTTGGTTGTTTCTTGGGTTTCTGATGGGATTAACCACGGATTATTTTCCTATAAAAATTCTGAGGGTTGGTGTTTTGTGTTTGTTAGTATTTTGTTTGTGTTTTTGTGGTGTACTTTATACTTAATGTATTAAACATTATGTTTTTTGTAATATGTTTATTTTTTTTTTCTATTTGTATTATGTTTTTCAGATTATTCTGTTTTTCTTTTTTTGTATATTGTGTTTTAAATTGTCTTAAATGTTGTGTATACTAAGTTATTATGCTATAATGCGTAATTATAACTTTATTGGAGGTGAAAATCAAGTTTAGTGCTGCACCTTTAATACATAGTTGCGTAGGAAGACTAGGTGTACTAGACTACCTTAACTAGCGAAAAGGCTAACATAACGAGTAGTACGAAACAACGCTTTTTGCCACTTTATCTCTTGCAAAGGAATGGTTGGTCACTGGTACTATTTATATAGGTGTTTTGTACTAGAATTGCACTAGAAATTTATCTGTATTAAGCTAGAGGCAAAAAGAGCTCTCTTCCTAGTGTATGGTTCGATCTTAGTATTCTTCTACATACTAGCACTGATAAAAATAGTGTTATAATATTGTTTTCTAATAAATAGACCACTGGACTCGAACCTCCAGCTCTCGAGCTCTCCATTATTAACTAGTTTCTCAAAACAAGGAGCAATCTTACTAACTTTCTTTGAGCTCACTTATGTAGAACTCTGAGCTCTGTTTAGATTACAGTCCGTTAAGAGCGGAATTTAGTCTTTGAGAACTTGTGAGTTGCTCACAGATTAATAGTTTTATATCGTAATTATTGATAGCATTTTTGCTCTGGTATTATTTTTTAGACCAATAATTAGTTCGCTAAATGAAATTTACTCTTGTTTTTAGCTTTTTTATAAAGTCATCATTTCTTTCTCTTAACCAATTGCAAAATCAAGCTGTTTTGCCCAATTAAGTCTATTGTTTAAGTTGACTTCCAAGTATTTAGCTAAGGTAGATCAAGTCATCCTTTTTTCGTTAAGTGATAGTTTCCTGGTAGTTCTGTTCTTTCATATAAGTAAAAATTTCTATTTACTTTAAACCTGTTTTATATTAAATATAAGAAGATAACTAATTTCGAGCGGCTAATTGAATTTGGTCTAATAAAATTTTAGCGAAGATATTATAATGATATCGACAGCGAATAGTACAACGCTAATAGCATTAGGTAGTGAAAAACTACGAAATAGTCCTTGTTTACCGGAAAGATGAGGCAGCACCCTTTTCTATCTAAAATTTACGGCCTTTTAAAAACTAGGCAATTAAGTTATTTAAGACTTCAGTTCATCATAACAGGTGTTATTTACTCTCTTTCTCGTCTAAAAAGTCTAACAGTCTGTATAAATTAATGATTTTAGGGAGCGAAGTTTCAGGAATTTCTTTTTTTGGCTTATTTACCACAGCTCTAAGTTTACAATTCATTTAACTGGAGGGAAATATTTAATTAAATAAGATGTGCATGACCAAACTTGTTTGCTCAGGATTGGCTAGAATTTAAAATCTCTGCATAGTCTCTATATCAAACTAACACGTAAATTAATCAAAAATTTTTGTTGAAAATGCTTCCGCGCCCAAAAATTCGGCCAGGTTATTTCTTATGAGAGGTCTAAACGTAAATATGTACGGCAGTATAGAAATTTAACGGTCAATGAACGACGTTAAATTAATTTAGAATTAGATGCAGGTTAAAATCTATTTTTTAAAAACTTTTGAAAGTTATATTTAATATTTAAAACTCTTCATGCTATCCCTTGTTCTTCTATATCCCTAGCTATAACCAAAAAAAATTTATATGCCTTATTACCCATTTAAACTAAAAAATTAATTAAATAATGTAGCTCTAAGAAAATTTTATAAGTAATTAGATTTTTAAATTTAATAGTAAAAATTTATAATATTGTACAAATAAAAGAATTTTATTTTTAGTAAGTTTATCAAAATAATAGTACATATATATTTATAAAGCACTTAAAAGAGCTCAGAAAAGGCTGAAATTTCAGAAAAACTACATCTGATCTTCAAAAATTAGAAATTTTTATATAGATTGCGTCTTGTATAAAACTTTTAGTAAAAGGTCTAAACACTAACAACGAAAGCCGCTGGAATTTATATATTAGATGCTGGTGACTGAATTATGACTTATCTTGGCGAGTGTAGATGTCGACTCTACTTGAACGTTATAATATTGGTTGTATGCTCTCATGCTGTTTAATATGTCTAATATTGTTAATTATAGAATTAAGATTAGATAATTGTTTCCAAGTTTATAAAAGAAACGAAATTACAAAACAGAATAACGTGCTGTTTTAAATAACTAATAAATTTTATCTTGATTTAAGATAAAATAATTATTTTTAAGTTAACAAAGGAAACAAAATTAAAAAACAGAATGGCGTTTAAGGCTAACCATAAAAAAACGATTCACCTGTTATTAACTGGTTGTGTTATATACTAACTTGGGTTATAAAAAAGTCTGTACCGTTTCTCAGTAACTTTTTCTATAGATAAGAATTTACTTATTTTTGTATAAGACGAAACCCCGAAGACACGCCTTAAATTTATTTTACGAATGTTTTTTTAAAAACTTAATTCAAAAAATCCTAATTTTCACACGATCTAATGTTTTATTACAAAGGATACATTCAAAAAAGCTAATATATTGTAGTTACTAAGTAAAGCTTGTAAGTTCAGATTGCTTTATATAACAAGAGTTTTTGTAAACAGACTTGAAAAACAACGAAGAACGGCGGTGTAAACAAAAATGTCTTTATAAAAGGTAGTCAAAAGCGGGCAATGACTACTTCGGAATTATAACGTATACAAATTTATAAGCTAGTAAATACATCTCAGCTAAAATATTAGAAGGGCACACATCTCTAAAGGCCAACTTCATTACTTGTTAAGGATTTATATACTGCAGCAGTACTCCGGGACTATATAAAAGAATGACTTAGTAGTTTTAAACTGTTTTCTCAGCAAATCGTTTCCGCCCTCTAACTCCAGTGGATGATAATTAAAAACATGTGAGGGTATATAGGTGACTTCCATTATTCCTGTCCTGTAGGTTGTTAATGAAACAGTTGCCGGACCCTTGAGCCCGTAACTTTTTGGATATTCTACACGAATTGGAGCCAAGTTGTCTGTCTACTTGAGTCAGGTCGCCTCTAAGACAAGAGCTTTTGTTTTTGGATTATAACCATGTCAACTCGTGACTTTGAGAAAAAGGGTGCTTGTTTTTTTGTCATTAATGTCCATATAATAAGTCCAATATGTGTTTACTTCGTATATAATATACAAAAAGGGAATCCTTTTTTTACCAAAACCGCTTTGCCTACGTATGAGTTAACGGTTTTGGGATACGTTGAATCAGTGTTTCGAACCAAAAATGGCACCCCAAGACAAGTTTTTAAATACTGTTAGTTTGAAATAAGTTTTTTTTAAATAACTTTTAGTCCAGTGTTGTCCCTAACTCAAAGGCTAGAGTTCATATTTTGCTTCATGGCAATAAAGGGCATATACTAGAAGGATTAGAAGGTTAACGTATATGTTGTTTTAGCTGTTTGACTTGCTTGTAGACTATATGAGTTTTTAGAGTTTTCACATGTATGGCTAATTTTCTTGTTTAACTGCAACAAGCAGAAAAATGTCAACTACAAAATAAGGGCAAGTTTTTTTTCCCTTATAAGAGCTGTGCTGTAATACAAGTATATTATAATAGCCGCCTCGCCTAAAGGAAACCCTTGGTGTGTTTAGTACAAGGTCCCCCCACCGCCCTAATCCCCTCGGCTTAAGGTTATTTCGTAAACAAGAAGTTTGATCTTTTTACTAAAGTTTGCAATACTTCTTAAAAAGTTAGTCTTGCTAAGTTGGATAAACTTGATCACAATAATGGTAATGGTAATGTATTTATTTGCGTATGTGGTAGTGCACTTCTATTTTGGCTAGGCACGCTACACTTGTCCCGAATCGACTTGGTGCACGGGACGCCAATTCTGGATATAAAGCCTTATATAGAAGAGTAGTTTTTTAAGTTATACATTCCTTTTTTATATTATGACTGTTTAGTTTTGATCGCGCTGAAGGATCACTTGTTCCCCAGTGGCTTACGTCAAGCCGTAAGAAACTTAATTAACCTATTACCTAAATATACTAACTTTTTTTATTTCAAATTATAGTTCAACAAAGTAAGTTTCAGGTTCTGATAAGTGAAAAGGCCCGAAGACAAGTGCAATACAAAATCAAAGCTAGACAATTAGATTTCTATAAATCAGAAGAAGAAGTGCTCTTAGTTATTACCCAAATTTTGGGTGAGTGACTAGATTTAACTATTTTCAAAAAATTTATATATTTAAAATGTGAATCAGAAAACGATCCACGGAGTCGTTATAGGCGAAAACAGCATGAAAACCAAAAAAATTTAGATGTGTGTAAAAAATTTAATATTTTAGCACGCCCTAAAAAATTTTTTCTTAGTATCAATTTCCCCTCGACAACTGTGTAGTCTGCTGCAAGTACGATCCCTATGATGCTAAAGTTCATGTGTATGCTGTGGAGAACTGGTTTCCCGGCTGGAACCACACTTTAACAAAGTTCGAAAATGAAAGCTTCGAATAATAAATTTATTGTAAGTATTGCAAACTTACCATTTTTACATACTGTCGACGGTTTTCAAACCAAGTAAATAGAAACACTGACGAAAGATCTGAAAAGCGTACTAAATTCATTTAAGAATTTATATTTATTATTATAAACTTACTATGGCTACGGCGTCACATAAAGTTAACCGGTTTATATTAACTTTTATAACTGTTCCTGAATAATAAAAAGGTGAAAAAAAGTAAATACGGTAATTCAAATTTAAAGACCTTCTTGCACTTCAACACACTTGCAATCGCGATAAAAAATGTTAAACGTGTCGCTGAGGTTGTATAAAAACGAACATAATCCGTGCGGCATCAAGTCCTTTTCTACTGAAAAATAAAAAAAGCGCAGTATATTTTACTAATTTAAAAGCCCACCAATAGCACGAACTACTTCCGGAAACCGAAGCGTCTGCTTTATAAGCTTTATCTGCAGAGAATGAGCATCATAGCTTTCGAAATGGAATCTAAAAAAGGAAAAAACCTCACTGGGATGGTAGAGTTTTTCTAGGGGCGGTCTTCCGCTGAGAAATTCTTATAGAGGAAGAGTAGTTGCAAGGGGGCGTGCACAAGCACTGCATGAAAAGTACCTCCCGCCTTTTTAGATATCGAGACGATGCGCGCGTAGGAGTAAAGCAGACGAGCCGCGGTGTCCTGATAACGCTAATAAGCGCACATAGAAAACCTGGTCACAAGTATTAGCAACCCCCTTAAGAGACATCATCCTTTCAAAGGAAAAAGAATAATCAGCAGTCCGGCGGTTCTTGAGATCGGCGTACTTAATGGCGGAGTATGCGATGACCTGAATAAAGTGAAATAGTGAGGGACCTGAGAAGGAAAAAGAACGGCCTCTATTGTTCGCAGAATAACCTCGTGCTTCCCCGAAACATCGGAACTGCCGGGCTCGTGGCTTTCAGCGCGTTTTTCCTCGGCTATAGTCGCAGCACTGCACAAAGAAGAATTGCAAGAGTTATAAGGAAGGCGGAAAAGAGGAGGAGTACTGCTGCACAGCCTTATCGAGCAAGTCCTGGAGTTTGACGGTTTCCCCACTTCTTGTCTTAAACTTCTTCCCGCTGGCATCATGGACGACTCCAAAAGCCACTAAGCGCGACAATCAAAAGAACAGAAGGGGAAAGAAAGACAAGTATTACCGTGTTCTACGCGATGTTTAGTAGGATCGAGGATTCCCGCAAGCTTTGCTGCTTCGAAAATGAGCTCAAAGTGGAGGCTTTGCCCAGCATCCACAACATAAAGTACCCAATCTGATATATAACATGCTATTATGCAGTCCCAACGCAAACGGAAAATGCGAGGGCTACCTGCTTTCATGTCAATCAATCGGTAGCGCAGAGCGGCCAAGTCGGAAGTGTCGTAAGTAAAACCACCATCTATACTTGGCGGGGGCTGTATAAAGGTTATGAAAATAAGCGGCCGCCCAATGGGAGTTACCGGACTTTTGCACGGTCAGAGGAGGCTTTCCTTCCATGCAGTACATGAGCTTCCTGCCGTTTTCGATTGTCAGCAGTCCTTAAGTATTGTTTACAAATATGTACTAGGCAAAAGCATACGACGGAAAAATACCCTTCGACTCCAAATACTGCACCATCGAAGGCATAAACTGCTGATAAAATGATTCGCCCTAATAATAAAGCTTACTTAAAAAATCATTATAAAAAGCTAATAAAATAACACCTTTTCCTCAATATTAATATCAAGCTTATCGTAAATGCGCTGGAACTCTGCTCTGGAAACGTCACAGATCAGCTTCCAAGCCCGCGTGACGGTTGGATCACCATTCTGAAGAGTGACCACTCCCTTTTTTATATATTTAAAAAAAAGGTCTCAACCATCCTTATTTGAAAAGTGTATTTAAATACTTTATAGGCTCTTTTCCTGAATCCTTCATCCTCATCAAACCGCTTTTTAGACTCCTGGTAAAACACCTGCAAGTCGCCAATAGCCGGTGACTCGGTGGCAAAATCGGGAAACTTATCCTTTGCAGAAGAAACAGATCGTTGACTAACGAGAATACGCTCTGCGAGGGACAACCTCCAGATGGCATATGAGCATCCCAAACTGTGTTCCCCAGTCGCCCACGTGGTTCAAGCGGAAAACCTCGTGGCCTTAAGGAAGCGCGGCAACGTGAAGATAAGCACGTTGTTGGCAGATGAGTGGAAGACCTAAATACTCGAAGACTCGGGAAAGTGTATCGCCGATAATCGTCGAGCGAAGATGCCCGACGTGCATTTGCTTAGCAATATTGGGAGACGAAAAATCTATGACTATTCTTTTTCTATGTATTATTGTAGAAAAGATAAATAGTTAATAATATCCTTGATGTGTTCATTCAATAAGGGTACTTGTGGGACGGCTTCGGGAAAACAGCTCCATTTCTATAAATGTTGTCCATAAGCTTGCAAAGAAAGTCCGGGGAAAAGGTGATATTAATAAAACCAGGCCCCGTAAGGCCGATGTCAGAAACAGCCTAAAATAAAGTTATAAGAAAAAAAGGATATATTTTTCCAAAAAGGCATACAGAAACGCTTGGAAAATGTTCAATTAATAACTCAGCTACTTCCTGTGGAGACTTTGGAGCTCCAGGCTGAGATTTTACGAGAGGAAAAATAGACAACGCCGATTGACATTGATAATCAGCTATTATAGTTATAATGATTAGTTGATAACAAAAAGAATTGAGTAATCCTTCAAGCCACTCTAAATGAGGACTGCTGTTCTTTTTGCTGAAAAATTATTATTTTACTAAAGTTAAATACTAGTAAAGGCTTCAGCATCCATTGTTGCCACGTATGAAGCTGACAAAATTAACGAAATTTTAAATAAAAATCGGTAGCCAACCAAAGTTTAAAATAAAATTTTTGGGTGACTGAAAGCAAGTTAAACCGTTTAACGCCTGTATAAAAATATTTTAAACTTTAAAACCTTTAAAATTTTGCGAACATGGTTGAACAGAAACAGGAAGACCTTGAAGCTGCGGAAATGATCTCTAGTTGATAAAGCAAAACAAAGGTAGGGCGATTTAGTTATAGAAAATATATATATTGGCAAAAAGCTTAAACCTCAATAGCCACTTTAAAAAGAGTCTTAGAATAAGCGCAAAGATCAAAGAGATAGCCCCCCCAACAAGATTCGTTAGGACTTAAAAATTATTGTTAGGTAGTAACTCTTAGTAAAGATGTATTGGTTTAGTAATATAAAAACTTTAATAGTATTTCTCTTTGTATTTCGGACCCATTTAAAGTTTCCATGACTCCTTCGAAGCTATTCAGGGCCTCTATCTCCTCAGTAACAGTTTTTAACTCTCCTTCCCTTATAATCATAAAGCCCAAACAGTAATAAGTTGAACGAGAATCACAGATGCAGGGGTACTACTTCTCGTTTACCCCACCACCTTAAGCACGAGGGCCTCTGTCAATAACGAATAATTTATAAGAATTAATTTTTTTTTTTTAATCGCTTATAAATATTTTGTATTTAAGAAATAAATTGTTTTAGGTAATTAACTAGTGGGAATGGTGGTCATTATTACTTGGCTTAATGCTGTGAAATTGTCTTTTTGTTATGGAGTTCTTTAAACGATCCTCCACAATAACATCTCTACTTTATATTGCAAATTAGGTTTTTAAAATAATTTTAGGACATGATTAATAAATTATTTTCTGCGCAAGATAGGCATCCACTTTTTGGTGTGGTGGGCAATCTAACAAACTACGAAGATCGATGCATTATAATATAGTGTTCTAACCCTGCTAGTATTTCTTCAGTTATCTATGAAGTAACCTTTTAATAATTACAGAATTACAGAATTTATTAAACCTAATTATTTTTGATCATTTGTCTTAATTTAATAGCTTGGTTCTTTAAATAAAGAAAAAAGTTTATATTCACTTACATCACCCACTATTTGACAATGAGGCGCGCTGACATTTATCTGGTCTGTGCGCCCGCACCTTTAAACTATGAATCTTGGCATTTTCATACCGCAGAAGAAACGTTATATCTGGTGCACTATAAATTTTTTTTATAATAGTAACTTTATTTAAGTCAAAAATGTAAGTAAAAGCATAATAAAGAATGGAAGGCTGTTAAAATAATAGATAGACCTAACACACCCCTTACCTCATTAATTAACTTACATATTAACTTTATTACTTTATATTCAATTTAAAATACATTATTTTAACACAACTTATATATTTACTAAAGTAGTTGCCAGTAATAGCATACTTTTAAAATATATAAGTTAAAAAAATACATAAAAATGTAGTTTGAATTTTTTTAAGCCGTTCGTGTGCAAATAAAAAAAACAAGATTTAACTTATTTTTTTATACCTCTCTCCTAGTAAAGCTATGATGAGTGCGATTAAACTGATTGGAAAAAATTACTAATATTGCAGAAAACATGGTAAACAAACTTTCTGTCTATTTAAAAAAATTTAAAGGATCTTAATCGTTTTGGAAATTTTACTCACAAATCAGTTTTAGTGCACTCCAAATTAGCTAATACTTGGAGCGTTACGAGTTTTTGCGGGAAAGTTAGTAGTTTATAATAAGAAATATTAATTAATCTAAGTAGAAAGCCTTCAAGAGTTGCTACGTTAAAGCTTTTTGTAGGGTAAAGAAAAATGACCGTATGCTTATATTTAAAAATTACTTTTTGACCTTAGTAAAAAGTTTTCTTTACGTGTAGTAACTTACCGCTATTCCCCGTTAAACCAAAATTCAAAAGACTTATTCTTCATTCTTATAATATTCAATTACCCACTAAAGGAAATTTGATTATTCTATTATGGACGTAGCTGAAAAAAAAAAGCTGCAGATTTCGACTATGTGCTAATAAAAGCAAGCGTAAACGATATGTTTCAATAGGTGGCAAACAGCACAAGTTTTCCGTTATTGAAGGGCAAGTTAAAATTTTTTAAATCCTCTCCATACCTTTTTAATGGTTTACATACTTTTCCTTTACTTTCAAGAGTCTTTCCCTGCAAGGCTTTTTTTTAAAAAAAATTGGGGCAGAAGAGACCTTGAAGGGATAGTGCGTAGCCCCTTAAAAAGTTTTTAATGGCAGCAGCCTCCTAAGTTACTATCCTTTTTTTTTCTTCTTTTAAAAAAGAATAAGAACTTTTCTTCGGATCTTTTTTTTTAAAAGGCTTACCCTCTGAAAAGTCAAAGACTAATCCAGAAAAAAAATCTAGTTTTTAAACGATTTAGCACAGTATAATAAAGGTTAGGAGGGGGGACATGCGTGTGAAGGCAACTTTTGAAAGCTCTAAAGGCAAGAATGCATCACCTCATTAAATTTTTATATTAAATACTATATATAACTTAACCCACAAAATAATTAATAGGTAATTTACTCTATTTAAGTACTTTTTATCCTATTAAGTTTGTGGAATTTTAGTTGAACACTAGCATTTATTAATAAAATTAGAGTCAAGTTAAAATAAAGACGGCATGACACCGCTGGAAACCTAATACTCTCTGCTCTGTCCCCTAACTGCCTTTTACTGTGTACGCCGTATATCTATTCATCCCCATGGGTGCATATACTTATTATAACGCTTCTTACAACTACTTGTGATAGTAACATTATTAGAATAAAATCTTCCCCAAGCTAAAATTTTGGTTGGACACTTATGGGATAGAATATATTTTATTACTGAAGTTATAATAATTGATTTTATTGTGAACCCATTAATACCCTACATAAGTAAATAGCTTGGCCTTAACTAAGTCGCTTAACTTCTATTTTATATTTTCCTTCTCATTTACTCTTGTACTTTTTTGTGTTCTATTGCTTATAAACCATTATATATATATATATATATATATATATATATATGGCTTATCTTTTTATTATTTTCCTCGCGTTCCCAAAGTAATGATATTAGGAATTTAAAAAGATTTGCAAAAATGTCAGTAAGTTAGTGATAAGTGCTCACCTAAATAGTCTGGAACATTCGATCTATAAAATTTTTGGGCTATTATAGGAAAATGTTATGGCTCTAACTTCTAGCTAGAGAAAAAGTTTCTAAAGTAGTGCCGAAGTTTAGAGAGCTAAAACATTGTTAAATAAGCAAACTCATCTTTGGAGAGACTTGGCAAGAAAGAGAAAAGCCAACTAGTCGTTACGAAGATTTCTTCGGTAGTGGCGAGTCTCAGAGCACCATTAGTCTACATTTACAACTGCTAAATTACTTTTCAAATTGAACCAGAAAATCAATAGGAAGTTTAAAAGAAATATTTTTGGCAATATCAAAAGAAATTGCCTCTCAGCAGTTAGTGGCTTATGTGAAAATTTATATTCAATTTTTAATAAAAAAATTTCAGCATACGTTACTAATTGCTGATGAACGTAGTAAAGGGGCCGTAATCCCTTAATTATAAATTGTTATATATGCAGATTTTTACAGGACCATAACAAACCAGCATTTAAGTTAATAAAGTTTTACAGAAGTACTTTCTAGTTGGTGCCTTTAGAAGTACATCAGCTTTTCAATTTATAAATATGTTTAGTCTCCTATTTTGCCTAGCAAATCATAATTAGACTTGTTTTCTAGAATTGTCCCGATTAACCATCTTTACTTCACATAACCCTCAAGATTTAGTCGTATTAAGCAAAACCTAACCGCTCTCAGCTTTGATTCTTATTAGTAAAGCATGTTTAGCTCGGTGCTCTAAAAATATTTTCTTTTTCTTTTTGACCTTTTACTGTCTTTTACTACTATATATATATATAATTAATTCAATTTTTTTTTTTTATCGTTTGTTTTTTTTAGCTGCTCCTGCATACTTTTTCTCATAGAGGTTTAGTTAAACCTGCTTCTCCTTTAAGACGGCTTAAGGCCGCTAAAATCGGAGAGGTATTCGTTATATGTCCGCACTTTCTTAAGTAAAGACGTTATTTATTTTAGAATCTACCCTTCAAAATTGGGCCTGACCATAGGTTGAGTCTCGGCATAAAATTTCTTGTTTTCATGTTATTTGGATTTGGCAGCCCCATAGCTATTGTTTACTATCACAAATCTAATTCCGCATAGTTCCATGAAAAATATATAGGACACTTTTTTCCTAAAAATAAATTCTATCTAGGCATGGCCTTTGTGATCTTTTTAACATCTAAAAGTTTATTGATCTTTTTGACATCTAAAAGTTTATTTAATCCTCATGGTTTGCGAGTTTTAGATAATTACTCAAAGATTTTTATTAGCCCTTTTTTCCCCTTTCTTTTTTTGTTTCTTAGCCACAGCAGTTTGAGTTTTTTTGACCAATTTGCGAACTTGCCTGTCTTTGTGGGCCAATTTTAACTCCGCTTATCTACTTAAAGTTAAACGCTTTTCGTTAAAATAGAACTTATTAATACCTCGTTTGACACGTCGAGCCTGCCACATTTGATCTTTTTTATAACTTCCCTTGCTGATTCTACAAAAACCTATCAATTAGAACATTGCGAAATTTATTAAATCTGGAACCGTATACATTTAGAAAGATGTGCACCTCCTCTACATTCTCGGTCGTTTTCGCAGAGGTTTCCATAAAGTAAAGGCCGTGCTCCTTCGCAAACGTCTCAGCTTCCTCTTTGGAGACCTAATTTATTACAGTATTGTTATAAACCTCAGTTTTTTCTCAAACTAGATACCTTTCTTTGGGGATGCATATCGCACTTGTTGCCCACAAGCATAATCACCATATTGTTACTTGCATACTGTTTCACATCGCTAAGCCAAGTATTTAGATGGTTAAATGTTTCCCTTCTTTATAGATTAGTATCGCTTGAGAAATAGAGCCAAAAATTTAAATGACTATTAAATGTAGCCCTATTTTGTTACACCTAACTTTTATTGCCCTACTGAAATTATTATTTACGAAGTAAAAGAGTAATTTCAAATAATTTTTTTAAAAACCGTGAAATATCGTAGACCAGAAGAGCACACGCTGCTCCTCGATAGTAAGATCTAGTAATTGAACGAAAGGATTCCTGTCCAGCCTAGCAGTAAAAAGAAGTTTACCACAAAACTTTGAAAGTTACTCGTGGATCTACCGTATCCCATATTTGTAATTTATACTGTTTTCCTTCCAGAGCTATTATACGGGCCCCAAATTCGACCCCTATGGTTAAATCGTGCTCTGGTTGAAAGCGTTTATCAGTAAACTGAAGTAGTAGACATGATTTTCCTACCCCTTTTTTTAACAAGTAGCTATATATCTTTTGGACGTATATTGGGCTTTTATATTAGTAAAAAGATAACCTGTATCTCCAATTATTATGTATTTAAAAAGATAAGTGTAACTTGTCATTTTTCCAGAAGTCTAAAAGCCGATTTTAGTATGTTGAGACCTAAACATAATATATATAGTTTTTTTACTTAAACAAGTGACTTGTACAATATTTTGACAATCTATAACCTGCAAAAAAATTAAACTCAACAAAGGATCGTCAGAGTTAGCGACGGCAACTACTAAGTTGGTAAGAAGGTCGTGCCAAAGCTAAAATAGTATTACATTTATTTAAAAAAACTAACAAGCAAAAGAGGATGTAATACCTAACCTTAAGATAAGCAAATTCTCTGGGCTAGGATTGGTCTTTTCAACCATCCGTTGTTTTTCTTCTAACAAATACGAAATTTCTTTAATCTGTTAACTTATTTTTTAGTCGTTTACATATTATTACTCTTCTTAATGTTTTGTTTTAACATCAGACATATGCACGTTATTATATTGACTAAGCTTTTCTTAAAAAAGATATCTAAAAGGTTATATGGAGCATGTAAAATCTGTCCATAACCGTTGGATTAAATTATTTATTATTATAAAATTATATAACTTCGACTCTAATTTTAATACTACTACACAACAACGCTAAATAATAGATTAATAATTCTTATTAATATTTAGTTTTTTCAAATTAATGTAATATGTTTAGAATGTTATTATAAGCTAATACTTGCAACACCTTTATTATAACGACTAGGGACACTATAAACGAGAAATTTATAGTCTTTTAAGAAAAGTGTGAATATTAATCTTGGATGAATTGACCTAAATTCATCAATGAAATTAGAAAAAAAGGATATTTGGAATAGATAAAACTCAAGAGAGAACTTATAGTACTATCAGGGTCTTATATAATTATTAACGAATAGATTAGATTAGAGCTGAGGATTTACTGATCACGAATTAAGAAAGCTTTTGAGAAAATCCTTGCATTAGAAGACAAAATTTTTTAGGGTACAATGGATTTGAGAAATATATTGTCCAATTCGAGTGACTATGAAATTTAAATATGTGTTTTACTTTTTTATAGAAGGTTTAATCCACTGCTATTGAAGTCATTAAATAAACGCTCAGCTTGTAATCTTATAATAATTGTTTCCGACCTCAAAACTCATCAACGGGTTAACATAGTAATGTGCGGTCCTCACCAGTAATACCAATTTTTTGACACTTAACCTTTTAAAATTTATACAACTAATTTTATTACTAAAAAACTGCTGAAGTTTTTCTTTAGTTAGTCAAATTTAATATAGCTCCTTTTAACCAGTAATTGATGAGGTGGGTATGTCAAGCCCCACTGAAATTAATTACGTTGCCACATGGTTTTAGGTAGGTAGGAGATCGCTCACAGTCTAAATACTTTTCATTCAATTTGCTCTCTACCGGTGTAGTACACGCACAGTGCGGAATGATTCTTTAGTTTCAAGTTATTTCTCCACAAACCCAATTTGGGGTTTTTCAAACCCTACTCTACCTATGTTACTGTTTTTCCCTCGATTTGTGTGGCTTACACGTCTTCAGGACGTGTAGTAAAGTCGTATGACCCGGTTTTTAGAATGCGCAACAAATATAGATAACTAGTAAGAGATTGATTATAGTGGTGACGGAAACATTGTTGACCCGGGCTTCGTTATTGGCCATGAGAAAGATTCCGGCAAGAAGTTTGTCAAATCTGAACCTGAGGATTATCTATACGGTGTTGATCAGACAACGACAGTAGAAAAACAGAAGACAAATTCTAAAGCATATTATGAAAAAGGGTCTGCCTTCAGAACCTGTAAATCCCAAAGTTTTAACATAATTACGCATCTTCCAAACATAATTGGTCCAGCAAAGCAGAGAGGAAATTATTGTACTTAGCTTTCTGCTTGGAAGCTATATTGTTCGCAGAGGGTAAATTTTGGAGAGGAGCTCATAACACTAGTTACTGCGCTCTGATACTTTGGTAGTATACTCTGGGTAAGCATAACCTAAGACCCATATAATTAAGAGAGGCCTAGGACCAACGCAAAACTAGTATTACACAACTTGATAAATGCTAAGAATTTTATTGAATATTACCCATTAGTAATGAAGAACTTTGTCTATAGTGTGATTGGTTTTTTACCAACTACGTTAGTGAGTTATTAAGCCTAGTGTATTATTTTTATTAATTAACACCACACTAATCAAGCACACCATTAAATTGGGAAGATTTCAGGAATAGTCTGTACAAGGACTTAAGCTCCCAAACCACCAGCTAACCCAAGATCGTTAATTTATTGTTGAGAACCAATTACCTGTGTCATGGATAATTTTAATGACACTTTCCCTAACTACCACATTTTTTTCTGGTGATAATTATTGAAGGATAGTCACTTTTTTCATCATTTATGGAGTGTTAATCCCTATAATTCATCTTGATTTTTCTTGAACCTTCAATGGGATTAGTTTATTTATGTGTTGCCTTGCCTCATTTTAGTGCCTATTAAACACTAGCAGGTAGTTACCTAGTTAGGTAAACTATAATTCCTATGGCTTTTGCACCGTTATTAACAAATAGATTCCTGCCACTATAGAGATGAACAACTCAATGCTTAAGCAGTTCCGCTACAACAGTTAATAATTCACTAAGGTAACGATCGCATTAATAAAGTATTTACTCGGAAAGTGCATTATATTGTTAATCTCTGCATATAACTTTGTTCAATCCACTCCATAGACAATACAGCAGCAATCGACAATGATTCTTTAGTTACATTAATTATAATAATAGAGCAATAATAAAATTTAAACGTACACGCACGGTTGAATACTAATCCTGATACCTTAATATACTGTTAATTCTTTTATTCAATCATTTGTTTAATGGTACTATCTCTTGGTTCAGAATAGTCAACTAGTGTTAGAAAGAGTCAATACAACGAAAGACTTTAACGAACTTATGAAAGTACCATCTTAATTTGTATTTTTTCTACTCAAAGTAAATAAATCCCAGAAGGGCGACCGTTCTGCTTCAAAAGAAAAGAAAAATATATTGCCATTAATACTTTGCGAGTACTAGGTCTCTTACTCAGGTACGTTTATTCATTACCAAAGGTATAATATATTTTTATTAAGACAGCATTGATTACCCTATTAGCCATACCAAGGTCTTAATAAGATTTCGTCTACTTCTACTAAGAGGTTTTGCAAACTGAGGGGATAGCCAAAAGTTGGTAACTTAAGCAAAGACTGTGTCATAAGATGGGAAAAAGCAACGTCAACGTAAAATTAAAGGGAGGCAAGGTATTAGTTAAGTTAGCTGTTGAACAAACTCCTCTAAATCTACAAGGTCAAACCTAGCTCAAATACAAACCTTAGATTTTAGTAACACCTTCAATAAGATCTGCTGCTAGTTATTCTAAGGGGGTGCAAAGGAAAGGGCCTCATAACACTAGGTTTAGGTTGGTTTTAACAATTAAACTGTAGTATAATTAAGTCTATAAGTTGGTTGGCTAACTCATTCGTTTACGGAGATAAGAAGTTTTACTGAACCGTGGGCCATAGTCATTAAGCAAATAGGAGAGGGGGAAAAGATGTTAGCTTCATTGGTCAGAGCCCTCTACTATGATTGTTAGGCATACAAAGTAGAAGTGAAAGATAAAAGGTCGCAGTTGCAAAACACAAAACGGTGAAAACAGACTGCTTGTAGCACTGCACTTTGTCATAGAGATGAATATACAAATTATGTATTATTTTCCCTCAATCGCTATCTTTCCTTTTAAATAGTAATTACTCTTAAAAAGGAAGGGAACCTTCAGCAAATGTTGCCAAAGATAAAATCGACATTACAGTACTGACAAAGCGGTGAACGGGGGCTCTATATTTGTACAGTAGTCATGACAGTAGCCAGAAAGGTCTTATATAGTAAACGCTTTAGTCGTCGCTTCATATCACCCTAATATTAACTAAATACTTAATAACATTAGGTTTTGTTAGAATATAAAGTTGGAAGAACTATAGGCCGTGGTGCTTTTTCAAAAGTAAAGCTAGCTGAGCATCGAGGCACCAGGGAGACAGTATAACCTTCAACTCTTCTTTAAACTACTATTTAATAGTTAAGTAGGTTGTTTCATATTTATAAGCATACGTTTTGTAACAGGTTGCTGTTAAAATCATAAGCAAGGAAAGACTTGAAAGCAGCTACCGGAAAAGAGTTGAGGATTTAAAAAAGAAAAAGAGGCGGGAAGTAATTGTTTTGTCTTTGTACGCTAAACTATATATTGATTATTTCCCTTTTATATTTGCATATCTGTAGTTTGAGAAAACCCAAAGAAATACTCCAAGGAAGGTTAACAATTCGAGCCCCACTGGCTACACAAAAACTACCAGAAGAATAAATAGCGAAGCACTAATAGCTACTTTTCCCTGGAATTTCCGGCTTCTAAGTTCACCGCGAGCATATTCACATACTTGCGAAAAGCTTGGAAAAGATCAAAAAGTTCAAAAACTATGTGATAAGCATGAAGCACAACCAAACACGGCCGTAACTTCCAAGAGTATCAGAGTGACTATTTCCGAGATTGTTATATATATATATATAAGTTTTGTACTGCTTTGCTTTATAGAAGAAGCTTGATGTGGACATCACTGAAATTCTTCCCGGACACTTTTCTAGGCGCCTTTCTAAGGAAGTTCGTTTGTTGCAGGTTTTCAGAAAATTGAAAGTGCTGGTTTGTTCACTTAGGATTTTTGCGTAGGTTTTGGAACATCCACATATTATACGACTTTATCAAGTTATAGAAACAGAGCAGGAATATTACATAGTTACGTAAGTATCTCTTTCACTCTTTTCTCTATACCGTTTTTAATAAAAATTTATATAAACTTCTTTGTCTTTATTTTTATTGTATAAATAATGGTTTTATTGAATTACAAAAGATTATTAATTTTTTAACCTAATTTGATTTATATTTGTTCAGTCTTTACTGCTTCTCTTTCTTAATCTTAACAAATTTATTGACCCTTTACTTTTGTCTTGACTAGGCAGTACGCTCCTGGAGGCGAAATGATTGATTTTATTGCTCGCAAAGGGAAGTTACCCGAAACACAAGCGAGATACTTTTTTAGACAGATAATCTCTGCCGTGGGTTGTTGTGATAACTAGTTTCTCGTCATTTTCTAAAAGAGTTTGAAGCAGATCACTGTCACAAGTCCGGGATACTCCACAGAGATTTGAAATTAGAAAATATTCTTCTCTCCGAGAAAAACGAAGTTCTAATTTCTGACTTTGGCTTGGGAAGAACTTTTAAAGTTTGCTTATATTTTTTGTAAAATTAAAATTGTAAAACCTTTTTATGCTCGAGAGCCAAACAAAGGCTCTTTGATGGCGCTCTACTCTTTTAAATTTAATTTCGAGTGCAGAATTACGTTCTTAGCGTGCGTGGTTACCACTATTCTGGCTTATACACTCTTTAATTACAATTCTTTGCTAGTCATAAAATTAGTTTTTTTTAAACTTCTTTCTTAATGTTGTACTTCGCCATCGATCTTTTAATTTTCTGCTGAAATTACTTTTCTTACTTAGCCAGAAAATCTATGTGACACGTTCTGTGGCACTCCTTTATATGCGTCGCCAGAATTGGGTAATAATCTTTATAAGTAATGCAGTCACCCCCAAGGAGATTCCAAATTGCACGAGCATTCAAATTTTTATAAAAAAATTGTAATAATCTGCTTTAAATTAGTTACACTTTTTGCTATTCAAGAGAATAGATAAATTCATTTTTACATTTTTCAATTTATTTTGGGAGAAGTTTTTACTATGAATTTATAATCTACACACAAAGCTTCTTATATATAATTTTCGAGTTCGGTTTATCAACAGCTCTTCTTTGAAATTATTATTTAATTATACTTGTGACTTTTTATAATAAAGCCTATTATGAAATGCACTAGTATCGGGCGTACAGTATCAGGGGCCTCCCGCCGATGTCTGGGCGATGGGTGTAGTTTTGTTTGCCATGATTGCAGGTCTGAAATATTTTTATTTATAATTTATAATTTATAATTTCGTCTTTTATTATTATCAATTTAATTAAGGAAGACATCCCTTTCGAGCTAAAAATATGAGCCAGTTGTATAAAAAAATCAGGGAAGTGGACTATAAGATGCCGTCTTGTTCCGAAAGTCAGACCTTTTATGTTTTAATTTTTTTATAAAAATCTTCTTGTCTACTTGCTGACAGCTTCAGTTTTTTTTTAGGTTTAAAGAAATTATTCAAGTCGATTTTTGTTAAAAGTGCGGAAGCTCGCGCCACTGTTGATGATCTGCGCCTTCACGAGTGGGTTATGGAGGTACCAATTTCAGCTGGGGTTACATTTTAGCCGTTAATTGGGTCGCATGAAGGGCTTCACAGAACCTCCCTTGCGCTTAAAGCCCGTTCTTCAGTATGATGGCACTAAAATTGAGAATTGTTAGTTTTGTAAAAAATAAAAAATTATGGGAATTTTCGATTTTTCTTTACTCTGTTGAGGCACTGCAATACAATTCGAATCGAACGCGATGATGTACCAATTTAAAGAGATGCCAAAAGCGCAAAAGTATAGCTTTCCGGTAGATGAAGAAATGCTGAGCGCGTATTCGGAGCGAAGTCAGCTGCTTCCAATTACTCCTCGGAAATTATTAAAAAAAGATTTTAAACAGTAACTTGTGTGAACATTAAATTTTTCTAATAAAAATAGAGAAAATCTTTTTTCCAGAAGTATTGGCTGTAGTACTCTCTTTCCTAGTGGCGATCTACTTCTTTGCAAAGAGGTTCTTACTTGTACTGCTTAGATCTATATAATAAAGCTTTTGTGTATAGATGGGAATGCCTGCCCCTGTATCCTTTCCAAGAGGCTTATACACAGCGACTGACAACACTGAAGAGGCTACTCGAAGGTTCTCTTTTAGGCCCGCTTGTTAAATTTGATTACTTTACTCTCGAGTAGATTTTTGGATCCCATAATGGAAGATTTCTTACGCAAAGTAGAGTATTTCAGGTGAAATTGATTTGATTATATACTTGATGCCCTTAATTAACTCCAATAACTAAGCGGAGATGGTCATCTTTGTTGGCAAACTTACGGGTTTGATAGTAAGGAGTCTGAGTGTAGTGTCTGTGTGCAGGTAGAAAGTTGTTTTCCTTTGCGTAAAATTTCTAATTATTTACTTTATGGGACTCTTTATAGAAACATAAAAACTTGAAATCTTCAGAATGGGTGCTACCTTATAATTCATTAACACTAATCAAAACATTTAGAAGCTCATGTTTTCGAAGTGAAACCGCGAAAGAGCTTGAATCTTCATTTAATAACACTTCGGAAGTGGATTTGTGCAACCTAAAGATCTCTAATGATCCTTACGAAATAAGTATTCAACAATTGAGAGTCATAAACTGGAATAAAAAGCAAAATAGCCTTAGTTTGGAAATGCGTAAGAAATTTCTCGGAAGCAAGATGAAAGATGAGAGCGTACCAGCGCCCGAGCATCCTTTAAACTTAGAGAAGTACATTAAGGGTCAAAAAAAAACAAAGGATGCAGCTCGATTGGTCAGAACTTTCTATAAAACACCAGTTATTAAGAGTAACGGTTCCGCTGAAACACTTCGTACTGAGCTTTTACTTGTTTTAGAAAGTTTAATGCTCCATTGCATTAAAGTACTATGTATATTTTTTGTCTCTCCTCAATATATACAATTTCTTTTTAGCTTGATAACTTCAAAATTACTTGTAACTACAGAAGTAACAACAGATCTGTCGAACTAGGCTTAGAAGTGGTCAAGGTTTGGCTCCTTAATAGTTGCGGAGTAAAAATTAAAAGATTAAAAGGCGACGGTTGGCTTTATAAAAAGGTTCGCGAGAAAATCGTGTCGCGTTTAAATAAAAAGTACAAATGAAATCAAGCAATAGGCAATACACTTTTTATAATTGTTTAATAAAATTTTTATTAAGCTGCGCAAACTGACCAGCGATAGTAAGGCTGAGATTATTAGTTAACTATAGTATATAAGTGTGCACTTCCCGCTTAATTTTTAATAAAATTCTAGAAAATGTGTTATATTATACTTATAATAGCCTTTATCCAACATCCATACGCGAGAAATAGATTTCATGTGGAGGAGACAAAATATTTGTAAGGGCATACGAAATATGCTTCTACCTTGATTTGAATTAAAAGTGATAGTTTCATTTCATTTAGCAGACTACTTCTTTCGATCTTGACCTATGAGTAAAAGCCACTAAACTGTAATAGATATGAATATTAATAGAAATTTTCATGTAAGAAACGACCTCTTAATTTTTATATGCAGTTTGTTTAAATAACCGTTTTGACAAATTGTAAATGTTGTGACAAAAGCAGTTTAGAGCGCAAGAGTACTTTATTACTAAAATCACTTAAAAGTGCTTGAGTGGAGAACAGTGTTTTTGGTCGTTAATAATATTTTGACTTAGTTTATTGCAGTATTAGCAAATATCGGTGTAACCCGGAGACCTATCAATTTGACGAGTGTCATTGTTTCCTGCTAATGGGCAACAGGTTTGCCCTTGAACCCGAAGATGGTCACTTTATTTGGTTCATCTCTACTATCTTTTTATTTTTATAAACAAGCTTGCAACTCTTGGGCTCTTTTTTATAATAGGACCCAGTTTCTAGCTTCTTCTCCAATTAACTTTTTAAAAGTCCCTAACACCTTAGCTACAGTTCTGTTATTTGACTAACGGGTGTGCTAGTTAAATTATTATCTTATTTATTTAACCTCTGCTTCATGTGATTTATTTCTGGCGCTCCATAGAGTGAACGAACACCATTACATTAAAGGCATGAAGCGATCTTTGCACGTCAAAAAAAAAAAAAAATCACTACATTAACACTGCCGCTGACCCATGAAGGCAACGTAATATCGTTATTCAAGCGAAATATTTGAAGGAGTTATAATAAACTCTTATGGCGTCCGCACGTAAGTTATGGGGTAGCCGAGGTTGAAGTGGCGGCCTGAATCTCTGTACACTTTGTACCAAAAGCAAAATCTCATTGCACAGCAAGCAACGCTTGTATGTGTTGTGTAGCGGTAATCATGACATATTCGTCTGTTCCCAGAGCCCACCGACAATAGCATGCTCGCTACAATTGACAAAACAAGCCGCGCGCTTCATGACATGGGCACTATGATTTCTTTATTAAGATGCATTACTTTAATACCCTAATGAGATTACTTTTACTTCAAGTAAAAACTGCATCACCCCGTTGAGAGCTCCTGGCCCGATCGAGCATTAAAAAATTCTATATATAAATTACACGAATGCGTGTCTTGGTTTAACATATTTGTGTAGCCTCCTGTTTCATTTTTAATGAACTTACTGTGGGGTTAGTATAGCCCCCTACCCTGTTAAAGGTATTTAAAGAGTATTCTTGGATAACTTAAATATGTAAGTTTTTATTGAGTTGTACATTCTTAAATATATTATGAAACATTAGTGAACATCCGCAACAGTTTATTATAATAGTTTCACACACGCTCTAAGAGTAAAAAGAGCAATTAACCATGCAGAATAGATTTTTCCGGTATATCAGCCCGCACCTTAAGGAGGCAGGAAAACGTAATGTATTTAGGGGTAAAATTATTCTTTTTCTTCGATCCCGCTCCCCCCAAGAAATTAATTATTTACTAAACTTAGAAGTAGTGAAATATATGGAAATGTTATTTAAAAATTTTAGAGTTTCCACCACACCAATAAGTGGGCGCCCATCTTAATGGGGATGTAAATCTTACGTCAAGGTATTAAGTCCTGACAAAGAATGAAAGTTAATATGAAACTCTCAATTGAGTCATCTACGAATATAGTTAATTAGTTTTTTAAATCCTTCTCTTCCTGTTAAACCTTAAAGTTAGAAGCCATGTTTCCGTCAATAGTACCTTTGGACTTTTATTCACGCGATTTATTAATACACTACTCTAGAGAGATAGGATTAAAAGACGCAGGATTTATAATTATCTTAAAAGTTACTAAAAGTATCATGTGATAAGGTGAAGGTATGTGTTAAACTTAATACCTTAATAAATTATTACTGGCCAATAGAGATAGGCTTCCCGTTTGTCGTAAGGGAAATTCAAAACAGAAAAAGCATAACGTTTTGTATACTGTCACTTTGTTTCATAAATTGCAATTTCTCTTGATATGGGGGCCAAATATAGTTTCACAGCCACCTTTTTACATTTTTTATTTCTTTGCAATTTAGTAAATCTCTGTTTAACCTATGCGTTAGTCCCTGGTCCACAGGTACTTCAGGGCATTGCGCCCTAGAATATCAAGGGAGGCCGCGCATTTTAGTAAAAAAAGGTACGATAGGCGTTTGTTACGTTTAAGAACGAGTAGAGATTTAGTCCTTACGTTAATTTTTAACTTCCAATTTTGGTACCATATATATAAATATATACATTTTATTAATTGACATATCAAGGTATGCACAATGCAATAAAAGAGAGTTTAATAAAAATATTAGGGTCTCATCACCGATAGATCAAGTCTTTGGAGAAGGAAGAGTCTGCTATAAACATGTATATAGAGGAGACAGCATATAAAGTGCACCTGATTGTAAACCTTCTCTTATCAATAATACAACAATTTAGTAATAGCTCGCTAGCAAAGTTTGTCCAGAATTCCGGCATGTTATACGTTACTGAGGTCTTTGTTTTTCGTTTTCTAATTTCGGGTAGCAATTTCAACTGTTCGTAATAAACGTAGTTATTTCTAGTCCAAGCAACTTATTTTGGCCAAGTATTCTTTGAAATAGGAAAAACTGATCTGCCGATATTCACTAATCTTTTGTGAAGAAAAGAATAATTAGAATGCATAACTACGGCATTTTTCAAACTATCTGAAATGCTCCTGGAGTGTGAGTAGAATTAATTCAGGTCGTAATTTGCACCAAAACCTTTTTAATAGAAACAAATCTTTGTTTTAAATGTAATCTCCACTAGTGTTTTTTATAGTAATAAGAGCGATTATAATGCCTTCTATTACTTCAAATAGGGAATCACACCACTCTTCTCTTAAAAGCTCATCAACAAACTTTATGATTTTGAGTGATTTCAGTTTTTGCGAGTATAGGTTTGCACAGTCATGCCTAATACTTTGTGGACCTTTAAGCCGCAAAGCTGGCAACGTATAACATAATACTAAGAATTATTAAGAATTATTAAGAACCAAAATTTTATAACGTTTGTACCGCATTGCTAAGTTTTCCCCAAAAAAATATATATAAGTCCTCTATAAGACTTCAAGTTTTCAAGTGAAACTTAAGCATATTAAAAACTCAATTTAATTATTTTTTTCGTATCTAAGTACGTCCTCTTTAAAACTTTAAGTTTTTTCTTTTAGTTTTGGAAGACTTATTTCCGTGTTCTTTCTGTCTTCAATACCAGTTAAACACTATTCTCTTAGATATTTAGTTTTGTTACCACAGTTACTATAAATTAATTCTTTCTGTTTCTAATTCTCGCTTAGCAGAACTTGTCTGCTTTAATTCTTGTATCGAGTTAAATATATCGTATAGTATATATCTAGACCATTTGCTCTTTGGATATAACAAGTATTTGAGGCAGTGGAGCAATTAGAATCTCACTTATAGGCGGTGACTACTTCTAACTACAGCTATTGCCTTTCTTAACTTAGGAATGTAAAAATCTCGTTGGAATTAATTAAAACTGTAACAAAAATACAAGTAAAAAAAATAGAGAAGAAGCAGAAAAAGGGAGGGTCCGAAGTCTCTAATGTGTTACTGGCGTATTAACTCTAATCCTTCGAAGACGCCTTTTGTTATAAGTAGTTGTGTTCCGTTTTTTTGGTACACAAGCGCTAACAAAAATATATTGAGCTAATCTAAGGTTTTTCTAAAATTTAATTTTAAAAATCACTGTTAACTTAGGTAGATGGGCGCACGCCTCATCAGTTTCATAACCGACGACTAAACAAAAAACAGATATTGTACATAAACGAGGAGGTTAAGTTCTTGTGTTAATGTCAACTTGGTGTTTTTTGTAAAGGTATTGTTTAATAACGTTAAGAAAAGTGTGCTTAAGGCGCCAATATTACGGCCCTCAAGTTTAAGATAAGTGTTAAAAGGCGTTAGTACTCCTAAAGTTTTTTATTTCAAATTTATTTAAAATTGACCTTTCATGGAGCTCGATTGGATACTCAAGCTCTCAATTAAGCGTAATCGCTTGGTGTTTTACATCAGCCGAACTCTGCATACCCTGATTTTCTAAGGGCAAAGTGCAGTACGTAGTAGCTTCCGTGGTCTCTCACCGCAGTACTAAACCAAGTCCTGAAGATTAAATTTTTAGATCGGATGGATTGAATGTCTATCTATAATCTAATGAGCTGTATTTAAAAAAGAATGAAAAAGTTAATGTTAATCATTTAATAGGCTAAGAGGAGGAGATAAAACTAGATACCTGAATAAAGGTTTTTCTGCTCTATTTAGGAGGGCATGCATATTTTGGTGTACTGGTAAGTCTAACAAAATAGATTGCATGGAGTGTTATTATGGAGAGTTTGGTTTATTGTGGCGATAATTTTTTTACGCCTTGTAGGGGGTGTATTGTTTAGCGTGGAAAGGGTAAAAAGAGAATTCTATTGCTTTCCGCCTTTTTCTCTTCAGTAAGCTTTCGAGGAATTCTAAGCCGGTAGCATAGGAGATACCTTTAAATAAATATATGTTGGAGCTATAGAATAATTTTTGTTATAACTAAAGTGATCACTTTAGTAGTTAGTGTTTATGGTCTAAACAAGAGGGCCACATTAATACTACCACATAATAGATACCTTTATATAGTTTGTAACAATTAATTATTGGTGAATCAAAAGTAAAGTAACTTTGAAAGGAACACTTTTTATTATTGCACGCATAGGTTTAAGATACCAAAAAAGTTGCATGCATCCAAACTTTCCTGTTATATTCGAATGCTCTTGAAAGAACGGGATGTAGGACCGTGCTTAGCTTAAGTGCTTGCTACTTTTTAGCGTCATTTGGAAAAATAACAGGATCCAAGAAAAAATTTTCACCACTTGTGATAATAACTTTATTTTTAAAGTAAACAAATATAGTGTTAATTATGTAAAAAGATATAGAAAGGACAATAATTTTATTATTGAAAGTATGATTGTATAACCTTGTTTAGGTAATAACATAAACCAGATATATATGAGCTTAAGTAAGAACGGGACATAAAAAAACAGAGCAGAACTAAACTAAGCATCATTATAAAGAGTAATCGAAGAGGAAGGAAATGTACAACCCTAAGCTTGTCGTCAAGTGCGAAGAGTTTTGTACTTTATTTAGGGAAAAAACCAAATAAAGTGTGTACACGTTAAAGTACTGCATTTCCCGAGCCCAAGTGTAAGCAGCTTTGGCTTTGCGTAGCGCTATGCCAGTTTTTACTTTTAGTAGTAGAAGGGCATGACACCTATTTCATGCCGGTTTAATATTTTACACTATGTGGTCGCTTCTTTATAAGTACCAAGATAAAAAGTTTTAAAAGAAAGCAGAAAAAGATTAGGTGTGCAAGCGGGTGGAAGCATTTGCGGACGTTGATTATAATGTCACTATATTGAAAAATCCGTCACAAGAATAAGGGCAGGGTGCTCCTTTAAACTTAACTGCATTGCAAATTAATGTGAGAAAAATTGCTGCTATAAACAAATAATGAACTGCCAGCTAATCTTACCATTGAGTACTACCGCTATACTCTGTTCATTATGCATATGAAAAAAATTAGCAAAGAATGGCAACCCCAAGAGAATTATCACTCAGAAGAAATGAATCTTACTTCCTTTAACGTTGTAAGTATGCAAGGCAGTGTCTTCATAGACTTAAAATCGTAGTTTAAAAAATAACCACTAATCAGTGATTAAGTACATGATTTTTTTTAAAGATACTGTGTTGAACGCATCTTGTTAAATCTTACCTTATACAAATCGCATGTAACGAGGTCCGTCACGTGGAAAGAGGGCCCCTGGGAAGTTCTTTCAGACTGACGGGCTCCAAGCTATGGGCTTCACGCACTGCTTTGTGCCGTCTTTGCTTATGATCTTTAGTTACTTGAAATAATTAAAGTAGTTATAGTAATTATGCATTTTTTTCAACAGTTATTTAATAGTAGAAAAATTTTAACAAAATTTATTAGCACTAAACCTAGAAACGGTGCTTTTTACTTATGTTTTTTCACCTACAACATTAAGAGAATATATAGCAATAACGCTAACACAGTTGCGTGTTCGGTACAGGAAGCTCCGAAGTATATTAAACAATTAAATAGCGCTAAAGGGAAAGTTGATATTTTAAAGTTAAAGAGGATGTCACCTTATTTCCAGGAGCCCACACCTGGTTTAACAAAACCTAATATAAGAGATTCCACTGAAGAGAGTATAATAGATTTACGTTTACCATCGTCGTTATTAAAAGAGCTGGATTTAAGTAGTGTTAAACCAGAAACAGTCAATAAGAATATTTATGAAACAAAGGGAAATTTATACAGAAATATAAGAAATTCAGGTGGGCGCCTTTATTCCTTCAATATACGTTGTTCGAGATCACGTTGTTAATCTTTTCCTTTTACTTAATAATATAGCTATACAAAGTCTGTCGCATAACGTTTTTTGGACTGAACAACAAGACTTTACTTTGGCCGTTTGCTCTTACGAAGCTGAACTTCTTAAAGTTAAAGTTAAACAAAGTAGGTTACTTGTTTAAATTTCATTAACTTCTACTTTTGCGACTTACTAATATAATTTGTCTTTTGCCTTTAAAAGAGTGTAAAACTATATGGTCTAAAAAAAACTTTGTCCCTCAAAGCGCACCGTCTTCCTTTAAAGCGCCTCCTGTAGTAAACACTAATAATTCTTTACGCAAAGAGCCTTCTGAGAATATCGTTAATTATGGTAAGAGAACTAATTTTGTAAGCAAGGTTGCCGGTGGAACCACAACTAAAGAGAAAAAATTAAAAACATACAATTTTCCAAGACCAAAGTTCTGTATTAGAAGTTTGTTGACGGGCGATGATTGGTTTCTGATCTCCAAAAAAGTTATTATTAGCATATATTTTGTTATAGTTTTTGAGTTTTTTTTTGGAACAGATTAATGATGGAAAGCTCTCCTACAGTCACCATCATTGCAGAGTGAGATACGTAAATTATCTGAAAACAATCGCCAGATCAATACTACATCAGGCGAAAACTGAGTAAGTTTTACTTGTTACGCGTCTTTATATATCTGAAATTACTTCTACTGCAGCTCGACGGTAAAAAACTTTATTACAAACTTGAAGAAGTTTGTTACTAACGAAAAGGAGATAGACTTGCTTGAGTGGAATGCAGTAGCTGAAAAATTTGAGTGCTACAGGATTATACATACGGAAAACAGTGGATATCAATTAAGCATTTGTAAAGAAAGTGAGGCTCTTCAGGAGGGGGCTATGAACAGCAAGTACGGCATCTCGCTGAGTCCCGCTATAGTTTATTTGATTTATAAGCTTTCGCCTAAGAATTAACGTTGCTTGGAAGAGATTGGAATTCTGATCAATTTTTTTTTTTAGCTTTATTAGGATGAACCAAAAAATAATCTGTTTATATCCATTTTTTGTACCTTTTTTTGATATATTTATAATATACAATAAATATGCTTTCCATATACTTTAACTATACGAGTCTACCCAGAAACACAGTGGTGCGGCAGCTCTGCTGTGGTATAGGCTTCTCCTGTGGAAAAACAGGATCCCGTCCAGCCGTGTGGCAGTCTCGTGATAGAGTAACTGAGCAAATTACGGAAGTGCTGCAAGTTGACTCACCGTGAATGTCTCGAGCGCTTTATAAATATTATTTATGCAGCATTGACCGTAGGGAAGTAAAGCGAACGGATATGGATTCATTTTGGTCCTTTTTTGTGAAAAATAAAATTTTGAAAAAAAAAAGTTGTTTACTGGCTTCGCCATTTTTTCGAGTTAAAAGAAATATATAAAAGAACCGTTTTGCTAAAGATAAAAGTTCATTAATTTTGCTTTCTAGCCACTGAAACCTAATAGTCAACTTAATACTAATGCGAATTTAAATAGTATAGCAAAACCTTAATTCCGCTGGAACTTCATTAAGTGGTTGTCCCTTCCATCGCATCTAAAAAAAATAAAAAAATAAAAAAGGCACTATCTATACTTTTAGTGCGGACTGTGGCACCACGTCGAGAATATAAAACTGTTCAGTTTCTTCCTCGTATATACAATCCAACCAACACTGCAGCATTTTGTGTTGAACATCTAAACCGTTTCCTCCTGGTAAGCTCATCAAAAAATTTAGTATAATAATTATAATTCAAAATAAATTTATAATTATTATTTACTTACTAACTGTAGAAGGAGGGAAGGCAGCATCCGTTTCTTTGATAGCTGCGCGTTCTTAGTAGATTTTATTAATTTTTATTACTAATATTTTCAAGTAGAATTACATAGTCGATATTTATATTAGTTTTCTTATGTATAAATTAAATTATTTTAAAAAAAGTCTTAAGGGGTTTATAAAGGACTTATAGTCGAGAAGACGTACTCTCCTTTGCTAGAAACAACCAAACTTCTTTTTCCTCTCGGGCACAATTTAAAAATCCAATCTTTGTTTAAAGATATTGGATACGTATAAGTAGTTTAGAACTGAATCATACTATAATATTTTATATAGTAAAAATTTCTTATATATACGTACAAGGTCAACTAAAGTTTTAAAATGTTATTAAATTTACAGTTTTAACAAAGTGTAATTTAATTAATAACTGGGTGCTATAAAAAAATATTAAACTTGGACCTTTTTCAAAGTTTTCAGGAATAACTTCCATTATCACCGAACGCATTATTTGTTTTTTGAAAAAAGCTTTTCTTTTAGAATTCTGATCCTGAAATAAAGCAAAATAAAATTTGCTTAAAGTATTGGTGGCGTAAAAAAAAGTAGAATAACTTTACCAATGAAACAAATTATAATTATTAGTATTATAGTAAAAGTTTTATTTCTGCAATAGAACAGGAAAAATATAAGTTTAACTCCCACAAAAGCATTTTAAAATGTTTTTTAATATAATAAAAAACCAAAATATTGCAGCATCTTTTTGAAATTATAAAACATTATAGTTTTTATATTATTGTATTCTCTTGCCTTAAATCTATTCATTCTAAACTTCTTTACGTTATTAATAACGAAAATTAAATTAAACGTGATAACAAGCAAGTTTCTAGCTTTCTTACCATTAAAAAGTATAAAACAGTGTTTTCCATAAAGTTCGCTAAGCGAAAATCCATAGAAGTATAGGATATAACACATAGTTAAATTAACCTTTTTAAAAAGCTAACTTTGTAAGTGAATAATATATATATATAAGGTCTTCGGTAAAAAAAAATCCAACTTTTTTTTTTAATAAAAAGATCAAAATTTAGGCTTATAAATCTGAAGAAAACAGAAAACTTTTAATAAATAGATAAAGGTTTGCACAATATCAGTCTCAGACACATAGTATACCTCTTGACTAAGACATCGAACCTTGCCATCTAACAAAATATTATCATTGTCCTGCTTTTCATATTCCAGTTTGCGCTTTACAGGCGTCAGGAGGCTTTCTTTGTAACCATAAATTTATATATTAAAATGAATTAACTGAAAAGTTTTATATTAGAAAATGAAAAAAGTAGAATATAAAAATACACCATACGCTTCATCTTCATAGAAATTAGTATCTTCTAGTAGTATAAGCATTTTTACCAATTAAAAGTCGTAATAAACTAAAAAAATAAACTGTAGTCACCCATCTATAAATATTGTTACTGTCGAAAGTAAAGTTTCTTCGAGCTGTGATAGTCAAAATGTCGACAGTCCTACACCCAGTAAGTTAATTATAAACCTTAAGATGTTGAAGTATAAACTAAATAAACTTCCTTTAACAAAAGCTAAAGGGCTTTAAATAGAACACATCAAATATTATTCTTCTATTTAGTATTTGTGTAATAACAATCCTCCCCTAATCGTTCGATCGAGTCAATAACTCGAGCCTTTATATTAGTAAGTAGCTCACTTGGTAATTCGCTTGCACCTCTTACCTTCACCCCTCCTCCAAGATTCAGCTCCTGACCCTAAAGACAACAAACTTATCGTCCTTATTAGGACCCGCTTGTAATTAAAAAATTTTGTGTTCGGTTAGAAGTTTGTTTAGGGAGATATAATGCGCCAGGAAAAGTTAAAGATTGTTTTGTAACTGTGGAACAAGGCACTATTACTGGCGCATTGTAGAACCATGTAGTAGACGCGTATGTCATGCAGATAGGAAAGTAGGAGGGTTTATAAAGGGCTTGTCCATTTTGTGCTTCCCAATGTGTAGATGCCGTGATGCTCTAACTATTAGTGAACGGTGACATGTCATTCAACATCAGCGCCACTGGCGGTGTAAAGCACTATTTCGCGTAAGAAGTGTTTTCTCTAATTTGCATGGACAATAACCCAACCTCGCGAAAGACTACCGTTTTGCTCGCTTATAGAAATCCACACAGAGAAGGTTTTGCTCGGTGGCAGTAAGTCGGTTTTTTAGAGCGCAAAGAACAAGGGTAAAAAAGATGAGAATCACTGCGATCCTTCGGAAAGATCTTTTTATCAAAGGTTAGTCCTTAAGAGTCTAAGAATGCTTACTTGTTGAGAGACGACATGGGCAGAAGAGTTCTTCGTAATCGCCTGTTTTACAATTTTGATTGTAATTATTAAATTTTACTTATTAGATTGTTTTAAATATAGGCATTAATATAACTTTAGAACTGCTATTAAAATAACACTGTATAACTAATTAGTTCGTAAGCCTATCCTTTGATTTATTAGATAAGGTGTCGGCCCTTTGCTAAGCTAGCTGTGGGGGTATTTTATAATTTACGAAGGTTAGTGTGAAGAGGCAGTCTACAACTAATTTAGAATTAAATAGATCTTTTAAATTGAGTACACTCTTTATGTATTATAACTTCTAGCTCTCTATGGTTTCCTTGGGCATCTTTCCTTAAAACCCTTCATTCGTTCTTAAGTTAAGAAAGTAAAGTGAACTGCAGTCTTTACATAACATGAGATGATAGTCTAAAAATATCGTGAGATATGACAAAGTAATAAGATAACTAGAGTTATCCTTTCGGTAGAGGCGGGGATCTAGTTAACAGTTGATTTGGATTTTTTTTTGGAAATGCTAAATCTTATTTGACAGCGTCGCGAGTGCTGGAGTCATCTTAAGCGTTAGTGCGGCTTTTACGTATAAACAGAATTCAAGAATTTTAAATTATTTACTCACTTTATGTGAGTTGGCAATTACTTAAGGAAGCTGTGAATTATTTATATAGAGTTATTTCCTTTTTTATAAAATTGCTTCAGAATTTTGTAGTACCTGGTAAAACCAGTGGAAAAAAGTTATATATTATTAAACAAGCTAAAAGGCACATTTTGTTGGTGTAACAGCTTTAAAAAAAACACTCGAAATCTAGTTTTTTAATTCTATTACACAACGTTTAGTAAATATTGTAGAATGGGCTAAAAAGTTAGTAAAACTAAGTTAGCTATCTTTTGTTAGTTAGTTAAAAAAATTTAAACACAATAAAAAAACAAACCAAAAATAATAAAAATCTTTAGTCTTACAAGAAAACAGTATTACACTTGTATATAGTAACACTTTATCATATAAGCTTATATACTTAACTGATAGCACTAATTATTAAAATAACCTCTATAATTAACAATTAAGAGCTCTTAAAAAACAATTTAAATAATATAAAAGGTCAGAGCTTAACGGAGTTGCTTTAATTATATCGCCACTTTCGGTGGAGCCGCATTTACGAAAGTTAAGTAAAATTGGTGCGTTGTTGGGCCCAGCGCCATTTTAGGCACTCCAGGAAGGACTTTCCGGGCGTTCCTCTTTGCGGATTATTTTTGCACTATTAATGGCGACGCAGTTTAGATTTGAAGAAAACGAAAAGGTTTTATGCTACCATGGACCGTTGCTTTACGAAGCAAAGGTACTGCAAAGTTAATTCCATTTTTTTTGGGTCCTTTATAAGGTAGTTACTCACTTATAAGTTAATTTTTGTTTTACCATTCCGTCGCTTTAAAGAGCCTTTATGATTGCAAAGTATATATATTAGTGGATAAGTATACTATTATAGATATTCTAGTAATTCAAAATTTTAGATTTTTCTTTTTTTTTAATAGGTTCTTTTACGTGAACTTAGGGATGACAATACTCCAAGGTTTTTTTTCTATTGCAAAGCCTTTAGCGTTTTTAGAACATCGTGTGGCGGTGTAGATACCGCATTCACTACAACGGCTGGAATAAAAGTTGGGATGAGTGGATCGACGACACTCGAGTATTGAAGTTTACCGAAGAAAATCTGCAACGGCAAAAGGAACTTTTAGGTTACGAAAGATCTTTTTTCACTGCCGTTATTATAATTAAATATAAACTAATTACTTAGAGAGTTTTTCTTATTCTAAAAAAAAAGTCGATAGAAAGGATTTAAAGCGGAAGCCGGCAGAGAAAGAAGAGGACGGTTTGTCACACCTTTTGCATTTAAGTATCACAGCGTTGATTCTTATTACAGCTAAGAAAAAGAACAAGAGGCGGGCAAAATCGTTAAACGATGTGGAAACGGTAAGTAGTTTTTATACTCCGCGGATCTATTCACTTTCGGGTGATGCAAGAACGCATTCTGCTTGTGCAGTACACTTAAGCCTTAAGAGTTTAAGGAGATTTTTGGCTTGGTAAAATTTCACGGTCGTGTCGTGAGCGCCTCGCTACTGCCGTTTTGTTAGTAGTGAAGAACTGATATCTCCATCACACCTTTTTTAAAAGGAAGAAGAATTTTTACAGAAAGTTGAAGTCCATCTTCCTATACCTGATAATCTACGGCGGCAGCTGATTCGGGACTGGGACTTGGTAACTTACCAAAAAAAGGTTGGCGGTGCCCATACAACTAGACCCGATTGGCTCCTGCTATATACCGCTGCCAACACGATAAGATGGTGCCGCTGCCTCGTACGCCCAACGTGGCTCAGATCCTTGACGAATACCTGAACTCGAAGGCCAAACTTTCCGACTCTTCTGACGGTTCGCTGTGCTACTAAAGGAGAGATACCTGCCGGGTTCCATAATTTTTTTTTGCGCGGCAGGTGTCGTCGCGGAAGTTGTAGAGGGACTACGCACGTACTTTGACCAAGCGCTGGGAATGCTTTTGCTCTACCGCTTGGAACGAGGTAAGGTCGGCCCCCTGCGCGTCTCATCGCTCCACCCATGTAGCATTCAATAGCGGAGTACACGGACCAGCTCAACCAGCAGCCTGACCAACCAATGTCGAGCGTTTATGGAGCGGAGCATCTTCTGCGTTTGTTCGGTACACCCCTATAAGCCTCGCTGTGGCGTCATGTATCTAAGTCAATGCCGGTTACAGTGAAGCTCCCAACACTTCTGGCGCACACCAACATCGACGAGGAAACTTTACAAGTGCTAACACAGCACTTGCAAGACTTTTTAAAGTCCTTTTTTTCTCAACAGAGTCAGCGTTGTACTCATTCACGTATGAACAACTTTTAGATATTTAGATAAGAATCGCTCAAAGCTTTTCTGCGAGGAGTACACGTCGGCGTCTCCCGAGTATCTCCGCTTAGCGCAACTATAAAGCCCACCCCGCCCTAGAAAGACTTGCCCGCACTCTCCCCGCACTCTCCCCGCACTACATTCGTCATCTTTCCACGGCGACTCCACTACATGTACATCAATAAAGTTTGCCGCAACCAAAAACATTTTATTCACGTTAAAACTGAGCCAATAAGGTAAGTCATTATCGCCCCCAGCAAAGCCAGGATCACAAGTTCCTTTCCATCCTCCAAATGTAGCCTCCTTGCCCACGTGTTTAGTGGCGCACATAGCCTCGTCACGACAGATGGCGGCGGCGAGACTTTTCATTCGGCAGGAATCACGTGTTTCTTGCTAATAAGATTTTCCTTCGTCAGCTTTAAGTAAAAAAGTTTATACCGCCTAGTGGAGGAGCGGGCTCCTCAGTTTCCCACTTAGGCGCCTCCTCGTGGGGTCCGGAGACCTTCTAGTAGATCACCCGTTAGGAGCAGTATCATAAAATACGAGGGGGCTACCGAGTGGGTATCTGCGTGAGGCGGCTGAGCAACGTAGCTGGAGTGGATATCCAACCTTTTTATGCTTTCTACAGGTAGCATTATATATTTTTACCTTAGTATTACTATTATCATAAGCAGCTTCTAAACATTACTAGTTTTTCTACTTTATATAAAAAAACTTCCATGAGGCTCGCGGCTCCGGTTCTTTACTTTTAGTTTTAGATACGAAGTAAACTTACACAACACGGGAGTTGTGCAACTAATGACTAGAGTAAAAGAGCACAACAACCCCATATTGTGGCCCAACCAAAACTATTATAAACAGACTAGACGTTCAGCCACTACCAATCACGGGCTTACCCTGACTTTGGCTTCTTTTTAGCTTAAAGGAAGAAAAAAACTTATGTTTTGGGCGTCTGCCTATTGATTTCATGACGTTTAGCCACTATTAAAATAAATTTCTGAGTATAATATAAAAAGTTGATAAAGCAAAACATAATATAACAGTAAAAAAAGCTTCTGAACATTTCGTCTACATTCAAAACGCCAACCTCTTTGCCCACTTCTTTGCCTGCACAGCAGAGCAACAAATTGGAGCCGGTGATTGTGTCCTTCAGCTCGATAAAAAAGTAGTGACTTTCACCCTGTTCTTCAGAAACAGGTGGGCATCGCACAGCTAAACGATTAACATGTGCGTCACTGCACACGAGCAAATAATTGCAAATTGGAAGGACAATTTTTCTTTATTTTGCGGACGGATAGCCCATCCAGATGATGGCAACCGGTGCACTTTTCGTGGTCCTCCGGGAGATAGGTGAGCAGCCTGCCTGTAGTGCAAACCGTTCGTAATATACGTACTTTTAGCAGACCACTAATAGAAACCTAAAGTAGTTAACATGTGGTAGCGCAAAACCCACTGCCCTTCCGTATGCGCTTCTTTTCTTTTATCTTTCGATTTAGCTTATCACCAGAAAAAATGGTGAAACCTTTAAGGAAAGCAGAGCTACCAAGTTATACCAAAAGTTGTTGAAAACGAAGAGGGCTCAACTAACGCATAAAGGGGTCCTAGAAAAAAAGGCTATAGCGTTATAAAAAATTAAAAAGTAAAATAAAAAGTACCTTCCTTTATTACAGCCTCATTGACGCTCATGGAAAGTGCGGAGACATTATCTGGCTGCAGGCCCAGCAAACTTTTTGGTAGGAACGTAAAGAGATTTCTGAAAAATGTGATAAAAGGGAAGACAATAGCAACACCTTGACGTCGGTGTGGTGTCTGCTAATGAAGGTTCATCGCTCTAATGAGAGTTTAAGAATCGTCGCAATTACAAATACAAAGTTCGCGACCATTATAATAAAGCACCTCATAAACAAAAGAGGCCGTCGCAGAAGGATCCTCTCTACCACTACAAATTTAATGTTAATTAAATATAAAGTCATTATTTTTTATTAAAAACTTTTAAAAATGTCTAATACACAACAATTTCTGTTGCTTTATACTTAGCAGAAACGAGTTGATAGTGAAGATATAGTTTCGCCGCGGAGTAATGCTGCGAATTTGCAAAGAGAAGCACGTACGTTCCCTCTTCATAAAAATATGAAAAATATTTACTCGCCAAAGTTCATTTTCCGTACCTTTTGCGCACGTGTAGCTTCCTTTGTGCGGTACGTGAACAGTTTCTATAAAAGAAAAGTCATAACTCGACCCGCATTCGGACGGAGGTGTGCATGAGATAACCATTTTTCTGCTTAGAAACTACCACTTCCATGCTATTAAAGTTTTCCTTTGTAATGACTTCGTGGGAAGCGTTGAATAAAATGCTTTATTGGCAAAAATATTAACGAAAATAATTAAAAACTCGTGCTAATGTTAAACCTGAATTCCAGAAGGAAGTCTTTTGACGAGTATTCGTACTCAATAATAGTTTCTATAAAAATATAAAAATGAGGATTAAAAAAGTCAAAAATTCAAGTGACAAATCTTTATAAAATTTTTATTTAGTAAAAACTTAAAAAAAAAGAATAAGAAGTGAAGCACGAATGACCTTGCTTTACATCAGGCACGGTGATATATTCCTCTTTCCCAGACTTTATTTCGTACTATTATTTTTTTAAAGCATATTGGATAAACATTTACAAAAAGGAAATATAATAAAACCACCAGTGCTACTGTTGCTCATTTTGTACTACTTTTAATTAAAAAAAATATACTATGAAGAACCTGATTCCAATCATTCAGTCTGCTGTTTAAATAATACTTTTCAGGGATCGGCCCTCCAGCCCTTATTCCTTACAGCCACACAAACTCAACCGAGAAACACAGGGTGTTCAGCATAGTGAAAACCTTCGTAGAGCCCAAAAATATCCGCATCCACTCGGCGAATCCCGCAGCCTTTCCCGTTATTTTTTGCGCAAAGCTTGCAGGAGCCTTTGATTAGCCAAAAATAATAAAATTTAGATATCGAGATAAAAACATCGGAAGATAACGAATACACCTCCCAGGAAATCAGGTATTTGGTCTTCCTCGATAAATTCCCGAAGAGTATTATAATAATTTTTACCTTGGATTTGGATTGCAAAATTATTATATTATTAAGATCGCAAGTAACCAGTGGCGAGTTATATAAGATATTTGCTTAACGTGTCTTAGCTCAAAAAATATTTCATTAAAAAATTTAACGACACACCGCAAACAGTTATTTTTTTCTGAGTTTCTTGAGGAAGTAAACCCTTAACCAGGTTATAAACCATCGGAAAGAAGGTCGGCGCCCGAATTATAAAAGTTTGGTACATCGATTCAGGATAATTAGATTCGACGTCGCTGATGGAGGATGCAAACCTTTGCACCGCTATTCAGTAGTAAAATTTTAGAAACAGACCATTTAGTAAGGATCTGTAGACCTTCTTTATTTATAAGAGACCAAGAGAGACCATAAAAATCATAAACAATAATATTTTGGTGGCAGGGCTTCCCTGTTTTCTCCACACGCCGGGCCATGATCAGTCTTGTTGGTATTACTTGAAGCTACCGTGTAAACGTGTTAGTAAATTTATTTACTACCTCATAATTTCTGTTTCGCGAAGGTAATATTTACGAAAATCAGAAGGACGAACAGACTTGAGCAATCCTTAATTATAAGCAATACAAAATTAAAAAGGAGGAACCTAAAAAGATTGTTTACCTTTTAAGTCAAGTAAAGTGATTCTATCATACCAAACTAAATGTCCACTTTTTGAAACGCCTACGAGAGAATATTATAATAGTTTGAGTTGCTTCTTATAAGAGGGTTGTATCTAAACCGTGATAAGCAGCAGTGGAATATTTCTTTAAGACATAAGGAGGTTCATAATTTTCGACCAAGTTATCAATACTCTCACTTTTATATTCAACAGGTGTTAAAAATTAATTTTCTTTAAAACTATTTTTAAAGATATATGGATATATAAAAGAAAAGTCCAGAGGTAGAAAGATAAATTTTTATAAGACAATTCCAAGATTTTGAGAATTATAAAATTTTACAAGGTAATACCTTTTTCTAAAATCTAGCATATCAAGAAAAAGTTTAGCAGCAACATCTAGCTTTAAAAAAAATAGTATTATAAATAATATATTAGGTAAATTTTGATATAAAATGAAAGGATCCCGAAAAATTACTTTAAAATCTCTGGCTTTAAGAAATTTGTAGAGTTGCAAGTCGGTATAGTTCTTCACTTCCTGGTAGCCTTTTAATTGCTCTCTTAGCTAAAAAAAAATAATCAAAGTATAAGATTTCTCAATTAAGTTTTTAAGTATGGTAAACAATATAGGTCACCATGGTGACTAAAGGCAACTTCTCCTCGTCCATATATTCAGGATCATAGTTAATAGGTGTGTTTTTAAAGTTTGACATAGAGTATTAAAAGTATTATTTTTCCTGTAAGCTACTTTGTACAAAATTATAATGATATAAGTTTTTCCTCTACGTTATAAGTTGCAATGTCCAACTTTGGCAAGAGCGAGGTAAAAAGTCGGAGTTTAACGCTTTAATAACTTTTATTCAACCATTTGACTTACTTTTAATTTAGATACTTTTAAATAATTGGCTTGGAGCTATTCAGGATATGTCTTGGTTTTCACAATATGTACCTTTCCACCAGCTTATTAAATGTAAAATTAGACATCAGCTTTATTGCTGATAGTATTATCAAGGCCTTTCTAGTATTACTCATGACATTTATTAGAAGAATCTTCTTTTAAAATACTGTTAGACTCTTCTTCACTTGTATAAAGTTAGCTTGTGTTCCTATCACCGAGTAAAAAAAACGCAAAAGGCGTGTTCTTCAGACTTTAAGGTGTTTTAAGGTGTTATCAAAAAAAATTGGAAGGGATTTTGTCTTAAGTGACGTATTAATGGCCCTACGAAAGTCGGATTATGCTTAATATCTGTCACTGCTCGTTCTAACCGATAACTGTAAAGTAACTATAAGAAAAAATAAGAGTAACAACGAAAATACAACTTCTGTATTTTAATATACACATATTTTATTATAAACAGCTATAAGCGACAGCTAATCTAAAGTAACATCAGTAAATAAGTTATTAAATAATTTTTAAGTTTATACTATTATTAGTAACCCAAAAAGTTAAACCGACAAAAAGTTACAAGAATAGAGCTAATTCTATTACGGACAAATACTCATGGACATTTTTGAAGCCAAATTAGATATAATAGCTAAGTTTGCAAACGTGATTGCCGTAACTTGTTTAAACGACAGATAAAAGCAAAGTAAGTCTACAACATATCTAGATCAGTTTATAAGAACTTAATAAGGAACAAGTAAATAAGGATAAATAAATTATAGAACTTTCTAATGTAGCTTTTATGGATTTACTTTATACAACTTGGTAAATTTATTGGTACCCAATTCTATAGCAGTGAATTAACACCGATTGATTCTTATAACTGTTTATTAACAGAAAAAATTTTTACCAGGTAACCGAGACAGAAAATTGTAAACGAAAGAACTTTATTAAGCTTGACGGCTTTATAAAGTAAGCTCTGTCACACATTTCGATAAAGGTAGACAGTAGTAGTTAAAAATAATTTAACAGCAAAGAAAAAGTGGTAAAAAACTTTTAACTTAAGTATCTTGAAAGCAGTAGGTTTTATAACGACACCAAACATCTTTACTTTATTAAAACCAACCTTGTCAAGTATATGTATTCAAGTATTATTGATTTATGCGTAATACTCTTTTACAGTTAAATTAAATTACTGGGTCGCCATTAAACGAAACGTATAGTAGTATGCGGCCCTGGTAACGTCAACTGTTACTTTTGAGCAAACTTGTGACTAGTTGCAGAACCACACTTATTAGGTTAGCCAAGGTTGTAAAACTCTGTGCAACTACTGCGGCACAAAATAAAAGTTGTAAAAGCGGGTTTAAGTTTGCTCATTATGAAGACCTAAAATAGAAAAAAAAAATTTAACTAAAATAATAATAAATAGGAAAAAATGATAAGATTGTAACACTATAATTAAAGTATCTAGTTATTTAGTCCTAAAGGTTATCCCTAAGTTATTAAGTACCTGTACCTTAAACGCTCTTTATTGCTTCTAGCTTCCTAGCCTACAACTATTACTAAAACCATACACTAAACCCCTTAACCACTGTCAGTCCGTGATAATGAAGGTAGACCTTAACGCAAACTAAGCATGAAAAAAAAAACGTGGCGAGTGAAGGGGAATAAATATGGAAGCAGCCAAACACGCTTACATCAGCTGACAATAAACAGTCCTCACTTTGCTATAATGGTCTAATTCGGCTGAAAGAACATTAAAAAATTAAATAGACTTAAGGCTAATTGAGTTAAAATATTTGAAAAAAGAATGTTTTTTAATGGTAAAATATTACTGGCAAAATGGCTATTAAAACATGCAAAAAATTAAATTATTTGTCCGTTTCAATTTTTTATCCAATTAGGAACTCTGAAAAGTTAAAAGAGCGAATCTCTTGAAGAGTAGCTGCACGTGATATGAGGGCGGGCTTCAACGCAGGGATTCCGTAAAGTTAATAACTTTTTTCGGAATAAAGCACATTTTACTTTATTAAACCTCTTTCTAATGGGAAGCTCCTTATAAAACATAAGTTATTTATATTTTTTTGTGGTGTGCATATTTTTGTTATTTTAATAGTCCTTTATTTTTAATTTAAAGGAAAATATAGTTAAATTTTTTATAATGGTTTTTTCGGAAAATAATGGAAAGGACTTCTTCAACCTTAATAAAACCTTTTCATCTTCAAAAAGTATTTAGATATTACCAACTCTATTAAGTTTATTATAGTGATATATAACAAACTCTATCTGTGATATTAAAAATAAAGAAATACTTGGATTCTTCAAAGATTAAAAGTCTTTGGGAGACTTTAAAACTAGCTATTACTCAAATTCAAGAACAGAAGACCAGTAATTTAAGTTTTGAGGAACTTTATCGGTTATAAAGCACAGCCCAATTTATTATTTTACGTGTTTTAAAGTTATTTAGCTGTTGTTACACCTTGGTTCTTTACGATCAAGGAGAAATTATATATGAAGGGTTGAAAAATCTCCTAAGCTCTTATTCAATAAAATCTTTTGAAAAGGTAAAAAAAAAAATTACACCATATTAAAGAGCTCATTTATTTTTTAATTTATTATTTTTGCAAATACTTCTTATGTAGCTGAAAAACTGTAGCCATGATGAATATATTGTTATATTTTCACAAGTTTGGAAGATGTATAGTACTTCTTTAACGATGATAAGAGATATTTTAGCCAGTCTGGTAACTTTTTTTTTCTTTCAATTTTTTTAGTTTTCTTTATTGTACTGTACTGATAGGACCGAGTTTACTTGGAAGATAATGCAGAACTTCTTTCTGTCTATGATTTGGGGTTCTTAACATTATTAGTTTACTTTTAGCTATAATTATAAGAAAGAGTTATTAGATTTAAATTTTACTACTAAAAACGTCTTTAGAAAGTACTTTAATTTTTTTTTATAATTTTTATTTTATAATAATTTTTTTATATTTTATTTCGTTGTAGATTAAAAACATTTTACTCGGAAGGAGCGCAATTTCTCTCTCAGTTAAGACAGCATTTACTGGAACAGATAACTTTAGAGCGGACCGGCATTGCGATTAACAGGTTTTCTTCAGTGTTGATAATTTTTATTTTTATATTCAAGTTTTATGTAAATCTTTAGAGTTGTAATGAAAGAGCTTCTTACTATGCTTGTTCAACTTTCCAGTGTTCAAGAATTTCTTTACGACGAAATTTTTGAAAACGAATATCTTCTCAGCTCTAAAGAATATTTTCAAACAGAAAGTGTTTCCTTTATAACCAGTCACAATGTTTTGTCTTATTTGAAAAAAGTATTGTTTGATTGCTTCCATTGTGTATCTTATTTTTTTTATAATTAGCAAAAAGGCAGATGTTTGGTTTCAGGAAGAATTAGAGCGTGCCACCGAGTATATGGATTCTAGTATGAGTTTTTTTATAATAATTTGGAGCATTGATTTAGATTAATGCAGAAACGGCCGCAAAAGTCTCCAGGGTTATGGAGGAAACCATTCTTATTAGCCACTTTGCCACCCTGACAGAGGTTAGTTGTCACGTTTTTTGTCTCCCACGTGAGCTGTTGGTTTTCACGTGATGTTAGGCCGCTAATTCAACGGAGTTGCACTCATGGTTGGATAAGCACATGGTAGAAGGTAACTACAACCGTTGTTAAGTCACGTGGTACATCTATCACTTGTTTTTTTGCCTATAGAACTGCGCCTGTTGTACAATTTATTTTCCAGAGATGCGCGTGGACGACAAAAGCTAGTCGAGATTCTTTCTTCGCACTTGAATTGTGCAGGTTTACGTTTTTCTTCCCGATGAGCCTTTTTTTTTACTTATTCCTTTCGCTACTTTTTTTTCTGCCCGAAGGAGCGAAGTTTATAGAAAACCACCGGCGCGGGGATGCATTGGCTTACGTTCAAGTAATCTCACTCCTTTTTTTCTTCACTTTATATAACCTCTTTTCAGTACTTTCTCGACCTCAAAAATAAATACGACGCGATACTTAAAGAGTGCTTTGGGAGTGACCTTGAGCTTGAGGCCGTCTATAATCAGGTTTTCACTTGTTCTATTGTGATTCTCTGCTATATTCATGCGTACGCCAGTCCTTTCGGTGCATGCTCAACTCGAATTCTCTTTTTCCCAAGTACTTTCCGTATCACATCAACCATCTTCTGCAGCACACGCTAATGGGGGTATACCTCTGCATGTGTTTTTGCCGGGTCTCTTGCATCATGTGTCTTTGCCTTTTACAGCGAACCGAAGAGGAGGTGGAGCGCTCGTTAAAAAAAATTTTGAAGGTGCTTCGGTTTATTGAGGTTCTCTTATTTTTGCTTATAAGCACATATTCATAATAAGTCGTTAGAGCCTTAAGAAAACGCGCTTAACGTTTATAATGAAGCGTAATATTCTTTTATATGACAGGACAAAGATATATTTGAAAAATATTATCGCGAGACGTTAGCAAAACGTTTGCTTGCAGGTCTTTTTTTTTAATGATTACTATGATTTAAATGATATTATTATTATGAAGACAAACTTTACAGTATGGAGGCCGAAAAATTTATTATTCTTGAAATAAAGCACGAGTTTGGCTACCATTTTGTCTACAAGCTGGAGGGACTGTTGAAGGACCTCATTATTTCTAATGAAATTGCTAGCAAGTATAGAAATGCGGTTATATTTATATAAATATAAATTTAGTAACATTTTTATATGGTATGCTTAAAGCATATACTTGACTTTGGTTTGTCCGTGAAAGTTCTGACTAAAAGTTATTGGTCCATTGGAAGTCAGAGCCCAATCATATTACATCCACTATTGGAAAAAGCTCGCGTGGTAATCTTTTTTTCACTATTTTTTTTTGTGACCAACTCGAGCAATATTTCGTTTAATGTGCAGAGTTTTGATGCCTTTTATCAAAAGGATTATCCGAGGCGGCGCCTGATGTGGAATTTTGCGTTGGTATGCGTAATAGTTGAAGTTTTTCATTAAATACTTCCTATACTTTTCCAGGGGAGCGTTCACTTGCGCGTGAGATTTTCTTTTAAAATAGAAAAGGTATTAGTGGTTACTCCGCCTCAGTTGAACCTGCTTCTCGCCTTCGAGGCAAAAGACAACGTGTCCTTTAAGGTGGCGGTTGATTGGTTGCTACTGTAGCCCTTAATTTACCTCGGAAGGAATTTTAGGAACTTGCAAAAATTGTCGGGAGTGACCAGGTTGCACGTGAGGTTCTTCCATCGTTGTGCTCTAGAAAGTTTCCTATTCTATTAGAGCGGTGCATATTTTTGTTTCCTTATAATTCAGTACGGCTTATTTGTTGTGTACAAGTAATGTAACGAATGAGAAAATATTCGTATTCAACACCGCATTGTCTTGTGCTAAACGGAAAGTTTCATTATTAAAATTGGCCCGAAATAACAGCGATGAGCACGTGAAGGAAAGCATTGATATCTTCTTGAAGGCATGATTGTTGCTCATTGTTTTTCTAGCAGGAAAGTTCTGATATTGCTCGTAACCGCCTACTATGCATTGAAGCCGCCATTATGAGGGTTCTGAAGACCAGGAAAACCCTCGAACACACCCATTTGGTTTCTCAAGTCGCCGCGCAAATAACTAGTTTGTCGCTATACCCTGCACTTGGTTTTTGTTTCCAATGATAAGCTGGACCTCTCATTAAGGTCACCGGCCGTCCGATGAGTTGATTAAACGCTGCATCGCATCGCTAATTGAACGAAAGTACATTTCCTGTGACCCTCAGCGCCCGTACACTTATTGGTTTAATAGATATTCGTTGCCTACTCTCCACGTGGTTTAGGGATATGTACATTTACGTCGCTTGACGGGAAGCCAATTACACGTAAAGCGGAAGTTACTTTTATTAACGGCGCATCTGCCCGGCTTTTCAAGGCATTGTCGCTTGTAGTGGGTTTGCTTGTATGCAGGAAGGATTGATAGCCACAGTTTTGGTCTGATTGGCTGTCTTATAAATTCCAACTAGCCGGTTGGCCAATTCAAACATGTTGTTTCTTAGGGAAATAATAATAAACTGAGCGTTTTTAGTCCTTTCCTTAATATAGTTTGCCACAATCGACACATTTTTGAAGTCCAACGCGGCGTCGATTTCGTCCATCACGTATCTTTTTTTTCCCGCCAGTAAATAAGGAATTAATAATAATGAAAAAGCGCAGCCATACAAAGGCGTGGGCTTGTAGTGGTGCAGAGCAAACACGAGCGCGAGGGAGCTCAGAGTCTGCAAGTAAAGAAAAGAGTGAGAAAAGCGCCAGAAAAGAACGAGCGCCGCCGCAAAGTCACTTTTTCTCCTCCGGAGAGATTGGAAATATTCTTCCACGACTTTTTCGGAGGCCTCACACTGAAGACGATGCCGTCCTCGAAGGGATCCAGGCTGTTCACCTGCTCCAGCTCAGCATCGCCTCCCATCGTGATCATCTTCGCTCACAGTCATTGGTTCAGGCCCGCATGGTTGGAAAATTTTAAGGAAAAAAAGACGAAACCTGGTACATCTCCTTCAGCTTGAGGGCTATTTTACTGAAGCCGTCCAGAAAGATAGTCAGTCTTTATAGGAAAAGTAACCACAAGCGCCAATAACAATGAATGCCTCATAAAAATAAAACCTTTCTTTTTTCAAGCGAGCAAGTTCGGCCCTTGCGGTATCCCGTAATTGGCTAGCCGTTTCTACAATTAGTATTACATAAAAAAAATATAAACGAAAATTGCAGAATTAAATGATTTTCAGTAAAATACAAGAAAAGAGAAAAAAAACAGCGAAGCTGAGAAAAAACCGTAGTCTCTTTTCTTTGCCTCATACTCTTGACACTTCTGCGCGTATTCTAAGTAGGCGGTGATTGGTCGCTTTCAACAAACACTACCGCCTTTTTAATAAAAAACCTGCAAGAACCGACATGTTGGGATTCATTTTTTTAACTTCCTCGTCGAGAATGGTCACTTTGTACTCCAGTTCTTCCTTGTTAAACTGCTTTATTTCCTCCAAATCATATTCCTAACGAAACACGTGGCAGCCTTTCACTCTTACGTGCTTTAGTACGTGGTAATAAAAAAAACTTTAAGTTCATGATAATTTTGTGGGGGTTCCTTCACAAAAGAAGGAAAGGGAAGAAGTTCCAACTTTTTAAGCATCTCAGTCCAATACTTGATATGCTCACGGCGTGTTTTTATCTGAATAAAAATAGATAAAATAATGAAATAATAGTAACAAAATATTAACATCAGCTGCTAAGTGGTCCACGTTATTAGCGAGATCGACCAATAAGGAGCGGTTGTTTGTAGCCTCCTTTTTAAGCGTATTGTAGCTGAAATATATAAATGTGTAAAAATTATAATGAAAATGGTTCAATATATAAAAAGCAGTACTGAATGTCGTTCTGCTCGATTTCTCTTTTCTTGGCTTCGTATAACTCATTAGCAACTTTAATAGTTTCGAGAACTTTCTGAGCTTTCTATTATTATTTATATTATTTAATTCATTATTTCTTATTCATTAATTTTTTAATTATATTTTCTGTATTTTTTTGTTTTTTATAAATTTATGATTACTTTTTTATTTCTTTATATTTTTTGTTGTATCACTTTTCTAGAGTTCACAATAATTGTGTTATCTTACACTATTTATCTTCATATTTATAATATTTTTTAACGAATCATACTTCATCTAATTCCTCAAACTCCTTTTTAGTGGTTTCTATAAACTTCTTATTCGAGTCGATCTCTCCCAATAAGCTTTCGATTTTGTCTTCCATCGTTTTTTTCTTTTTTATATTGGCTTTCACAGAAACGTTCGTGCGGGTAATGGCGGTAGCCAACGTATCCAGCTCCTTGGTGATAGTCTCCACCTATTTTATATAATAACAATAATAACAATAATAATAATAATCGTAAGCAATCACACTTACTTTTAGGCTTTGTGACTTCAACTTTGGGCCACTAATATCCAAAATTTTTTTCTTTAAGAGATCGACTGACTCAGTATATTTACTGACGATGGCTTTCGTCTTCTTTAATACAGGTTGGAGGACTTTCGCAGAATTTTCTAGCTCTGCTTGGCGCGCGGCGTCTTCAGCGCTGATGGTAATATTTCTAACGGCATTAAAAATAAAGAAATTTAAAAGTTATACTTTTTTTAAGGAAAAATAAAGAAAACTTTATTTTAGAAAGCAAAAGTTCTGTTTCCTGAATCTAATAAATAACAAATAATATTACGAAAACTTTATAATAATGATTTAGTAATGCAAACTTGTTGGGTCTTCGCGTGTATCTCCATTTCATGCTTTTTTAGGGTCAAGGTGCATTTCGAAAGTTCATTCTTTTACAGTAAATATAATGAAAACCAAAAAAAGTTGGATAGCAAAAAATAATTACTACATTCAGTTCATTTATTCTCTTTCGGTAGTCTTCTATACTTTGGCCGACTTTAGAAGTTTCTTCTTGAAAACTCTGATGGCAGCCAATCACATGACGAGGTTTTTCAAGACGCCATTAAGAAAAGGGAAAAAATTACAAGTATTTGCTTCTCGTGCTGCGCGATGGATTCAGGCGTAACGGAATCGTCATGGAGGCGGGAAGACATGCCCCCACGTGAGACACTGAAAAGATTTCAAGGGGTTTCAAGCAATGACGATAATAATAATAATGACGATAAGCATTACTGGTGCCCACCACCCGAAAGAGTGCCGCTGACATCCACCACTTCGCCTTTCAAAGTTACGGAGCGGTAACGTTGCCTGCCCGCCGTGGAAACACGTGTTGCTTGCGCCAAGTCTATTCGATGCATGTAAATAGAGAAAGGGACGCTCACGTGGCAAGTAAAGCGACCCTTGACCACGAGAGTGTCACGAAGTGCATGGTAAAAGGCGGGTCGAAAATGCTCGGCCTTCGGTTCAACCAAATCATATAAACGAGGCACATTTTCGGGAGTTTCCAACTTCTGCCGGCTCCTAATAACAATAATGAATAATAAAGATAGTAACAATAATGAATAATAAGAACCTCCTTATCAAGTTTTCATTCAACTGCTCCAATATTAAAAAAGTGGCTCTTCCAACATTAGCGGACCTTAAAAATTCTGCGCATCTGGAATGTCCATAAAAAATAATGGTTTTATATAGTGATAAAACGTAAACTTCTGAGCGGTTTGAACGGTGTCGACCACAATATTGTTAAGAGAAGGGCACGCGCTTGTTATTGCCACGTCAAACTGCACCGCAATGGTCCCCAGCGACCCCAGTCTTCCGTATATTCCTTGAATATTCCCAACTTTCTGCAATTTTTTTGTGAAATACAGGCAAAGTGCACGTTTTTTAAAGAAAAAAAAAACCTTCTGTTCCATCAGCCGTTCTAGTACAGCACTTTTACTAAGGGATGTGCTGAGGTTAGACTTAGACTCTTCCAGCTTCATCCGTTCCTCCTTTAGAGCTTTTTTCACCTCCTCTTCTTTTTTAACATGTGTCTTTTTATCAGAAAAATAAAGAATACTCCTGAATATATAAACATTTATAAAGCAGGAAACCGAAAGTTCTTTTTCTAAAGCCTGCAACTCCACTGGAATGGCAGTTTGGCGGATCCGGGTGGCCTCCAAAGCGGTTTTCTGCTCCTTAAGAAGATGCGTTAATTTGTTGAGAGTCTCCTCAGCCTCCTTTTTCTGTTCCATTTGCTTTTGGTATTCATAAAAAAAAATACTATTTCCATAAAAATAAATATTCAATAACAAGAAACCTTGTGGTACTTATCGCGAAGCATGTGATACTCACTTTCTGCAACATCGTACTGAGTTTGAAGGTCTCTAAGTTTTTGAGTCCACGGCTGTAGTTCTGATGAATATTATAAATATACACAGCAACGCAAATAATGTAGTGAACAAGGAACCAACCAGTTTCTTTTCTCTCCAACTCTTGCGCTTCTCCGGCTATCGACGCCTGAAGGCTTCTTTTCAGCTCTTCAAAAACAACTTCCTCGTGTGCCTATAGCAGGGTGGGGGGATGAGACCACGTGATGAACGCTCATTAAAAAATATTACGCACCAATTTCTCTTTTAAGAGTTTTGATTGAAGCTCCGACTCCACCAGAAACGCGTTGTCAGAGTCAATGGCCCTGCATGTGGCTTTGAGCGATTCTTCAAGAGCTTGCATGCCACTCAGCATGCGTTTGCCTGGGATCCAACATACCAAAAAAGTTCATTAAATATACCACATAATGAAACTATACCGTTTTTTTGGCAGTGTTTAACATCCTCACTATAAAAACTTTATTTCAAAAAATATATATAAATTTAAGCGAAAAAAAAGCGGAAAACCGCTTTTTGGTGTCCAGAATTTCAAGAGCGGCGAATGCTTCTTTGGCTTCCTGAAGATCACTCTCAAGTTTTTTTAGTTCCTGCAGATCTAAGGAATTTTCAGTATTAGAAATTAAAATTATAAAAAGAATTAAAGATAGATCAAATAATCTATGACAGGTCTTAAGAAAAACTCATAACGGATGTTACCGCGTGCGCGGAATTCCTCCAAATCTTTCAGCTGCTCAAACGAACGCTTGACGGCATCCTCCAAATTTTGCAACTCTGCTAACTTTCCCTGTAATTCTTTTTCGCAAGAGAGACAGTCGTGCTGAATTAGAGCTCTTTGAAGCTATCAATCACAAATTTGAACAGCGACATTAAAAAAATAGAGGCGATCAAAAATTACCTGAAAAAATTTACATTGGAGGGCACTGAGCTCATTTTTTTTTCGTATATAGGCGACGGTATTCGTCACCGTCCCGTCTAGCTCGCTGCGATCGTGTTGATTAGCCTTCAGGCGGTTGAATTTAAGCTCTCTTTCTTGTGTAAAGGCCTCAACTGTAGACAACAGAAAAAAATAAATATACAATCAAATCATAAATTTAAAAACCAGAAGTTTTTATAATTAAACTTGTTACAAGCAAATTAATTTAGATTAAATTCTTAAAGACCTTTTTCTTCGGCCTCTGCAATAAGTGGCTTCAGCTGATCACTTCCCACAATCTCTTCTAAATATTCCTGCATACATTAATAATTAAAAAAGTTTAACGCGTTAAGCATACTATATAATAAAAATGGAATTTTTTTTTAAGCAGCTTCAAAAAGATTTCTTATATAACAAGTTATAAAAAAAATTACTTTTTGCCATTAAAAATTTGCGTTTATAATATGAAATGATTAAAAGTAAAAGAGAAAAAGATTAAGCCTTTTACGTGTAAAAATATTACTAATAAACCGCGATCGCCATCACCTTTACCTTTCGGTTTCATTAATGCAATCTGCTCGACTTCACCCTGCATAGTTATATATATTATTATTATTATAAATATAATTATTAAAAAGCTATAAACCTGTAGAATTAGGAATCTGTTGTTACTAAGATCAACTCCTTTTCCTTTAAGAGTCTCAATTATAGTTTCCATCTTCACAACTTTTGTATAAAGAAATAATAATAAAGTGAATACTCTTAATTCGTATTAAAAAAATTTTAAAAAAAAATACAAGATTGTTAATAATAAAGTACAACGGAGCCACGCTTGCAAATTTTAAAAATTCTCAATTATTCTTTTTAAGTGTAAACAAATTTAAAAAAAAATTAGTATATAATAAATAATTTTCACAACGAATTTAAGAGCAAAAATAAATCTAATCGTTATTAATATCTTACAACTCATCAAGATTTTTTAAAAAAAATTCAGAGCAGCGCTGTCGCAATGACTCACCGTTATTATTAATAAAATAAGTTGAGGTAGATTTCCGATCTGCTCTGCGAGAAATAACCAATTCAGATCCTTTCAAAGAATTAAATTAGTTGAATATTTTTAATTTAAATTAGTGCCTAATAGATAAAAAACGATTTTTTAAAAAATTAAACTGTAGAACAGTAAACAGATGATTATATATAAATTTCAAGTAATTTTTTTTTAAAAATAATAATTACAAGATGAGCAATAACAAAGTGCAAAAGAATAAAAAGTAAAAAGTAAAAAATTCATATAAAACCAACGTCACTTAAATATACTATAATATAAGCCGCAATATTTCGATCGAGGTAATCACACATTAAAAAAATGGGATCTAAGTCTCAAGTTATAAGAAAATTAAATTAAAAGTATTATAAAAAAGATTTATTAAATTTAGAATTTTTATTAATAAAATCACTACGAAAAAATTATTTCTACTAAATTAATAATTATAAACAAAAAGAGGACCTGCAATAACTTCATAGTTCTCACTGTCACTCTGAATATATACGAATAATAATTAGCAAAAAATAAAAGAAATAATTTAATTTATAAACCAGAAAAAATGTAAAAGTTAAAAACTTTTTCATAACACTAAAGTTATGAGACGAATTAATAACTTCAGCGCACTGCGCAGTCGAACTTTCAGTTAAAAAATTTTCTACTAATCTTTTGCAAGAAATTGAATCTTCCAGTTTACTTTTTTTAAATCCCAAACCAGTTATAATCAAGTAGAGTAAAAAATTTTATATAAATACTCTTTAGCATGGCTTCGAGTTATCAAAAATTTGTAACGAGATCTAATTTTAATATAATAAAAACGCAATTCAAACCTTTCAGTACTGAGAGATTTAAATACCCAATTAAAATTGATTTTCAAACCTTACAAAAAGAATCTACGTAATTTTTAAAAAATTTGGACTTCCTAAGGTATATTAAATTTAAAAAGATTTATGGAAGTGGTTATCTAACTATAAATTAGGGACTTAAAAAGTGCTTCGTAAAAAACCGTTATAGTGCAAACCTTACAAAAAGAATCTACGTAATTTTTAAAAAATTTGGACTTCCTAAGGTATATTAAATTTAAAAAGATTTATGGAAGTGGTTATCTAACTATAAATTAGGGACTTAAAAAGTGCTTCGTAAAAAACCGTTATAGTGTCATTTCTAAAAAGAGAGGTCTAACAATAACAAATTCCGTAAGACCAAGAGGTTAATATATAAAAGTTAAAAGAAAATGCAAAAGAACTAATATAATATACCCATAACTTATGGTTAACTTATATAATTTTTAAAGGAATCTATAGAATAAAATTACCTCATAATCTACTATAGATTGAAAGAAAATGTTCACTTGGCAGAAGTCGCAAGGATCGCTCTTTTCACTGCTGTGTATTAAGTCTGAAATTTTTTTTTGACGGATAATGGACGCCCTAAAACCTTATTTTATTATAAAGTTACGGCCTCTGGATATAATAAATATTTTACTGAAAAGAAAACCTAAAACAAATAAAAGTGCATCAATAACGTTTGACTTTCCGCTTCCATTGGGCCCAACCACGGACGTAAAACACTTTTAAATTTTTTTTAAATGACTCATTATACCAAAACCAAATATTTAAAAAAGATTTCAAGTTTACCTTGTGAAAGGGGCCAACGGTTTGCTTCCCAGCATAGGACTTAAAATTTATTAGCTCCATTTTTAAAATCATAAGTCTACCCTTTAAAGAGTTTTGCTTAGTGGAAACCATGTTGCAACTACGAAGCTACTCAAGAAGAATCTTCCTATCTTGCTGAAATTTAACTAATTTTAAAAATTAGAGCTACTAGAAAATAATTATCGGTGCTGGGTATCTAAATTTAACTTTCTAGTTTTGCCTTCGGTGATTATTCGGATCAGCAAACATCGAGCTTTCAAACTTTCGAACAAATAACTTTAGCGCCTAATCCTTCGTACACTATTGTTTAAATTTGTTTGTTTAAAATTTTTCGTAAAAATCCTATAGCGCCCTAATTAACAACTGTTTTTATTGTTTTTTTGTGTAAATATAAGTTTAGATTAAGATCTATTCAATTTAGTTTATATCATAGAAACTGCTTTCATTCTTAAGGTTTTTATCCTTTTTAAAGTTTGAGTTTAGCTTAAAACGATTTTTCAAAATAACTTGTAAACAATTTTATATATATATTTTCGTGTATCTGCATTTATATTTGCTTATATTATATTAATTTCATGTCTTATTTTTTGATCTTACTTTAACATAATTTTAAATCCATAATAATACTCATGATGACATAATATATATTCCTATTGCTTAAATTATTTTTTATTTTACTTTTAATATTTTTAAACCATTAGAATATAAAATTACTTGATAAAAACAAGATTTTTATATCTATTTCCGTTTATCTTCATTATCTGCTCTTGTCATACTATTTTCATGTCTACCGACTAAAATATAGTTGTAAATCCGTTAAACCTTCGTTTTTAATAATTGGTATTTTTTTAAAGAAACCGCTGGAAGAGGAGGTCAAGGACTCGAGCCTCGAATCCTTTTTTGTCATGGTCATGAATGGTTAGTACTATTTTAAAAAAAGGTACCTAACTCATCAAACCAAAAGTGTTAATTATTACCAAACCTTGGTGAATAGAGCACCGACGAGTAATACCGATTTCACAGTGCACACTTTCTGCCTTTATGGTCAAGTACAAAAAATGCATTCTAAAGGTATTGGGTTGTAGCTACTAATAGTTGTAAAGAGTTGATAAACAAGCTTGTTGTCTCGAAGATAAAGCTTGTTAATAAGAATTAAATTAATTTAATTAATACTTAACCCTGAGCCGCTCCTTTCTGCCCGAGTCCCCTACCCCAAGCGCGGGACAGTCCGTGTTCAATAACTATTTTATTATTATATTAAGGGCTTCTCTCCTTTCAAAGCAGTTAAATTATGTAATATTGGTTTAGGCGGTATATTGAGTCTCTATACAAAAAAAGGTCAGACCTTAGTATATCCGTTGGTCTAAGAAGAAAGAATTGAGTGCTTTATTCTATAATGTTGATCTCGGTCTTAACAGTCATGAAAACCTATATTTAGAGTCTTTTATCAAAAGTACTAAGTCTTAAATAATTTGAGGAGGCTTAAGCCCAAGACTGCGAGGTTAAGGATCATAATGATTTTGGTGGCACGAATTAAAAGGACCTCATTGTATCATGATGTATAAAAATAAAGATAATATAGTAAAAGATATGAAAACAAAATATAAATTTGTATACGTGTTATATCTCTAAAATAAATTGTTAAAATATATAAAATAAAATGAGTATATACGTTTAAAAAAAACATTTTTGTTGACCGGTTTGTAATCTGAATTTTATACCCTTTACAAAAGGATAATTTTATTTATTTCTAAATATGTGTGAGTAGTATCCTTACCAAATTACAAAATTATTTTTTTGTTTAATTAATAGGTTCCTTCTAATATTGATGTTATTTCCTTATTTGGTTTCCTGTAATTTCTCTGGATTACCGTAGTAGTTTCTTTTCATTGCTTAACACTCTTAGAAATGATTGGAAACATTCAAATTCAATTGTTTTTTTAGTGTTTCACGATTTATGTTTTGTGTTTTGTGTTATGCTATATGCATTCTTTTATTTTTTCGAGTGTTGTGTTTAGAGTTTAAATGTTCGTCATGTTCTTTGTATTATGGTATGAAAGGTGGAGTTTTCCTTTTATTTTGCTATTTGTTGCTCTGGATTCAATTTAGAGAACTGTTATACTGATCCCAGAACAGATAAGTTGTTAGATCCGCCGAGCTTGTTATTCCTATAGCTAACTGAGATAGCTTAGTTCACAAGTTCTTAAGCAAGTTTATACCTTATACAACCCATTTCCAAAACAATTACTTTTTTTTTTAAATGCTATTATAGTGACTTCTGATTATAATAATGGTCTTTTTAAACATTGTGTAAAAAATACTTTTTCTAAAGTAATAATCAGCATTCTTTGCATTATTACCATTTATGTAAGGGAGAGCGTTTGTAACTTCTACAAGTTTTGCTCTTCTCAAAAGCTAGTGCGATGGCGAAAGTGCAACTTGCCTACTTTATGAAGGTTAAAGCCTCTTTTTCTTTAGACACTTTTAACAGCAATGCAAGTTTAGAGAGGCAGAGGGTTAAAATTAAATTGTTCAGTAAAAAACTCTATATCTATAAGGCCCATAATTGTATAAAAGCCTAAAAAAAAGCGTAACGTAATTTAATCTTATAGGATGGTGACACCGGCTGTTTTGGTCTTTAGCAGCATTTTAAATCATTTTTAATGTTACGTTAATTATTAAAAAGGATTTACGACTGTAAAAAAATGTTCAACTTAGTGACGAACATCATAATTGTAAAAGCTTTTTTTCAAGATGTCATAAAGTTTTCTCCTTTACACCTAGTATTATACTGGGGTGCCGAGTCCGGGCTCATTATATATATATATATATATTTATACTAGCAAACAATACTATTCATTCAGCACTATAACTATGCAATCGTTACTACTGCGTCATATACCAGAAGAGAACACTATTCCAGTCGACCAATTACCGCTTAGCCAGCAGTCATACACAGCATCATTTTACAATGATACGAGAATAGCATACTAGTATAGAACATCACCGAAATGTTACCGTATCTGTACGGGAAGCAATCACTCTCAACTTTAGCCAGAACTAAGCATTCAAGAGTTTAACAAAGGACACTAAAGTCTTCCAAAACAGAGACTATAAGCATCTAGACCCGATTCAATATCATTTTTTGCGTACCACTCATTCATATACAGAATTTGATCATAGCTTTCTCCGCATTTCTTCGCCTTTGTTAAGTTAACGTATGCTACAAACTTAGCCACATAGATACACATCGCCTATGTATTTACGGACCCCAAGTAGAAAGATGCAAGGAGCAAAGCGCAGGCAGTAACTTAGTCTATCAAAGCAGCAATGCGTCATTGTAAGGTTAATGTGCCAAACAAAAGTTAGATTTCAACAGACGGCCTTCATTGAAGCCGATTCATTTTTCAATCTGTTCACAGCTCGACCACTTTTCGCTCAAATTGAATTAAAGTGGGACAGCCAACCAGAGGCCCAATTAGAAAAGTCAAATGGACTTCTTAAAGGCTTGTCATTTGTGCCAGGTTTTATCATATTAAAGAGCAAGTCTTTCGAATCGCCCGTAAGAGCCAACTTTACAGTTCTTCTAGGCACACACGTGCTTGATAATTCTAGAACGAAGCAGGGTAACCATTATCATGGTCGTGGAGGGGGTGCGGGCGGTTAAATATTCCGTTTGATAATCTTTTAAGCCCACTTGGCGTCTCAGCAGATGTCAAAGAAAGCCCCTAACAGTAGAGGGTTACTGAATATCACAAAGTTGTTAGATTACTTGACAGCTGTGATCAACCCTAGGATGGATTTCGAGCTTGACGGCTTCGACAACACGCCAAATACCGATTAATTAGTCAGTAAAACACAGGCCATCTCCTTGCAGTTAGCTCGAAAGTACCTTCCAACTTAATGCTTAATTTTATATATAGTCAAGATCTTTTTCGTGCACTTTACGATAATAACCTAGGGACAAAGATGAGTCCTCGCTTACTTGTAGTAATTGCATGCTCACCAGTGGACACACAAACGTTCAGTTAATTCGCACTAACTTCGCGCAAGCTCAAGCATGCACTAAAATAGCTTATGGTATTCCAGCAGAAACCTCAAACAATCGAGCTTCTGCGAACATACTGAATATAAAAATAACCACATTGTAAGGCTACTGGTAGCATATAAAATCCACAAACCCTTTTTATTTGCGTGATTAACCATCTAAGAGCTCTATTTTGATGACAAAACCTGTATATTGGATCTGGTTAATAAATTATAAGCTTATATTACCAACTATGTTCTTTCCATTTATGTTAAAAAAAACGTTGGTTATAATTTGGACCCGCCAGAGAGAGTTAGCTATATAAGCTGGAAGTTATGTAACATAGTTTGCGATGCGATGCCTTTAGTTAGCTTATATATGTTTTATTTCCTAGCGCATAATGCTGTTCACGGGAGCAATACATTTAAATTAGTTGTTCTCGTCCAAGCTATAAGCGATACAGCTTAACTTTAAGACTAGGGTCAGAGAGTGTGTTAGACTGAACATATAACTTTAGCGATAAGAAAGGGACTAAAACTTTTCTTGTTTTTATTTATGTCGATTTTACAGTACTGATGTATCCGAGAACTATACATTATAGAGAAAAGGTATAATATAGGATAATTACAATAGAAAATCCGTAATAATATTGATGACGTTCAAACTGGCTGAGGAGCACAACCCACACACCTGAAATAAAAGAAAAAAATGTGTGTGCATGCCACGCCTTTTATAATACCAAACAGTGGTGTGCCCTCAAGCGCTCAACCATCACGTACATGCATACATAAACACAACCTAAAATTATAAAAAAAAATTAATAAAAATATTCAGGGTAAATTATCAGGAAGGCATCTTGGTTAGGACTAGGCAGTAAGGCGTAAAAGTTTTAGCTTCACGAAAAACTAAATCCTTTAGTTAACAGCTGATGCTGTTGCATATTATGGTGAATCCTAAATTATACCTCACGTTATGTTTACGAACACCCGTTTTATAGTTTTGTTCGTATAAGTTAGGATCCTTACCAGCGTAGACCCTCAAGTTAATTATAACACTGATAACAATAAAATTGTTGTAACAAACTATCCTTCAAATACAGAGATTTCTATCAGAAATATTGTTTATGCCCCGAACTTTAAAAAGGTTTAATAATTTATTAGTTATAGTCGGCAGGTACCCTATATATGCCTAAAAGCTTAAAAAAGTATATCAAATCAGTGATAAAGTGTTTCAAAATTATTTTAAGTGAGAGTCACCTAGTAAAATTACTCTTGATAAGCAATCGATCTTTAAAAATAAGAGTGGGATAGTGGCTTTCTTTCATAGCCTAAAATTTAAGAAAGATTTTATTACTACCGAACACCATCAATCGAATGGAATTTCTAATAGGTTTGTTTAAACAATTAGAAAAGCGCTTTTGAAAACTAGTTAAAACAAGAAAGCTTGAATGGGCAAGGTTTAGAAGATGAGTGCATGTACAAACTTATGGAACTCCTAGTGTACTGGAAACTGTATCTGTCTATTTGATGTTCAAATAGAAGCCAAGTTAAAAAGAGTGTTTGAAGTGCACAAGGATTTGATAATGTGTTGAGTGCTCAATCTTGCTCTGAAAGAAACACTAAAACGAACAATCGTTTAGAGAGGAAGTCTGAAAGAAAGAAGCAACTAGATATAGCCATGAAAAGATGCTATGTTCTAAAGATCGCTTTTTCGAAAAGTATAAAAGTCGTTGACTTAGTACTTATCGAGTATCCAGAAAAAAATTGGAAAGTGCCTGCTTTATTGGTTGACACACAACTTCAAATCATACCAAGCATACGTAATAGTAATTATTGCCAAACCTTGGGATTGGGAAGTATTATTTACGTCTGTTTAATAGTAATGGTATGAATGAAACTGATAAAATTACACCACTCTCTTGCTAATAAAGTGCCTAAATTTATTTGTTCTGGCGTTTGCTTTTCTTTTTTCCTTTCTAGTGTAATGATACTTTTAAAATAAAAAAACACTAGCCTGCGGTTTTCAAATTACTTAGATCTTAAATTTTCTCTAAGTTTTTTAACAGATTTGGTCACATAAATATACTTATAATTTTAAACCTTCTACTGTTAAATGTTCACAACAGCTCGATGAGACCGCTAATAAAGTGACTATGGTAATGTTTTCTTGCTACTTAGCACTTTGACACAAAGATTTAGATAGACCTAAATAAAATCTTATAAAAGATTGAAGTCCGGAGAGAAATTTAATACTTCTGTACATTACGTTATATGTCCATAGGAACTTATGCAATTGACATCACTTATATCGGTTCCATAAAAAATGCAAACATATAGCTTAGTAAAGAACGCTATCAATTTAAAAATACTAAATTGTGTTAGGCTAAACATAATAATTTCCGGTACTTGTATATAGATGGTCAACCCCTGTAAGCTAACGCAATTTTTTTTTTGCGCATGCTGCTCATCGTTAATAACCTCATTTCTCGTATCTATGATTGCAAAGCAGGCATATATTTATAAAAAGCTTTAGTGTTTATCACTAAAGATCAGGACTCCTCTAAAATTTTAGTTTACTTTTTCTTCAATATTCTAATAGTCAGCATTCTATAAAACTATTTTAGAAAACAACGTTTTTGTTATCCTGAGGTATATTTACTAAACGCTATTAAGAACGAGAGCGAGACGCCTACTATTAACGATGAGGGGGTTCTAGATCCAGTCCTTTATAAATTAAGTTAATGTTTTTAACTTATAGGCCCCTTGTTGTGCTTAACCAGCTTTTTCTTAACCTCGCGAAATAACAGGTCCAACCGTTTGAATGTGATTCTATGTTTCATATTTTTTCCTATAATTTATAGCGCTCTATTTTACATATGGTTTACCAAGGGCGGTGCCGCTTATATATATAGTACTAGTACCTAGTACGTAGCATAGTATAGTGAGTACACTATTACCATAGAGCAAGGTACAGATCACTTGTATATATATAAGTTTAGATTAAGATCTATATAACGTATTTTGTATTAAAATAATTGGTTTCTACTTAAGTTTATCGCTTCGATTTAAACAATTTGCACGTGACTTCCCTTCATCTAAAATTGTTTCAATCTTCATACGAAGTTATCGTAAACCCCCCATCATAGGGTGGTATTAAAGCTATTGGGTGACTATAAAGGATAGCTTAGTTAGAGACTTTAATTTAATAAGGCGTAAACTTACAATCTATATAAAAAAATAAAGTAATACATCTTTTATATTAAGGCAAGGCTTATCTACTGATCGCTGGTAAATGTGGTGTGAGTGAAGCCTAAACATACCGGATTAAAGCTCAATATGATCCAACTTCCCTGCAACGAACCCGAGGCGTCCAAAGTTTTTGAAGAACCGGGATGTAGATCGACTTGTACGACAAGTGATAACGGGTGTATACGAGTACGCACAGAAAGCTTCAAGGTCATAGAAGCAAAATTGTATAAATCAGTTCCAAGCACGACCGAGTCCACAGCATCGTATTTTGCTGGTTTCTATGAGAAAAAAAAGTTAACAAAACCCGCTTTGACAGGCCGTCACAAGAGAAGAAGAATTGCGAAGTACGAAATCAGCATTTCTCACTGGGAAAAAGTAATTTTTTTCGAGACCTAGATCAGTCGAAATAATTCGGATGGTATTAGACTGTGATGGATGCTATCCGGCGATAATCGAATACTCGATTGCCAGTTAGTGCGAACGTATAAAAACAGTGGATCAATTATGATTTGAACCTGTATGACAATCTATGGTGTTGGTAATTTAGAAAAAGTGACAGGGAGCATCACCGCGAACAAGTATTTAGACATTATTAAGAATGACCTACCCAGAACATGCCATTGGTGTGACCTTACTCTTGATGAGAGGATATTCAGCGGGATAATGCCCCACTCACACTGCACTATCGGTTCCATCACACCAATTCCAGTCGTTCCAAGTGCTAGACTGACCACCGCAACCTCTTGATCACAATCCCAGTCAGCTTGCATAGGGAAATTTTGAAGAGAAAATTGAGACCATACGAAGCATCTCCCTCTGATTTGAAGGCTTTAGTCTCGTACACAATCAGAATGGAAATATATAACACCGGGTCAATGCTAAAACCTAACTGCCAGTATGCTTAAAGGGTATAAGAAGTGATTAGTGAAAGGCCATATTAACGATTAAAACCTGGTTTATTAAATTGAAATGTTCTACGAGCCAAATTCTCTCGCAACTTTACAAGCTCACATCTTTTCGAATATTAATACAATTTAAGGTCAAGTATTATCAAAAAAATTTTTGGTAGAACATAGAAATTTAATGTATATACTTGCAAGTAATCCACTACGTTATTAAAAAATTATTTTATAAAAATGAAAAAATGAAAAACGTCGAAGCAATTTTGAACGAAAGTATGTTTATTATTGCGTAAGTAAAGGACGAGTTTTTAGAAGTCTTCTTTACACGTTTAAGTAGAAGTACAGAGCAATTCTTTGTCCAAAGACAACGTTATTTATGCCGTCAACAATATGAGTTTTTCATGGCATATGAATGTTTCTCTTACGGGGACGGACTTGTGTTCCTTCTACTTGATGTTATCCTTTGGAGGCTTAACTGACGGCACTAAGCATTCGTTCATTGCCAGTAATTAGGACACTTTATACTAAAGAGTGCACTTTTCAAGGTACAGCTGGTGGCAGGAAGAATCTTCAATACTTCGCTTGCCACAAACATCTTTTTACTTCATATGGTCATGCCTCATTCTTTTTTGTAAACTTGGTTTTTACCTATTTAATCTAAAAATATATTAAAATTTTCAAGCCTCTTTTATCTTCAACCTGGTCACAATTACCAACTAACTCACCATCCATGCACTCCTAAAACCTCAGCTTACCAGACGCTAACACCGATGCCAGGAAAACCCAAAACAAAGATAAGTTGTTATTACGAGGGTTTCTTTGCAATAAGTATTCCTTACCACGCTTTTCGTGAGGGCTAAAAAGCCTTAAACTAAATGACAATTATGCATCTAATGGAAACTTATTACTGTTTTCTTTTATTTTTTACTGAGTGAACTCGAAACTCTTTTTTCATCTTTATTAACTGTCAAACTTCTATAAGAATTATGAAATTTAAAGAGCTCTGTGAAACTCTAAAACTTAAATTATTAAATATTGGGTGTTTCTTTAGTTTTTATTTGCAGAATTTTATTATTTATTGTCGAATCAGTTGAGTTGTTGATATCTTTTCACACTTTTATAACAATAATATTATTACAATATTAATAGAATATATATGAACAATCAAAAAGAAGAAAGTAATTACGTAAAAGAAGCGTAAGTCTTTTATTTTATTACACTTTGGTACGCCTTTAATTATTTTTTGTGAACTTAGTTTAGAAAAAGCTCAAGTTTTAAATTCTGATCTAAAAACTAAACTAGATGACTTAAGTTTGCGCATATCCTCTGCTCGATACGAACTTTTTGCTGCCGGTAACTAAGATACTTAAAAACTCTTTTATACTTTTATAGTGCGTTTTCAGATAATAACACAGACCGCCTTAAGAACGAAGTTGTCATTCAAGTTAAAAACGCAAACATTGCTTCTGAACTAGCAAAAAGCTCACCCTCAATAGAAGAGAGTCAAGTTTCTACTAGTGAAAAAAATTAGTTAATTATTTTTAAGTTTACAATTTTATCTTTAATTTTACAAATAAAGTTTCTGGGATGAGGCAGTTAAGCATTTGATGGAGAAACTGCAAAATATATCAAGTAATTTAGAAGATTTACGAGCAGTTTTAAAATCAATAACCGATCAACAAGATTCCCGTCCTTCGGAAGGTTTGATTGTTACTTAAAAGCTCACTAGCATCTTTAAATTTTTCATCCTTCAAATAGCCTTTACTTTGGTCTTGCATAAGCAATATGACACTTTTTTGGCACTTGCGTCTCGCGTTGCTCTTCTTCATGAAGATGTTCGTAGACTCGTTTCACAAGTATATGGCCGATTATACTCCCTGAGGCTCTTCTTATGACCTCTATGATTGTTTCTTTAGTTCGGGAATTCTTTTGGTTTGGATCTTTTTGTTAAGAGCGGTACTCGATTTTCAATTTTTCCTTGTTTTAAAATATAGATGTCTCATTCAAAAAAAGATGTAAGCACAGCAAAATGCGTCGAACTAAGAGCGGACGACGAGTTTATCACAACTTTTGGTTGGGACTTGTCTATTTTAATAGTTCTGCGCACTTAGAATTCTATTATAGGAATGTTCGGTGAATTGCCTGGCTCTGCTCTTACAACAAGTATTTACAATTCCTAAACTTAAGAATTTGTTAGTAAGTTGCTCCTTTAAGATGACGCTGGTGCTTTTGGAAATCCACTAAATAATAGTTCGTGTACGCTTGTGAGTGCTATAAGTAATCCCACTCCACTAAAAACAGGATTTATGTAATAATTTTTTACGATTAATTACTTAAATAATAAAGCAAGATTTCTTTTGTTGTTAATTATATTTCTTTTACTCAAACTCGTCTTAATTTCAATAACCTTTTTATTTTGCACTATTGGCTCTCTTAGAGTTTTTACTTACTTTTCCTGTATAGATCTTAGTGCCGTGATAAGAAAGGGTTGCTTTTGTAGTATATATACAGCTCTTTGTGGTACAGCTTGAGGTCTTCAAGCTTTTCAGTTTATAGAGTTCTTTAGATAGAGGCGGAACTCCAAAGTTAACAAGCAATATTAAACAAAAGGTAATATAGACTTTTTTATAATATTTCTATGTTTCGCTCTTTAATAAAAAGTTTTAAATGAAGCGAAACTTTTAAGTATTTGACGCCACGCCCCCTTTTAGAATTTACAAGGATTTGTAACCAGTTTTCAGTAGCTTTAATCGGTTTATAATTCACTGCAGGTATCGATTTGTTTATTTGGTACTAAGGTTGGAGAGAATTACAGAAATTAACTATTAAAGGAACCTTTACGTTGCTTGCATTCAGTGACATCAGCTAAAAAGGATCTGACACTTTTTCCTGACGTTATTTATATGCACTCTTGCTGAATTTTACTTTATATTTTTCCCTTGCCTTTTTCGTAGGAATCGGTGTACTAGTTATTGATTTCCTGTATAACATTTGAACCTGTGCACGGACAGCGCACGCCTACAGCTGCAAACTCAGTTTGATAACACACAATGTCTTCGTTATAAGAAGTATGCAACAAAAAAAGATTGGTAAATAATATTTATAAAATGTAGGAAGGTGACCGCTAAGAGAGCCTGAACTTAAACAACAATAAGTCGAAATGGTTGAAAATTGTAAGAATATTAATTGAGGAAATATTAATGATTTATCCTGAGAGAAAGAAACAAGTTATTTTAAAATATATTTATATGATTTCTGCGATACATAAATTTTTATAGGCTTGACTTATTAAAAAGTAATAGTGATTTTAGGCTTCTGAACCTAATTTACCCTCTTACAATTTTTTAAAGGGCCTCAAAATCGTTAAGTTAATATATGAAATTTGGTTTACGCTTTATATTAGATAATTTCTTTTTATATATTATTTCTACTTTAGCTAGTCTCTTTGTAAGATTAGCAGTAAAACAATCGTTAAACTCCTACAAAGTGGTGTTATCGCCGAGTAATCTGGATACTGATAGTCGAAAGAATTGACTTGGAGGAATAGCGATCGCTTTTTCCATGGCAAATGTTTAGCTTGTACAGGAGTCGCTTAATACCATGTGGTCTAAACAGTCACCAATCTATTGCTCGTGCTAATAACAACACACAGCTATTTTAAAAAGCTCTATCATGTGTTACATTGCACACTTAAAATCTATCGCACGAATCTTTCAGTAAAGTTTATAAAGGAAGTCTTTTCTATAATGCTTAACAAATGGATAGCTTGACTATTTTTTAATAAATAATACATATTTCTCTGTTCATTACCACGAGTTAATAAAGAAGCCACTTAAAATATTTTAATGGATTTTCGATAATATTAGATAAATTATAGTTTTGATACTTCTTGCAAATAAGCACCGAGAAGCTTAATACCTGTACAGAAACAAATATGAGTATTTACAGTTACTGAGCAAAGCCAGTCACCATTAATGTAGTTGGATTCGTCTATCTTCTCGTTAACAGAGTGAGCACCGTCGTCGCCTCGTCCTAGCGGAAGCAAGAGGACATTTCTCCCCGTAGCCTTCTCGAAAGTCAAGGCAACAGGAATTGATCCGCCCTCCCTGGTGAAATCGGGCTCAACGCCATAAACTAAGGGACTTCAATATTGAAGAACGACCCAATGAAAATACGGCATATAGTACAGTACCCTGCTGAATGGCTCTTTTTCCCGCCATATAATTGGGATGGTCGGGATCGCTGACCCACGGCATGCCTCCTGGGAGATCAAGAGCGGGAAGAGGACGGATATGTAAAGCCAGCAGAAGAAGCGGCAGTACCTTCAGGAGAGTAGATGTGAAGTTTGTTTGGAGACTGCAAGCCGGCAAACTCAGTTTTGAGAAAGTCTGAAACGAGGGCTTGGATCTTCTCGGGCTCTTGGTTAGGAACGAGACGAATCGAAAACTTCCCTGTGACCTTTTTAACAAGCCATAATATAATAGTATTTTATCGGAAGAGTCTCATTGGTAAGGCCACCGACCTTGCAGGGTATCACCGTTTTGGAGCCCTCACCGGAGAAAGCGCCTTGGATACCGTGAATACTCAAGCTGGGGTATCGCCAGCGAGCCATGTGGAAGTCCACCGGGTTTTCCTGAATGCATTTTCCGACCTTTATACTCTGTCGCTCCGGAAAGGAGACAACATTAGCATAAGAAAGTTTTTATAAAATACGAATATTTGTAAAAAAAAAATTACGCGTTTAAAATCTTCAATAGAAAAATCGACTTTTTTATACAATTCTAATTCTTTCTCAGTTAAAGGGGCCACGGTGTTCGATATACCTGTAATTTTATATTATTATTTTATCATCACTAGTATTATTATATAAACCAGGTATTAAAAGTTTCCCGTCGGAAGTAATTAACTTCGAAAAAAGATGTATAAGGTCTGTCATGGGTTCATGGCTTGTTTTTAACAAAAGTAAATAATAAAGAAAAATATATAAAAAAAGAAAAAAAACAAACACGACGCCGCCAAAAACGCCGGAATGGAGGTCTGCATGGGCGCCTTCGATTTCTACAAAGAAATACACAAGTCCGCGTAGGCCGTAAGTGAGGCATGGCTTCCTCGTGCCCAACCAGTAGTTATCTGAAATACAAAAGTAGTCCACATCCTAACCAGAAACTATTATTATTATTATTATTATTATTATTATTATTATTATTATTATTATTATTATTATTATTATTATTATTATTATTATTATTATTATTATCATTAAGCCTCCCACGACTCCATGTTACATGATCTATAACTCAGTAGTCTAAAGCTAACACTTTATCATAAATTACGATATCTTAACAATTTTTTTAATTTATTATAATTAAATATAATAAATAAAATTTAAAATTGATAAAAGGGTTTTAATTCATATCTAAGTCTTATAAGTAATTATTTCTTAAAATAATTTTTTAAGACACAAATAGTTATCATTTGCAATATTGATGGAGGCTTTACTATTACTATTATCCTTCTAATGCTAACATTATTATTTTTAACATAAAGGTAATAATATTGGTATATTTCTTAAAAATATATTACATAATATATTAGTAGATTAATAACAATAACATTTTATGAGCAACTTAAATAAAATAAACTTAAAAAATCTTATTAAATATAATAATATTATTATTATGATAATAGTTTTTTATAAAAATGTTGGTAACCGCAGTATTTTTTTAAATTATACGTGCCATATAAATATCTAATAATATTAATTCTTCTTGAATGGAATAAAAACTTTTATACGTTTATAATTCCTTACTACTATATCAATTTTATAAATTATATTATTTCAGTTACTAAAAGTTGAAAGAGGCTTCCTGCCTTTTTATTGGTAAAAACTTTTATCACAAACAGCTGAATGGCAGAAAAAACTTTGACAGCAAATAAGCTAGATCTCCAAAGTATTACATAAATTACAGTGAGCAATAATCCTATAATTTGATTGGTAAATAGTAAAGTTGTAAATAGCATAAATTTTAGTGAAATTCACATATCATCAAGAGGAGAATTATATCCTATATAATGCAGTTTTCCTAATCTTTATAGAAAATTTTTGTGAATTGATTTGAAAAATTAAAAATATAAAAATAATTAAAAAAAGAAAACCAACTTTGTTTACAAAAATAGTAAGATAATCAAAACTCTATAATAAAAACATCATCCAAAATTATATTAAAGTTTGAGATTAACCAAAACATAAAGAAACATAACTACAAATTAAGTAAATTTAGAAAAAAAATCTAAAAATATTCAAATTTATTTCATACTTTTTCAAAATTCATTTATTATATGCAAATTAATAAAAGCTAACTGATGAGAATTACTTGAGTCTACCTTTAAAAATTGATCAGCTTCTCGATTAATCAGATCGTCGAGGCCCACACTACCGCTCTCTTCCATTCCTAAACATTATTAAGAGAAGACCAAAATATAAAACTATTAAAATTTTTATGCTTAATGAAAAGAAAACTAAATATTTTATTAGCTATTATTTCTGTTCTTCAACAAATTTTAGTGTTGAATAATGATACATATATAAAAAGTAAGTAAAAAACTCTGAATACAAAGATATATTACTTATTGAAGGTATAACACTAAAATTGTAGTTCAGACCTGTAAACAAAAATAATATAAATTTTTTAACACAAGAATTTTAATTTACTATAGTAAATTATACCAAAAAATTTTTAAAAAGTAAAAGCACCAAGCAAGCTAAATATTTCAAGTAACAATGTTTAGTTGTAAACTCTTCTAGCATTATTGTTAAAAACCAATTAAATTTATAAGTTTATTATATAAATTATAAATAATTTATTGTCAAGTTAACTTAAAAATAGCTGTAAACAGAATAGTTTTAGAATTATACTTTATAAACTAATAAAAAAAATTTTTAAAGGAGTCTTAAAAAAAGGAAGTAAAAGTAATCTTAATACATATATATAATTTAAATTAATAACATATAGTCAATATAATAATATATAATAATTTTTTTATGTATTTTCTTCTAAGAGATATGAAAACCACTTAAATCTATAAATTTTAGAACGGTAACTTCAATAGCCAAAAATTAAATAAAATTATAAGTTTTAAAATACCTTCAAAGATGAATTTTATATTAACAGGAACTTCAAGGCCAACCTTTTGATAAGCCTACTTAAATAAAAAAAATTTTAAGAATAATAAATTTGAAATGTTTTTTTACCACAACGAGGATTTACCCCGAATCCCTAAAATCTATCTTACCTTATTAAATAAACACTATATAATTACTGGTTACAGGAATGAAAACACGTAGCAAAACTCAATTAAAAAAGTATTAAGTTTTATAATACAAAATGTTCTCAAAGTAAGTGGATTATACTATAAAAATTTTGAAGTGAAATTCAGTATTGGTAAATATTCTTAGAAGCATTCCTGCACTGCCCAAATCCAAGCCAGTATTGGGGCTTTGTCATCGGAAACTCCTCTTCCGTAAAGTTTGGAATCTTTTCTGGTTAGAACAAAAGGATCAGTATCCCATCCATCACTCTCCTCTGCAGGTTGAACGTCATAATGCCCGTAACTAAAAAGAATTGTATTATAAGTAAGTTATTCGCAAAATATAATTAGTAAACTACACGCAAACTGTCTTTTTAGAACTATCAGATCCAAGCTGGCCGAAGATAACAGAGGGAAGACCTAAAGTTTTTCCGTTGGGATGAGTATACTGGCCCAAGTTTCTCTGTAAATCAATATCTTTAAAATTATACTTAAAACTATGCATGAATGTCTAACAATAATAGTCTTCGACCCAATATCTCTGAGATGAGATTCCATTTTCTCCCCCATCTTCTCTACTTCTGATACCCTTTCATGCGTAAAATTTAAACTAAGTCGTCCAAAGTTTGTATAAATACAGTCACCTAGAAACATCACCACTGACACTTTTAATGGAGATGGCTTTAGCAAGTTCATCTATGTAAAATTCCTTATTTTCGTCAATGTACTTAAAGTAATTTTTGAGATCGCTACAAGATTTTTAAATAAAATGACGTTAAAAAAGTGTTTATTAGTTTTTATTGATTTATTTAACAGAAAAGGTGGCTTAATTCTACTTGATCTTGGCGAAAAGAGTGGAATAGCAGTATATATAACCTCATGCAGGGCAAACTGTCTGAAGGGGAGCAATTAGTAAAGGTAGCTTTAGCTTGAAGGTGCTTAAAAAGCGGAATGATAAAATGGCACCATAGATCAAGTAGACTCGCGGGGTTAGCTTTCTACTGGCGCGGTTTGCGTAATAAAAAATATTAGGTGCATGTTCCCTAATTAAAATTAGATTTAAGTCGACTTGCTAACACAGGTATACTGTTTAGCCCTTACTTCCCTCTTAAACCAAAGGAATGGTAAAAAGGAACCAGCTCCTTAAAAAGTAGTGTTTTTTTTTTTCAGTTTGTTTATAAGCTAGGAAAGAAAATCATACGACCACTCAACAAAAAAAAAAATGAAATAAAATAAAGGTATATTTATAATTTAAGTAAGTAAATTTATAAATACATGACAATATAATATTTAAATATATTATATATACTATATATTCTAACATATGCTAACTGAAGTATAATAAATAAAGCTAGGACATTAGTATGTATAACCAAATAATTAAATATGGAGCCTATCTTTATAAAAAGGGAAAAGTTCATTCTTATATTAAATAGGAATTAACAACAAACAGAGAAAGCGACCTTAAAATGTGGATGGATCTTTTCCACTTACGGGATTATTTTTCATAATACCTAATAACAGCAGCTAAAAATTATGAAACGTTTACTGTATTCTTTATAGCATTTATTTGCGATCATCGAAGCCGAAGCCCTAGCGGTATGGAGGGCCCTGAAGGACGGAGATTAAATGGGGTTTTTTTTAGCTGGTACAACTCCAGCCCTACCAATTAGGGCAACTCCGTTTAGGCGCTTATCCGGGGTGGGTATCAGGGCCTTCTTGGAGGGTTTCTCGAAGTTTAAAATGTTGTTACCGGCTTAGAGAAGCTAACTCCACTGCGAAGGGTCAGATGGGCTAGCCGAAGGGTTTCAACCTCCAAGGTGCTAAAAAAAAATTATTTGCGATTTTAATTTCTCCAACTGACAGTGGCAATGTAACTGAGCATTATATATAAACCACGAAGCATCCGTTATTATTTACTTGACACTCAGAATAGAACCAAAAACGGAAGCATACACCCAAAAATGGATAATAATTTATATAAAGTAGCTTATTTTAAGGTGAAGTATGCTTCGCCTACATATTAACGGATATAAAATACTCTAGGCAGAGTTCATTTATTTCATGACCTATAAACACCAGAGTTTAAGTTAATTTTTAATGGGTGATATTCTTTAGTACTTAAATTGGAAGTTCTATGGAATAGCAGTTGGAAACATATTGTAGGCTTCGCTCTTATAACCTTGAATTTCTTTTCCGGGTAATTCATTGCTGAAGTTTTAAAAACATTAACTGTTATCTTCCAATCCGCAATTTAAGGTGTACTAATAGAGTTGTAATTATTTTATAGCCAGAATCGTCTATTTAGTACTGCAGAATATAGCTGTATCTTCTGCATATTAAGCTAGTATTCGATATTTGGCCTTAGCAGTCCGCAAAGTAGTCTGCAAACAGAAGCCAAGATATAACACCAGTAAAGCTTTTTTGTAAAACATGCTTGACCGTTGATCTTTTTGAAACCAAGATTTTATATTTAGTTTAACTATTAGTACTTTTTAATCTTAAAAAAGCTTTGTCAGCTATTGGTTTTTATAGCTTTATATAAAATTTAAGGCACATAACTGAGTGTACATTGTGACCAAATAAACATAGTGCCAGTGTAAAACTTAGGAACGCTTAACATTTATAGGCTTGCATTTCCAAAGTAAAGTAGAACAATAAGAATACCAGCTTTTAATTTGCTATTAAGACTTAAAATAAACGAAAAGTAGTAGACTAAAGTATAGTTGAGTGCTATATAATAATAATAGATTTAAATAAATCTAATTGTTTTTGCTTGCTAGTAATAGAATCAGTAAATAAATTCGGATCTTTATATATACATTATATTAAAATTGCCAAAATTAGTCTTGTCGACTAGCGCTGAAAAATGTCAGGGTCTTTGAGGACAAAAAAGAATTTTTGCTTGTGCGCAACTTAATATACTATTTTTTCGTTGCTTTATTAAGAATAGACATTAACAAAATAACTCGTACGTAAATTTTCCTTATCCCCTTTCTGAATCATTAACCCTATATTAAGAAATTTTCTAAATTGTTGTTGGTACAGACTGTAAGCCCTTGAGATTACATATATAATAATAGGTTAGCTAATATAATAATGATATACTGCAGACCTTAATGTGATATAATTATATGGTCTCAGAACTGAAAGTACTGTAGATTTTTATTAATAATATTGAACCTAGGAAACCCAACCTACTTATAGAGGGCAAGGACGAGGGGATAAAAATATATTAGCAGCGGGTGCAAGGGCTGCATTATATATGCCATGCAGTCTTCGATTCCTCGTACAAACAAAATGTTTTTTGGGTTTTAATCTGCGAGGGGACTACTTATGTAAAAATGAAAGAATTAAATATTTTTGATATTAATTTTATAAGTTGGATTATTTTTTTTACGCGTATGTCTACCAAATTGTAATAAAATATTATGACATAACCTTTAGCATGTGTTCATTTCTAAAAAATTTCTTACTTAACCATCATAAATGGGGTTCTAAAAAAAGCATTACGCAAAAATATATTTGTATTAGATTAACGTTGTGTAATATTATTTACGTATTTTTAAGTAGTATACTTAGCGCCAAATATATATTCATTTATTAAGAAAAAATGATTTCAAGGCTAATAGAACTAACAAAAAGTTAAAAAAATGTAGTGACTATTATTTCAGCTATACCTACAAAAAAAAATTTTTTAAGTTTTTTTTTCTTTAGCATGATGAGGAATTGGGGGGGGGGAGCCTTAAGCTGGTATCTCCTCATAACGGATAAGGCGCACTCACCTGGGCGTCCTCTCAAAGTTGTGGTTAATCTCTACATAAAAAATAAATACAGCACTTTAAAGTTTTTCGATTAACCAATATTGTGAACTTTATACTCTATAATACATATTGAGTATCTATGTTATACTACTTTTTTGCCTACAGTATAAAGCTATCGAAAAAGCGGTCTCTAAAACTAACAAAACGACTATTAGTCCCCTCGCCCTGCTAGGGTTAAGAAGTTGGCGGCGTCTAGCAGTCTCTAGCGGAAGGCGGGTGTCCGGACTATATTTATAACAAGCGCGCCTTGTCTTAACATTTAAACAAATTAAGTGCCACAGAATTTTTTCATTAGTTAACTCGGTTTTCTTTAAGTTTTCAGCTTTTTGCTCCTATAAAGAAAATAATGTTTAAACCACAGAAAATCACTCTCTGTGAGCCTTAATAAAATATGGTTATTATTGGTTTCAAAGACTTAACGAAGTAACTATCCTGGTTAAAGAGTATATGTCGCTTTATTTGATTATACAATACATACTGTGCACTGTTTTATAAATTTGATTTCTTCCATCTGTTATCTTAAAGGCTTTAAACTTCAAGATTTAAGGTATATAAACAATAAAAAAATTAATATTATGTATAAATTTTTTTACAAAGAAATATTTTGTAGAGTTAAACTTTAAATTTTTTAAAAAACTCTTGAGCCGCTGGAGTAAAACTACCGCTACCCCTCGAACTAAAAACAAAACGTTAAAAAATTAGCGCGGCGCGCACACCACCCTTTATAGCTATTAGTTAGCGTTGTAACTTCATATGGTTACATCACATCCAAATAACAAATAATCACACAACCTGTATGCTAATATAGATTAATAAATAATTATTTAAAAAATTACGATTTACCAGTGTAATTAGCCATTTACTCCTAACAATATGGATTGATGTTTAGTATTTCCCAAATTTAAGGTTGCAAATGAAAGTTAGGAAGGCCTAAAAGTTACGTAGTAAAGGAATGAAAAAAAGGTTAATAAGAATGGTCTTCAGCAGAACGCAGGCGGTTCTTATAATCTTATTAACTAGTGGACAAGAGAAGCTAATAAATAATTAAAAAACTTGGGCACGCATTTTTACTAAACATGAAAAAGAAAGAAACGCAAAACTTATAACTACCACAAGACAAAAGAAGCTTATTCCAGTTCTCTGCAAATAATACAGTCGAGAGTAGTTAAAATTAACTAGAGCCTTTTGCCAAAACGTGTAAATAGAGGGCGAGAATTGGAAGTGGACTAGCAGTGGTGTCAAATATCTTCAGGTAACGAGGAATTCGCAGAATCTCTTTTGCTCAGCGACTGCTGAGATGGTAGCCGTTCGTTTTATTAAGAAGCTAAATACTTTTAGCCAAAAATGTGGACGTTTACGTATGCACTCATTATTCCTTTATTATATAAAATTTGGGCTACTTTGATTCTTTTCAAAAATACAGTTCGCATTTCGTTAATTTTGATAAATTGCTTTTAAGCATATTTTGCTATATTTTATTTCTCTATGTTGTAAGGTTTATACCACACCTTAAAAATTGAAGAAAGGGATGGTATTGCTATTATTAAAGTAGATCAGACTAGTAAAAAGGTTTTTTTATTTTTTAGTTCAGTTTTTAGATTACTTTTACAGTTTTCCTTGTCCCTTAAGTCAAATGCGTTGGAGGAAAGGTTTCTTTTAGAACTTTCACGATGTTACGACGAACTTAATAAAAATGAAAAGATCAATTCTGTTATTGTTATGTCTGGAAAATCAGAAAGTTTCTTATCGGGGATAGATGGGGACTTGATTAGTTCTTTAAAAACAGATAGCCAAGTATTTACATTTTTATTGTAAGGGTTATAAACTTTTATAAATACACCAAATTATTGTTTAGATTTCTTCATTATGCCGAAAAAGTCAAGAAATTTTAAACTTAATTTCAGGTGGCCGTTTATCGTTCATTGCAGCGATACATGGCGCTGCCTTGGGCTTTGGACTAGAACTAGCTCTTGCCTGCCACTACAGGATTGCTTCAAAAGTAAATCAAGTTGGCTATCTGCAACTCTGCTTTTATTCATTGTTGAATAGTCGCCTGTTACTAAGTTGGGTTTGCCAGAAGTTCGACTTGGCTTGCTTCCCTGCGCAGGTGGAACTCAACGTCTTCCTCAGCTCATCGGTCTTCACTTAAATTTTTTTTTTATTAATTATTATATGGGTATATTGGCTTTTGTTAAACTATTAATTTTAGTATTTTTACTCTAATAACTTCAATTATATTAAACTTTATGAATCTTTAAATAAGGACTGCAGTCTACTCTTCCGCTACTCTTGAAAGGCAATGTTATTGATGCAGTTCAGGTTATTCACCTTCTGAAACCAAATTTCTTACTAAATATTTTAACTTTTTCTTATTTAAATACTATTAATTTTTCAGGCCCATAAAATTGGGCTCGTCGACGAAATTACGGAGAGAATCGGGCCGAGTGATCTGAGTTCCGATGAAAATACAAGGAAATTTCTTAAAGAAGTTGCTATTAAAGTTTCCAAGGAAATGTTTGCAGGTTTCTATTAAGTTATATAATTTTTTATTATATTATCTATTGATTTCCCACTTTTAAAGTTTCCTTTATCTTTCAATAGCATTTATAGTTGCTGTATTTACTGTGGTTTCTATTTATTTTATTTCTAATTCATTATCACGTAAAATAATATTTTTTGTATATAAGCTTTTTGGAATTTTATTTTTTTAAGTTAATAGATAGTTTTTATTACTTGTTAAGCGTTTACTTCTATTATATCCATTAAGAATTGTTTAAAAAGCAGCCTTATACTATTAATTTTTAAATTTAACATTTGATTACTTTCTATTAAGAATATATATATAGGTAGAAATCATATTTTTTGAATCCATCTACACTAGATCTAGGATAAGTATATACCTTGTTGATATACAAAAGGTTAAAATTGTAGCTAAATTAATACAACGGGGTACTAAACCAACTTTTTAAAAAGTAAAAAAAATTAACTTTTTAGTTTAAAGAACAATTTTTCTTATATTTTATAAAAACGAACATTGTTAGCTTTTTATTTGCTGAATAAATTTTAGGCAACGTTTGTTCTTTTTAACGTTATGGAAATCTTAAATTTAAAATAAGATAAATAGCCAAGTATTGATTTTAGTAGTTAAAAAACATTTCTATGATCAACTACAATTTATAATTATATATTTTATTTTATAGAAACTGTTTTATTTATTAGAAATAAAATTTTGCTACTATTAGATATGGAAGAGTTTACATAATAATTGTTTTGCTTTTTTGTTTAATCTTAAGTATTATTATTTCTAAACCATTCAATACTATATAAATATTTAATTTAGTTAATTTTTTTATGGAAAATGTAATTTTATAAGGAAAATATATAATAATATGAAAATATAAAATAATTGTTAACTTGAAAATTTTATTTATTGCAAGGTACTTCAAAATTAACGAATAATTTAACAAAACTAGTGGCACTCATATTTTTTAAATACTTGGATATATGAAATAAATTTCTTTTAGAAATATAATAACATTATTTGAAAAAAATTGTTAACTTTATATTTTTTAAAAAGTTTAATACTTTATAATAATCTTTTATGTAAGATTTGATATTTGTGGGAGTAATTTAGTTACGCTATAAGAGGGATTCCTTTTTTAAATATTGCTGCAGTATTTAATTAATAATTGTTAGGAAATTTTAGGTTTTACTTTTTGATAGTGACACTTTTAACTTTTAAGTTTCTGTTTACTAATTTTTCTTTTGCTGTCATTAGTTTACTTTTTAAGGTTAAAGTAAATCCCAAGTAACTAGAAAGTAAATAAAATATATTTAAGCATAGTTGTTATTAAAACGGGTTTTTAATTTTTTTAATATTATAAATTATTTTTATATTCTAGATGATTTTGTAAAATTAAATTGTACTCTAGTTAAATATTGTAATTGTTACGTGTATACTTATATTTTGTGCAGTGACTTTTTCGTTGGAAGTATTAAAGTTTAATTATATTTATTAACCAGTAGACATTTACTTATTCAATTTTAATTATAAGTTCTGATCTCGACTGAATAAAAGATTATAAAAATTTCTATTACAATATCTTTTTTATGCAGGTCGTATAAATCTCGAGCGTAAATTTCGTTTTAACAGCGCTGCTCAGACCTTAAATGCTGCTTTGAAGTATATTTGCCGAGAAGTATTACTGCTAATACTTCTAATAATGATAATAATAATATATGTCTTGAACCCAGAATCCAACTATTCGAAATTATATTTTTAAGAAAACCAAAGAAAAAATATTGAAAGAGACTCATGGTATTAAAAGTTTGTTATCATTATCACTATTATTACTATCATTATTCTTCAGCTCTCTATCCGGCCCCCCTCCAAATTCTAGAAGTAGTGAAAACCGGTTTGGAATGCGGATTAACAAAAGGTACTATCAATAGTTTTAATGTAAACCTCGAAGACAAAGAGGATTGGTCAGTCTTGCTCAATAGCGTTCTATTTATATATTTTTTAAAACATTAATTCTCGTGAAATAAGGTCTTGAACACGAGGCGCGTGTCTTTGCGGAATTGTTTCGGACCAGTGAGAGTATTAAACTTTTTCATTAATAATTAAGAATACGTCACGTATGCTACTAATAGGCAAAGCTCTTGTGGGATTGGCTTCTGAGGAGAAAGCGTGCAGACAACCTCCAGCTCCGTGGGTTTCTCGTTCACCAAGAAAAGTAGAGAATATCCATATTATCGGCGCTGGACTGATTGGTGCAGGCATCGCGGAGGTTTATTTACTTACTTTCATCATAGATATACCAATAGTAAACTAATATATGGAACAAATTAATTTTTTACTGTAAAAAAAAGTAAATAAACTACATAATAAATATTTAAAAAATAGAAAGAAATTAAGTGTAGACTATATTATGATCAACAGTATATTTTTTTCGGTTATTCTATCGGTTTGCACACCTACATTTTTTAATAGTAACCCTCAAGCACATGCACTCCCTCTGCTTAAAGTATTCAGTAAAAGCGCGGCGAATCCTTTCTTTGCGCTGGCGCTGACTTTCTTACCAGCAGCCTGGGAGGGGGCTTGGCAGGCATTCTTATTGTAATGCTCATTGTTTGAGCGACCAAAAATAACTGGGCCTCGCTACGCCGCTATGAAACTGTTTTACGCTTAAGAAAGATTATATCTGAAAAATAGTGACTTTTGATAATCGTATGCAAATTATCTAGCGCTTACAAGCACTTAGTTTCATTAAAGTTAACGTCATTTACAACTCGTGCTTCATGTAAATTCACCTTTCCTTTTGGCCCCATTTTTTCCAAAATAAGGCTGCTTACCCGGCACTAACTTAATTAATTAATTTCTGCTTCTTTTTTTTTTTTTTTTTATTAACTTTCCATTTACTTATGCTTATTAAAATATTTATATACAACTTTCTTAATAAAACACATTCAAATCCATCACAGGTTAGTCTTTCGAAGTTTAACGTTTTTATTAAGGACGCAACGGATTCTGGTTCTTTTTAATAATTTTGTGCGTAGATATAAAAGTATATCATTATTAATATTCTTATTACCAACATGAAAACCTAATTACCTGCGTGTTTAGCTCGTATATAACGAATTACTATTATCAAGTTAATAAAACTATAAATTTATTTTAAAGCAATTGCGAGAGGCCTCGAGCAAATTGGGGCCAGTTTACAAAGCAGAGTTGTCAAAGGGCACTTAAGTCAGTTTGAATCCGACAAATTAATGGAGTCGATCCAAGTAATTTATAAATTAATCTTTTTTTAGTATATAAAATTTTACAACTTTTTGCAAGCAACACTGTGATTAGAACTTTTATTATTAGTAAAAGTACATTCAAACTTTTTAGCATAATTTAACAGTTTAATAATATTATCAAGTTTATTTATTACTTATATCCATATAATTATTTTCTAAACTTAATAAATACATTCAGACCACCACCGGCTTCAAGTTCACAAAAAAGTGCGATTTTATATTTGAGGCCGTTCCAGAGTCTTTAAATAACAAACAGCAAATAATTGAACAATTAAGTACTGTCTTATACTTTAATTATTATTAAAATAAGCACATGGTTCCGCGTGCATTAACTATATTACCTTTTTAATTGAATCTACTTCTCTGCTTATTGACCAGTCAGTTTTGAGGCTTCACTGGTATTATTGGTAGTTTAGTTTTTCGTAACGCCCGTGCATGTGGCCGGAAAGCGTAGATTATTGACTGCCCTTCTGGCATCTTAATTGGTTGATAAATTAATGTTTCTGTTTATTAAAAAATTATGTAATAAGCGCAGTAAGAAGAGTGAACTGGAGAACTTTATAATAATTTTTAACGTCTTTTTTAGATGAACGTATTCCAGCTCATTGCATTATTGCCACCAACACTTCTTCTATATCCGTTGAAGAGGTATTCGTTGTTATTTAAATAATTATTATACAAATAGTAATAATTATAATACTTCACTAAAGATTGCAAAGATTGCTAAACGGCCGGAGTTGGTGCTTGGCATGCATTACTTTACTCCAGTTAGTGAGACAAAGTTGTTGGAGATAATTCCTCATTCAAGTGAGTAAATAAATAATAATAATTATGATGATGACCTTTTACTTTTGTTAACTTTATAAAGCTACAAGCCCTGAAGCTGTTGCTACCGCTTTTGCTGTTGGCGCTAAGCAGGGAAAAGTTGGTATTGTCGTGAAGGACACCCCAGGTTTATATTATTATTATTATTATAATGATTATATACTATATAATTATATTATATTATAATTATTATTAGGATTTTACGTCAATCGCTGCATTGGCCCATACTTGAACGAGTGTTTGAGACTTTTATCGGAAGGGACTGATCCTATAAGACTCGATGAAGTGATATTCTCATTATTATTGCTACATTACATTTTCTGATTCCGCGGTTTTTAATAGGCTTTGACTTTGTACGGCTTTCCTATTGGCCCGTTGGCTTATGCGGATGCTATTGGGCTTGACTTTTTCGAGCAAGTGCTTTCCTCTTTACAAGGCCATCTGGGTTTTTGTATATATTACCGAAGAATGATTTTTACCTTTAACTACCCAGTAGTAATAAGTTTATTTATTATCTGTATTTTATTGGATTTTAGCCATTTTCTTATAAATTAATGTTATTAATAAATATAACAGCGTTTATATTGAATTATTACTATTATTTTTAGGAAGTTGTGTTGAGCATACTACAGAACTGACCTTTTTGGGCCGTATGGTTAATGAAGGTTGCAAAGTTCCTTTTATTATAAATTTTCTCTTTTGTTAATAGCAATAATATATGTTTTATGGTTCTCCTTTTTTATTACCAGGCTTTGTTGGTCAGAAAACAGGAAAGGGCTTTTATTTGAAAGACAAAAGAATGAAAGGTAAAATTTGATAAAGTTTTTTTAGAAAACTTTTTTTATATATTATTTATAAATGAATTTATTTTAGGAAGTCGTGTTTTGAATTCAGAAGCTTTAAAATTTATTAAAAAGTATAAGAAAAGTGTTGTTGATGCTGAATTATCTCTGCACGACTTACAAAGAAGACCTACTTTCTTACTTGTTAATGAGGTTTACTTTTTCTTACTTTACTATACTTTACTTATAACTAATGACATATATATAATTATAGGCTGCACGGTGTTTACAAGACGAGGTTATAATGTCCCCAAGTGTTGGGGATTTGGGACTTGTTCTCGGTTGCGGATTTCCCCCGTGTAAAGGCGGTCCCTTTCGGTTTTTAGACAGGTTCTCGATTTATTTTTGGTTTTTCGGAAAAATAAAAGTATTAAAGAATATAATATTTTGAAAAAATTTAAAAATTTAAATATTGTAGTGAAAGTTTGTTTCAATGAGAAATTAATTGCATTACTTATATAAAACTTACTAGCGCTTGCATTATTATAACTAAGGCCCTCTTTTTTTTTTCAAATTTTGCATATTATACTGTCATAATATTTATTTTGAAAAACTAGTTTTGGACTTCAAAAGTTTATTGACCAAATGCGGCGCTACAGAGACGCACTGGGTGTCCGCTTTGAACCCGCTTCTCTTCTATTGGACTATGCTAAAGCTAATAAAAAGTTTTATTCATAAAAAAAGTATAAATAAAACGATTTCTAAATATTCCTCTTTATTAAATTTCTTATTATACGCTTCTGTTAGTTGAGTAAGAGTCTGAAAGCTGTACTACGTTGGTATAAACTTATGCATAGAGCAAGGGCCTCCTAACGCCGCCGTGGGCTTAAGCTATCTACAAAGGAGCCTTCACAGCTTAGCAACTATGGGTCTGGGCTCTCATCTTTTCACTGGCACCCCCACTGATACTTCTAACTAAAAAGTAAAGAAGTTAGTTTCCCCAGATAAATTTTTCAAGAGCTGAAATCTACTTGACTTTCACCATAAACAACACGTAATATTCTTGCTAATTACCTTTTGAATACATTATATCTTAGAACAGGGGAATTACTTTTTATTTAAACCAAGTTAATAGTCCAAATCCTTAGCATTAACTAAATTTTTTTATCGTTAAAGCAAAATTCATCCTTTAACCAAGAGATTACAGGAAAGCTTGATTAATTATGTCGCAGCTGTAATAGTAGACGCTGTAAACGAAATATTTTAAAGCCTAAGGGTAAAAAGGCCTCGGTTTCAAACTTTTATAGAAACGGCGTTTCCTCTGTTACTTTACTACCACTATTACTATTCGTACTTTAAGTACTTGTCGCCACATTTTCTTCAGAGAAAACTATCTGTTATTTGGAAATAGGTGTTAACTGCCCGGTCTAAGACTGACTTTGGATTTTCGACAAAGAAAACTGTTAATTCGAGCTTTAAGTTTGGAAGTCTTTCTCAATCTTAAAAAGAGAGATGAATCATACTTGCTACGCAAAGCACCACCGCCTCCATTGCGCGTAGTAGATTTTAGGCTTATTGTTTTGCTGTTTTTTTTTCGGTAGGAAAGTACAATAATTTTAAATTCACCTTTAATACAATATTTTACTGCCTTACACCTCCTCCTTTTATTAAAGATGCTTAGAGAAGTTCTATTTTAATAGACCACAAGCCTGACCTTAAATGTATTTTACGAAAGTGGTATTTGACAGTAAGGTACATGATGACTTTTATTTCTGTCTAGTTGTTAGTCCTTGTTAACTATAGCGCCTACGCAAGTGAAGCGAAAGTAGGTAAAAAAAAAAAAAAGTAAAAACATTCCTTAAATTGTTTTACATCTACACCTGCGAATCATCTTCACCTTCCCCAAGTGCCGCAGGGTTTAAGTTCGTCATCTATTTCCTCCCTCAATTAGAATGGCTGACTTTTCAGGATAATCAAAAACTAAGCTCGCTCTTTTACAGACGACTTAGCAAGATTCTTATCCTCTATAAGTCACCAAATGGTTTACTCTTAAGTATAGAATTATCGGCTACAAACTAGAAAAAAAGCTAGATATTCATGTTTTTGCCAAATTATAATCGATAAGTAAGAAAGTGCAAGAAAAATGGTCGCTTATTTACGAATATTTAAATAAAACCTATCCACTATGCCATTTAAAAAGTAAACAAGCTGTCGAGTACATGCCTACATTGCAAAACCTTTTTAAGCTAGGGTATGGTTTACCCTCGTGAGTTACTTTCAAGTGGTAGATATTATGATACCATCTATTTTCACATTTTTACTACTGTTTTTATCAAATGCCCAACTATATCGTGATCTAAAGCCCCCTGCAATCCATTTTATTCAAAGACTGACAGAGGTACTTATGTCTTTAACGACTTTGTCGTCAGGTCTTCGAAGAACTCAATTATTTTAAAAATTCTTTAGAGCCCATTTTTGAAAGACGCCGTTCAATGAGGCGATACTTGAAAAGACAGCCACTTAGCGATATAATGGTCTTTATGAAGGTAAGTACACTATCGTTAGCGGTAACTGCGAGTTTTTTGAAACAACGTTTGGAAAATAAGCTGCAATTCTTAAATTCCAACAAGAATGTGGAAAATGGCATGCGTTTTAATTTTAAAAGTCCAAGAATCCTATACTTAAAAACAAGGAAGCCATCCTCTAAACCACGTAAAAGCCGAAATCTTTCCTAAAATTTGTATCGACAACCTACCACACCATTATCGGCGGATAGAGAACATGAAGTGCACATACAAAAACAGTTTTCACTTTTCTCCGCTCCATGACCAACTTTGGAAGCTTTACAAATAAATATAAGACCCAATCAGTATTTGACAAACTTAACACTAGGGAAGACGTGGATCCTTATATAATTTAAAATATAATGCTTAAAAAGCTTTTGGAGCACTAAGGTGGCTCCGTGTTAGATTGCGGTTGGAGTTGTGCCGTTACTAAGTGTATATAACTTAGTGAGGGCTTGAGGGATTATTTTCTTCTATCATTGCGGGGTGGCCTGCTTCTTGCGTCAAGTAGCGCCATGAGCTAGTGAAATTAACAAATTATTATATAGTATAGTTTTTGTATGGAATAATCTTTATTATACTTCGATCACCAGAACAGATAGTATCAGTGCACTATAACAATTTCACTCCATATAGCTACTTCGCAATGTTTTTTTATGCATATAAAGAGTCAAGGCAAAGTCGAGTTGGAGCAAGCTTTGTGTCTAATAGAGCTGTACCTGGTAAGGGTGGGAGTCCCGCTTAAAAAGAAATGGCCATCATGTAGTAAGGAAATTTAATAACGATATATTTCAGTTATTAGAGAAGGCAGCGGAAGAGGAATTCCTATGAGCTCTTCAATAAATATTTTTGACTGCTATATGGAAAGGCTAGAAGGTAAGCGGACCATACTGCTAACTGAACTCAAAAATCGGTGAGTCCTTATTTTAGCGATGTGTCTAACCCTAGATATACCCATGCAATCTTAAAAGAGTTAAGATCTCCAAAAAGGGGAAATTTTACTGGAGTCATAGTGTTTGGAGCGATAACTGTAGAGAAAGTAGTAATCTAGTTTATGGTCAACTTAAATACATGAATGTAAGGTTAGGTTAGATACAGGCTCTGATAAAAGCTACATTAGTTTAAATTGGGTGATTGAACGAAACATACCTGAGCTTAAATGTAAGGAGCCTTATTTAGTTTTTGGAGGTGAAAGGCACGAGTGTGTTGGAGTAATTTGCGAGTCGCTAAAGTTGAATATTGTGACAAAGCGGTTAAGAGTTTACGTAGTGAGCATAGACTTACAATAGGTGTAGACTTACTGCTTGGCTACGAGGGTCTTCAGGAATTTTGGGTTTTCGCTAGTTAACGTTAAAGAACCCGTGCAATTTTATATGCACCATAGACTGAAAATCTTATGGAGAAGCAATAGTTATTCTTCAAGACTTGAGGACGAGAATGGAGTGGTTCGAGAGCAAGACAATGTTACTGTGATGTTGAACAGCATTTATAGCGCTAGTATGCAGGAAAGTAACGATAACAATGGTAAACTTTTTAGCTAAAAGGATTAATAACTTGAAATGGAAGCCAGAAAAAAAAAAGGCGTTTTGAGGTTGGAACCACTTAAGGTTACGTTGAAAAAGGATACTTCTCCAGGATAGTATAAGTTTGAGAGCAAGAATCCTTTAAAGAGAAAAGTGAATATATCAGAGAGCGTGAAAAGTTACTGAATCTTGGCTTGTTGGAGGCTTTGTAACGAACACCAGTGGCATCATGACCATGTTGTTGTTGGAAAACTCGAATACAAATATGCTAACCGGCTAGAGTTAGGGCGCGCGCCAGAAAAGTATATGATATTGTGCGACGCACTATAAGGTTTAAATAAACGTTGTGTAGTAAAAAGGTATGGCGTGACAAAAGGGCATTTTATCAACCCAAAGGCAGGGTGGCGATAAAAGCTTTGCATTCACTAAGCCGAACGACTGAAGGGTTCAATGGCCGGTGCTTCCTTTTAGTTACGTAAACGGAACTTTGGAATCTAAGACTAAAGAGGAACTATCTGGTTTTCTGCTAGCCTTAAACTGTTGGAGAATGCGTATTCCTCAAAAAGGGCGATTATTTTAGGGTCGTTCAGTGGTGCGCTAAAGAGGGTGTAAATTTTTAATGGACTAAAAGTGAGGAAAAGGGATGGAACATAATTATGAGTGCTATTAAAAATAATATATGTGTAGAAGTTATTAATCAAAATTTTTTCTAATTTTCCAGACGGACACTAGCGTATAGGATGGAAGGCGTGCTTTTTTAGTGCTATGGAGGCCGCGAACATTATATACGCGAAATATAACGACGCTCAGGGAAAATAGAGTATTACAGATAGGGAAATATTAGTTGTGACGTGGTGCGCAAATAAGCTCGTGTATTATATAGAATTAAGTAGCCAGAGGCTGAATGTGGAAACTCGTCGCAAGAGCCTTTTAAAATTAATCAAAAAACATGTGAGGCCGAGACTGTGTGCAGGGGAAAAGAGAATAGAATTCAACAAATAATGAATAATCTTGATTGGTCGTTCCACTATATACCTGGAAAATTTAATGTAGAGGCCGATCCCCCCCGGAAGTTTGGTTCAAATAGAAAAAGTTTGCGGGTTTGATGAGGAAGTTATGTCGGTTGGGGCCTGAGATGGCCCGAACAACACCGTTGAGGAGAAATTTGATAAGAATAAAATTATTGCGTTACAAAGAGGTTGTTTCACGCGGGTTTTGATAAAATGAAGAGGTATATGGTGCAAAGATAAATAAAGAGGTAGCTGAGCAAGCAGTTCAGGTATGCGATGGCTGTCTAAGGTTTGGTAATAGAACTCGTGTGCGGAAGAACGCCTTTTTATAGGGAAAATGCCCTATGAGCCGTTAGAACGATTAGCGGTGGGTGTACCAAAAAGCTTGAGGGCTTTGAGAGTTTACTGGTCATGCTCGATGAGAACTCCAGATATGTTTGGGCTAGAGCATATAAATATTAAATACAGACCTAGTGAAAAATGACTTAAGGAGATTTTCAAGTTGAGGAAACCTAACAAAGTTACTATGGACAGGAAATCTATATTTAACAGCCGGAAGGTGAAAAGCTTTTTTGGAGAGTGTAATACTGAGGTGGAATATGTGACTGCAAACCATCATTAAGCCAATGATATGGTAGAAAGAGCCATTCATACTATAAGAAAAGGACTGGTTAAAGTTGTTACGAAAGTAAAATAGACTGAACGGAGTTGTTAGATGACTACTTTTAATATACTGTATAACAGGTTGCCTAACGTTTTTGGAGTAAGTCCCTATCTTATATTTAAAGAGAGACCCAACTATGGTAGAATGAAGAGTCAGAAAGATTTCAAGTATGAAAACAGGGAATCAGCTAATAAAGGTATGTTTAAAGGGCGAATAAATGCGTAAAAGTTAAATGCCCTGAAAAGTGAGTGATCAAGTAACCAAAACGTCAAGAGGATTGCATGAAGAAGACTTACGATAAAAAAGTAAGGACTGAATCAGACTGAAAAGCTGTGATACCGTTTATGTGATTACGCAAGAAAGGGATAAGTTGGATATTGAACACTGAACGGTCTAGCAAAGGTTCTAGAAGTTCTGGAATTTGGTAAATACTTAGTAACCTAGATGGAACTGATAAAATTTACCATCGCAATCAATTATAACTGGTGAAACTTACACCAATGATATGTAATTATCGAGTATTAGAAACACTGACTAGTAAAATATATGTAGCAGAATTATTTAACTCACCTAAACTCGCTACTGCCAAAAAGAAGAATTATTAGCCTTATTTTTAAAGCGGAAAAGGCGTACGTGGTTGGGACAGGTGTTTGCAGTGAGATGGATGGATTGACTTAAGTAGGGAAAAAGGTTTAGACCCATATAATACACCTGCTAAGAACCTTTTAGATGAATACAAGACAGGTCTACGGACCATGAGCACGTACTTTCGACCCTTAAAGGTCACGCATCGTAGCAGCCTGTACACGGTAGACTCTTTGAAGATTGTAGATTTTAGGATAGCGTAGAAAAAAAACTAAGAGAGCGCTGTGGTTAATTTACCGTTTGTGTGCGAATAGTAAATGAAGGGGGGGGTAGGGGGGGAATGTAGTTAGTGAGTGCATATATCTTAGCGTGGGTTAAGTTGTGAAATTATAGCTAGCCAGTTGGCGCGACTCGAGAGATCTTTTTCTTCTATCGCGTGGTTAGGGTGACCATAGACATTATTCCCTGTCGGGGCGAAATAATGTTATCCAGAATAGCAATCAGAATGTCATCGTAATTTCTGATGTAAGAGGGGAATGAATCTTTTATAGGTAATAGTAGTGTAGACATTTGGACAAACTATTAATAGGTTTATTAACCCTTTAACTGGCAAAACCATGGTGCTTAAATATTTTTGTTTCTTTCTACAATATTAATTCCTATGTTGAAACTATACTTTAAAGTCCAATATTTTTTTTTTTAAAAATTTGATTCTATATTTTTGAAAAAGGGTGTTTACTATGTTAACCAGTGACCGTTTACTGATAGTACATCTGTAATGTTTACTGGTAAGAATATTTTCCACACTTATTGTTTGCCACATAATATCACAAAAGTCTTAATTTGTATTCTGTAAATAAGAACATACAAGTAAGAACATATTTTTTAAAGATATAGGTATATATTTTCGTTCTAAAAGGAAAAATAGAATAAATCTCTTTTTCTTATATCTACGCTACAGGTACTAATGCCTAACGGAAAATAATAAATTTTCTTCAAAAATATTAGGTCTCATTTCAGTCTTCTTAAGAAACAATACTAATTCTCTCTAAAAATTTACAAAATTCTTTCATAAAAAAGATACAGCCTCAGTTTCAGACTTCTAATTTTGTGAAAGGGCACGAAAAATTCTAAACATATCGAGCCACTTCGCATTTGGAACAAAGAAATGTACTTCGTTTTTGATTTTGCAGTACTGCAATATGGGCGCCATCTCGGCGCGCCTCTTATAGGCAGATGATCACCAACGTTGCGCAATCTTGTAGAATTATATAAAACCAGGCGTCCATCGGGTTATTCCTTTTCCTGTCTCTACCAGCCTGTGTAAGTGCCCCCCTCTCTGATCTTGAGCAGTAGTTCCCCATTAGTTCATCTGCCAAACAGATCGGAAAGGTGTATGACTTGGATGCTTAGATGTTTGCTTGCTGTTTTTCCAACAATTTTGGCCAAGATAAAACTGTTTACTATCGCTGCATCTAAACAATAATAATAATAATAATAAAATTTCAGCCGCCAGCGACCACTTTTCCATAATATATTGTGGACAGAGTAAAGCTGCTCGAAGTGGCCAACTCCCCCATATACTTATTACATTCAGCCACAGCCACGGGGCATGGAACTATAATTCTACTTCCATCTTTTTGAGTTCTCAAAACTGCGTCTTTTCTAGCGGATTGTACATGGTTTTTGTAACGCAAACAGATTTTTTGCCTCGATCTTTCCATTTAGTGATATCCTCTTCGTCTTTTATAACGCCGTCGCTTTCTAATAATCGTAGTTTCCATTTTGCTTTCAGAAGAGTTTTGGAAAAATCTTTACTTGTTTGGCGAATAGTGGTACATACATAATTTTTTTGCATAGAAGTCTACCAATCATGGGTATTGATGTAAAAAATTATTAAAAAACAGGCAATACCGCATTAGAAACCTCTTTTAATTGGTTTATAGGTGTATACTGCTTAAGGGCCCTTATAGATAGAAACAATATTCCGCCGGAAACGTCAGAAAAATTGGAGGCAAGGATGCCGAGAAAAGTCCTTGTGGCCATTGCATTTCAAGGGGAATTTTTTAATGAAACTAAAATTTAATTTTTTGGCATTTATACATCGTCTTGTAAATGAAATTTCGCTGTACTATGTTTGTCTTTTATTAGAGGATTTGCCACAAGTACTATTTCATCTGTACTAATAAAATTGCACAATAATATGACGTTTATCAACTTTTACCCGTTGTCTATCCTTCCGTGAGCGATAGTATATTTTTTCGATTGAGTAAATTTCAAACATTAAAAGATAATTAATTGGTAAGAGATGTTGTATTTTTAAGTTACACTGCGCCTTTATAGTGGTGTTTTGAAGTTGTCCTAGACTACCAGCGATAATATTTAAGTGAAAGCTTTAGTTAAGTGGACTTGGACAATATAAAAGCTATTTGTTTGGAAGGCGTCTAAACCTAATTTAGTAAGTTAACTTAGTAGCCTAGAGGATCACTAAGTAAATGTTCTGTTACAAAGCAATATTAAAAAGTTTTAGACAATTTATCATTAAAAGTATTAGGGCCAAAGAAAGGGTTTACCATAATTTTTGCTAAGCTTATCGTCAGCTTAATACCATGGACACTATAACAACTAAACTTATCAAGGATATTCAATATAATTTCACATTAACAACGCTAAAGAGAAATAACTACTGTAAGATCCCATTTAAGAAAATCTTGAAACTGTGAATAAACGCCTCTCTCGAATTTTACTGGAATAGCGTCCAAAAAAAAAAATTGTGGTAGATATTTAATTAGACCACCATTGACTACTCCATTATTATTTTATTTTCTTAAAATACTTCCGTTGGAAAGTAAAAATTTGGTTTGCCAATTAAAGTATTAAAAACATTACTTGGCAGTGTTTTAATTTTTTTTTACCTTTACGTTGGCGATAAGTCCCTTGGACAAATCTTTTATTTTCCCAATTTTTTTGTAATCAGAATCATTTACGGAAAAACAAAAACTTAGTCGTAAACAGAATCGGGTGTCAAATGTTGAATGTATAACACTATAATAAATTGAGAATTCAGTTGCCTAGAAATTCTTTTCTAATTCTAGTCCAGGTCACTGGTATTTAACCAATATTAAAAAGTTATTTTAAATCAGATTTTTTGTTTGTAAAGAACTTGTATACGCAACCCACCAGACCAGAATAACACGAGTTGGCACCGACGGGAATCGAACCCGAGGACTTGAGATTGCGCGACAATGCCCCAGACAATGAGCTAAGGTAACAAGTCTACATTTGTTATACCCTTATGTTTTTAAGATCTTACTGCAAGCTTGCTTACAAGCAGCTTATACTGGTAAATCACGTGTTCATAACACGTGAAACCAACACCATGAAATAATTACATCACATGCCCGCACCACGTGGTCTTCTGAGTAGGTACCACGTGTTTTTTCGTTTGTCCCACAATTTATACATTTTGTATTCTTCCCCTAAGGTATAAACCCTTCCTCTACGGGACAATTAATCGATCGCTACTACTCTTCTCTCCATCATGATAGGGTCGTGAATAAGGTGTTAACTTGACTTACAAATGAGAGAATATCAGTAAAAATAGTGTAGTGTGGCTTTAGTTTATGTCTAAAAAAGTCATGAATTGTATAAACCTAGAGCATATATAATAAAACATTGTTCATATCATATTACTACAGTGCTAGGAAAATCGTGCTCTTAGTAAGAGTTAATTTATTGGCATTAAAAAGTAAAATAAATAGTGCGTTTGCGTATAACATTCTTAATAAGATAATCCATAGCATTTCGCTCTTAAATAAAAATTTCTGACATTAACGGGTATCTCATTTAACGATCGTGCATAAGGTGAAGTAGATCTTCGAGCTTAAAGACATTAAACTACTTACTAACTGAGCCCAAAATTATTTAGATTATTTGCCACGCCTAAAACATGATGGAACCTTAATTAAACCATACACAAAAGTTATTTTAAAACAAAGATTTTTTAACCTAAAAAAAATTATGTCATTTAGCTAGACTTGGTTAGATTTTTTAATTCCACATGTTCGTCTGCTAAGCTTGTTTTTAATGTACGGACTAACTTTAAAATACTAATACAAAAGCCACTTGCATACCGCTGGTCGACGACAGGGCCGGTTCTCATGTGAGAGGAAGACACAGGGCAAGTTGTATTTATAAACAATTCTGAGTACAATTAGTTACATTTTCGAATGACAATCACAATGTTATGGTATGTTTGTTAATAAAAAACACAGGCTCCCTAAATAAATCCAAAATTCTTGTTTTCCCTATCTTATACTAGTTTTTTCAAATTTTTGTGGTGCGTAACCTTAATGAAACCTTTGTAGTAAAGTTTCCAATAATCAAAAAATAGAATTATATTAGTTTAGAAATAGTTAAAAAGGGCACATAATAATAAAAAATTTAATTAATAAGATTATTAAAAAAGAACATAATAAGCTATGATAAGCTCATATAAAACGGTAACATAAAATTATAATTTTTTAGAAGTAAAACTTTTTATCATTGAAGACATAAATATACCCGACAGATCATAACCGGAGAGTTAGCCTAAAACTTTTTGGTACAACCAAGGCCTTCATATGTACTTTAAAGTAAAAAAAACCAAGGGCTTAGACTGCAAAAGACATTAATGTAGTTTCAGTTTACTATGCGACTTCCTAAAAAGGTTACCTATTTGCCTTCCCTTGATAATATGGGCTTTTGTCATTTTTTCTGCTAGAGGCCAAAAGAATGATTTTTTCAATTATTAATGAAAGTAAACAAAACTAAAACAGGCTCCAACATGAAGAATAAGAGAACCAAAGAAACTTTTGTAAATAAACGTTTGCAATCTTTCCCTTCGCTCTCTGTTAACAAGGTTACTTTTCAGTCTACTTCAAGTTAAAGAACTATAAATCCCTTAAACTTAACTTTGTATATTAAGAAATTTTATAGGAAGAATAAATGTCAGAATAATTTTTTCCGAATTTTTCACCAGTTTCTTTATTTATTTCAGTCTTTACTTAAGTATAGCCTACTAACACTACCCGAGGTTTGCAATTATAAACTCATTACTTTCACATTCTCCTACTTATATTATGTAGATGATAATACAAAATGTCCCTTGGGTGGGCACTGCTCTTTCATTGTTTTGTCTTTATTCAAGCCTACAGGTGCTCTAATATTACTTTTAAAATGTTTTTTACTTCACTATCTGTATTTTTACAGACTCTTGGCCTCTTCTGTGCTTTTTTGGTGAATGTGTTAGGTTCATTAGCTCTAAAACTTGGGGATGGTCTAGCTACTTCAGGGTATATTGCTACAGTAGTTGCATTGTTCTTCTAATATTACAAACAATACACCTATATATTTCAATATTACGACTGCTCTAGTGTTGAAAAATTTAACATTAACTAGATATCTTTGGATTTTACCTGACTTTATTGACTTTCTTTATATATTTTTTCTTATTAAGTTAAGTAATTTTAGTTACTCCTTTTAGAATTATCCAGCAAAATAAAAATCCGTTTTATATATTTGCCACTTGCTATACTTTGTATGCTATGTTTTCGGTTCTTGTGGAACTTGGAATAAATATTTGGACTCTGAGCTGGAGCAGCCTGCATATGTTTCCTCAACAACGAAAAGTAGTTTATAATATATTTTATGATAAAGTTCTGTTTTTAAATTTATAAAATATTTAATAAATTAGATTTTTAATTGTTTTATTTACTTTACTTCTTTTAGTTGATTATTATAATATCTATTGATTTTATATATATATATATTTTTTTAAAGGTTTCTTTGTTATAATCTCACAAAAGATTAATAAATATACCACTAATCTATTATTTGTTACTGTTTTCATTAGGTTTAAATATATTACGTAAAAATTATTATATAAAAAGGTGTTTAACTTTTTTTATACTTTTGAGAAAAAAAAATATAATTTTCTCACCTTTAATTATTTATTACATTTTAATTTCCTTTACCTGTTTGTTATTAGTTATATTCTACTTTTTAGCAATTAAAAAGTTTTTAATAAACATTTAGTTATTATAACGACTGCTGTTTAAAAAAAATCTAAATATATATAACGTGTGTATTATATTTTTTAGGATGTTTTTGGAACACAGTTTAGGAAAATTTCAAATTTGTAAAATTTAGTTTAATTAATTTTTTTAAAGTAATTTTATAGTATTTATAAACTTTTTTTAAGTAGAAGATTTATTTAAAACTTTTTTATTGCTATTAGGTTTCGGTACTCGATATTTTTCTGTTTACTTCTATAAAAGGCATAATTAAAAATATTCTTTTACTTATTTGAAATATACTAGTTTTTTAACTCGTATATTTTTATTTTTCTCTTATCAGATTTTGTTTCTTATTATTTTCTTTCCCAAATTTATATAATATTTTACCGGATGATTCGTACAAACGCTTTACTGTTTACTTACGATGTTTATGAGTTAATTTATTTAATATTCTCGTGTTAATATTTTTATTAAATATTATTATTTACTCTATCAAGGTTTAGCTTTTACATACACACATTTTAACAGTTTTTATTATAATTTATTTTAGTAGTTCACAAATATATATATTATCTCGATCATTATTTTATTTGAAGAAGTAAACTTACTTTTAACGAAGTTCAAGTGACTTACTAATAATTTAATATGAAATTTTTAGTTAAGAGTTAAATTTTTTTTTACTAAAATTTTTTTGTTACTCTAATAAAAGTAAAATACGTAAGAATAACTATTAAGTAGAAAAGTCAAGTTGTTATAGTGGTTTTCTGTGTATAACTAAGATAAATTAATAATTAGAATATAGCACTTATACTTTTTATATTATAAAGTTAACAAAATTTTACTATAATTAAATTTTTTAAATTTACTAAACTTGTTATAGAATAAAACATTTAATTTTTATATAACCGATATAAATTTTCAACAATTCTAACTATTATCTTGTAGTTAATCTATTATAAATCTTTTATAACTCAATAAACTTTATTAACTTTATTACTTTATTTTTCATTTAATTAGTTTGCTACAATATATAAAACCTTTTTGGTTTGGGCCTATTCCCTTTTCTTTAACTTTTACAAATTAAATATTGTTGCTAATCTTTAATTTTTTATTAAAATTTTTTAAATAATGGTACTTGACTTTTTTATGGTTCGTTCCTACCAACTTAAAAACTTATTTTTAACTTAACTAACTTTATAAATAATATTTTGTACATAAACATTTACTTGCTCTTTGTCTATCGAATTCATTTTTTTCAAGCTATAAAATTATACTCATTTTTGTAAGTGTATTATAAATTTATACACTGTAATATTTTTATAATAAATTAAAATTCATATTAAAACTTTCTATACTTATCAACCCTATCAGTCTTCTTAAGTTTATTACTTTTATCATTTATAGTAAATCTTTTTAAAATTATTTTATAATCCACTTAAATCTTTATTGAAACTAATGACTTTTATTATAAATTTTTATATATAAACTTTAGTAATTTTTTTTAATTTTTATATAGTTATAAAACTTTTATTATACTTTTAAATTCATTTTGAATACCATTTTTAACATTTGGTAACTTTTTATAAGAATATTTAAAAATCCTTATATTTGTTAATCTTCATTGGAGACTTTGTACATTTTTTTAAAATTTTTTAAACTCTAATTAAACTTATTCCTTTATAATTAAAGTAAACCAATTTTTAACGTTTTCATTTCTTGTTCTTTTTAAATCTTTTCTCAACTTTTAGAAAATTTTAAGTAATAAAAATGGTACATCAATATATTCGCTTGACTTTTATTATTTTTATTAAATTTATTTTAAGACTATTTTAATTAACTTTAGAGAAATGCTTTGTAAATATTTATTTATGAAAAATCTTTATATTTTTATTTGATTCTGTTGAATTTTTTATGTTTAGATGATTTTAATGAATCAATATTTGCCATCATTACTGCTGCATCTTATGCTTGTCATGACGTGCACCACTGCGCTTTCCTTGTATGCACCGTACCTGTGCCGAGGTATCCTGAAAGTTTTCTTTCTTTGAAAAGTTACTATTTCGTGTTTCTCTTTTTAATGTTATATTATATAATTTTATATGGGAAAGCTTCTACCTTGTAATATCATAAATAGTAAACTCCTTTCACTTTTTTTTTTTTGAAAAAAGAAATAATTTTAAAGAAAATTAGGATAAGTAAAGGTAAAAATCAGTTTTAGAATTTTGGTTTAAATTCTGTTTACGGTTTTTTTTAGTATAATAATCTGTTCGTCAGAGTGCACTTATTATATTCGTCAACTTTTAAATTCCTTCCCAACTTTATTAAAATTTGAAGTTTTCACGAAATTACAATGTTTTTTGTAATATATTATAATTTTCTTCTAAATTAATAAAAATTAATTTATACAAATACTTTAAACAATTAAAATTACTTTGTTATATGTGATGGTATCTTTTGTCTATTATGATGTACATACGATTTGCTCTATTATCTATTAGTATTGAAGAAATTCATTTTTCTTTTCTTGAATAGTTTCTTAAATTCTTTTTTATTATAAATTTGGTAATTTTTTTTAATTATATGACCAATTTTTTTTTTACTTTAGTAAACGATATAGCTTTTTAAGTAAATTTTTCATGCAACGTTTGTTTTTTTAAGTGTGCAGTTAAAGTAGGTGTTGGTATCAATTTATATACTGTCGCTACCAGAAAAGTCAAGTGAGTATCTGTAACCAAGGATTGTATTGTTGTGTTTTCCCTCACACGTAGTTCAGTCAAATATCCGTGATCAAAAAAAAAAAGACAGGATCAGATGCTTTATTTAAGGTGGAACAGCGGCCCACACACTCCCCTGAGGACCAATCCAAAAAGACCTCTCGAGGGCTTAGATACATTTATATGTTCGGATGGGCGCGTGCCTTTATCTGGTATCGGTAGTTTATAAATGGATGCCGATTACTACCCTAATAGCACACAAGCCAATTATTTTAGTCATCAAATAAAATAGAGAAATATATATTTTTTGAGTTATATTTATTGAATTAAAAGTTTCTTTATAGAGAATTTACATTAAGCCTTAAATAAAATTGTATAATTTGCTATTATTATTATCATATTATCATATGTAAAATAATTTTCGTTTGGATAAGTAAATCTACATTATCAGTAAATATAGATTTATAGAATTTTCGTCCTTTCAATATGTACATGTATTTATACGTTTAGCGTGAATTATTATCAATATTATTATTACTTATATGAAGTTTGACATTACTTAATTTTAAAGTTTTGTTTAATATAATTGAGTTATAGCAGAAATTATTATTTTTTTATAAGTCTAAGTTTTTTTTTTGGTATCTTGTATTATTATCATTATTTTTGTAATATATTTAAGCCATTTTATAAACCTAATAGCAAATATATGATATATATATAAAATTTTTTTATTACTTTTTTGTTTAACAAATTGTTTGTAATTATTAAACATACTTAGCAAAGGCTATTGATTTGCAAAAAAAAATTATAACAACGGCACTTATAAGAAAAACTCTTGTTTATTAATTCTTATTACTTTTTCGAATATATTTTTTAGAATACTCCGTTAATATATATTTTATTTATTTTCATTTTTTTATTTTATTAACATTAAATACTTTTTTTTTAATTTCTTAACTGTAAAATACTTCTTTATTTATATATTTTTGGTGATTTAATTTTTTTATTTAATACTTTACTATTATATTGAATTAGTTAAATATTATAGAGAAATTTTAATATTAATAGCTGCCAGATTTTTTGATACTTTATTATTATTAATATAATTTTTCAATACTTTGATATAATTTTTTTAATATTTTATTTTCTTTAAGCTCTGCAATATAATATTTTAAAATAACTATAAAACTTTGCTTACATATTTTAATGAAACTACGAATATTTATTACTTTTATTTGTTCATGTAAACCTTTAAAGCGTTAAATTGTTTTCATACATGAAAATGGTAAACGATCTATGCTTTTTAGAATATTCTTTTATTACTACATAAAGTTTATTATAAATTTAAAAACTAAGTTTTTAAGTTTTCATAGAAAAGTTGTAGCCAGTAATTTTTTTATATAACATCGAACTAATTTAACTATTTCTAGTACAACTCTACAACTTTTTGAGGAATACTTATAAAACTTTATAGTAAATTTTTTTTTATTTTTACTTTTAACTATAAATTTGTAAAGCATATATAGTATTATTATATTAAATCACCATTGGCAGCTTATAAAAAGTCTATAACAAAAAAAATGATTCATGCGTTAGCTTTAGCTATTATTTTTAATTGGCTTAGCATCACTACCACCAGCCAGTAACATAGTATTAATAAATGGAAAAAAAAATTACAAAGTTTTTTAATGAATGTATTTTAGCGATATAAAATATAATATATTTCTTATAAAAAGTATTAAAAGTAGTTACTCATGTTAATATTATATAACTTACATTATAGCCCTTTCTTCATTATAGTCTTTATGTATAAGAGGTAATTAATATAACTTGTGAAGCATTTTTTATAGCGAATATTAAAATTTTTAAAAAACGTTGATCTTTGTTGAAAGTGTTTCGAATAGCTTTTGAAACATTGAAAATATAATAATCGATCAGCGTAAATATTTAATAATAATTACGATAATATTAATATATTTTGTTACACACTTTTCCATACTTTTTAGTGTTGTTACTATGGAAACTATTTACTTCCTACAATCTTATGTAACATTAAATTATAAATATTTTATGTATACTTTTGCTTAATATATTTATTATTACAAAATTATAAAAAATAGAATGATAAATTTTTCATTAATTTAAGAAGAATCCACGACGAATAAATTTTTCTGCCAAGAAACATTTTTAAAGTTTTTAACGGATCAGGACTCTAAGCTTCAACGCGTTTTAAAAATGACTACAATTGTCAGTCTGCTTCAGGTCGTATTATTATATTCATCGTCACTTTATTTTTTCAGTAAATTTGCAATGTTATACACTTTTTTAAAGTGGATACAACTATTCCTCTTTCGCATCAATAATTGGTCAAAAGCAATCCATAATAAATATTTTGGAACGTTATTATCTATTTCTGGGATATTTTTAATGTTCATGACGTGTATTTGGTATATTGAATGGCTATTAAGTACCCTCGGATACCCTTTTGTATATTACTATACACTTTTGAGTAAGTTTGCAACCCTTATATATATATTTATCTAATATTATGGTACTAATAATAGTTACCCCCAATTTAGACAAACTTGGCTTTTCCGCTACAGAAAAACAACTTTCTCTCTTTTTATTACTTTGCTGGGAGTTGTGGTTGCTCTCTTTTTCTTCAGCCGTACAATGGCCAGTAGAAAAGCATAATTATCATATGCTTGTATTATATTTTATATAATGTGTAAATTTTTGTTAAATATTGTAACTTTTTATTTATTTAGTGAAATATAATAATAATAATGAATAGAACATTAAATTTGGGCGAGTGATCCACTCGATGGAGCTGCTGTTTTGCTCTTTAGGGCTCTGCCAATTCATGCGTTCCTGCTTCCATGTGCATTTTGGCGTTGTTGTTGCGCAGGTTATAATAATAATATACGAACTCTTTTTAGTACTATTATTAGTTTCTCTATCCGCATTATTATAATATTGTTTTGTATGGAACCAGAAATTTTAAGTGTTAAGTTTTAATTAAAAAATTGTTCTATTTTAGGACTTTAGTATATTTTTTAAAAAGTTATAAAAGGTTTTCATTTGCTCATTTTATATTTAGTTTTTAAATACTTTTCTTTTAAAAATTTCACTTTTACTGAAAAGTAAAAATAAAAACTTTTTCTGACTTTAATATTTTTAAAAATTTTATTTATATATATTACAAACTTTACTTTATTCTCATTTACTCTTTTTATTATTATTTATTAGTCTAATTTTTTTAAATGCTTCAGTTTATTTTAAACTTTACTTCAAAACTTTCTTTGCTTTACATTTTATTATTATAAGTTTTAGCTTCGTAACAATTCAGATCCTTTTTTTTTTAGTTTATTACTTTAACTCTTAAAGAATATATTATATGTTTTAGTTATATAATAAACATCATTAGCTATAATAATATAACTATCTTTACTTTGTTATTTTAATAAAAACTTTGAGGACATTTACGGTTTTTGTATTGAAAATTTTACTTTTATCTTTTTTATATTTTATTTGTAAATTTTTGTCAAAAACTTTATTACAGTTTCGTTATGGGTATAAAACTTTCTAATAACAAACTTTTCTTGCTTTTCTTTCTTTTTCTTGTCTTAAAACTTTTATAACTTCTTTTCATTTACCATAAAAAAGGTTTTTTGTTTAAATTCAAAATACTTTTTTAGGAAGAATTTATTCAATACTGCATTGCTCTTCCATTTATTTCTTCAATACTCTATAAAGTTTTACTGCTTCTTATAAACATCACGTGGAGAAGGCTTGCTTTAGTCTTTCCATTGGCTGCACTGGTGTCTTTAGTTGTGTGTCGCTTTAGTTATTTCAGTGGGAAGGCAGTGACTATTTTGGTAAGACGTATTCTAATAAGTAGATAATTAGAGAGAAAAGTACGTTCTTAATATTTTTTGTTTATATATCCTGCAAATAAAAATAAGTAAATATTTATTTGTAACATTTCTAAAAGGTTTTTGGAAAATATATAAATTTTATAATTATTTTTAGTAAACAAACTTTTTAATCGACTTCATTTATGCAGCAAAATAAGCCTTATTTATTAGAATATACTACTTTTTTCGATATTTTAGGGTTAATTTGCAACTGCGAATGTTAACTTCGTTTGGTTTTTTTATAATAAAAAGGGCGGCCATGTCAGTTAGTTTCTTAGACTAATTGATGTGCAGTTCTATCTTAAGGCTATAATATGCTATTTTACTATATATATAATTTATTAAACAAATTATCGCTCGATTAAGCCTTTCATAGTAAAACAGTCTGCTTGCGCGCGGACTTTTACTTATATTTTTCATGAATTTCCTAAAGAGATAGTAAATTTTGGGATATCAGGTTTTTTGGCACGTGATCTCTAAAGTAACTTTGCTTTATGGGGCTGGCGGTCTTCCTATTAGCACGGAAAATAGCAAAACGGAGGTTACAGAGTGGGGCATTCTGACCAATACAGGGAAACGGGCATCTTTGCAAGTATACATAAATTATTAATATTATTTTCTTTCAATAAGTTGATCCGTTATATTTTACTAAAATAACAGATTTTCAGAGCGTTTCTGTTACTTGTGGTTATGTTTGCATTCAGTATGCTGGCCTTTTCTACTCTCTCTTCCCTGCAGGATTTAGTAAGTTTGTTAAAAAAAGTTTGTATAACTACTTATACAATGTTCCTAAATCCTTCACTAAATAGTGGTTTACTGTTGTTGTACAGTTACGAATAGTTTGGCGAATGAACCCCCAGTAAAGGGCATAATAATAATAGTAATTATTTTTCACCAGAATGAATGGAATCCGTTGGACATCAGTTTTAAAGAAAACAAAACTTCACAAGAATTCCGAATTGAACATGCAAAGGCAAAGTTATATATGAAAACTTTTAACAAGAGCTTAGTTGTCTGTTTGACGTTTGTAATATATAAAATTTATAATTTTTTATTAAGTATATTCTTATACTCATCGCAACAAAAGTTGTAATGAAATAAAAGTTCAAATTATTGTATTCTTATCACGTTTTTCTGAAAGGGATTTTTAACTTCGAATAAAAATTTTATATTTCGTAGACTATTATTACAATTTAATAAGCGTTTTTTATTATTATATATTTGTATTAATAATTATTATAGTTTAATTCTTCTATATAAATTCACCTTCTGAGTTGTTTATTTGTTTTGTTTAGATAGTCGATTTACTTTTAGCAAAATCCATGCAGCACCCACAGAACTTCAGCACAGCACGCCACGAGGGCCGCTATGCTATTTGCTCTTACGAGCTCCACGGCCTCAGTATCGTCGATTATGCGCTACTGGCCCAATTAGCCTATTTTGACTCCGAAAAAGAGGACTTTCATAGACTATTTAGTGCCCTTTTCAGGTTCCCGAAAGACTTTCAGCTGCGCATGCCACCCATCAAAAATAGGAAGAAGGGCCACGCTCAGGTCTATAAAATACTTAAAGTCATTAGTTTACTTTGTACTATTATAATTTTTTTAATTGTCTTCAGTTTTACGATATTTACAGTTCAAAGCGAAACTTAAGTATAATTGCCATCAGTGGGACGGACTTGGGACGGATTAGTGACATTGTGGAGGATATGAAAGTATTATTATTTTGTATCACGAAATATTATCATTAGAACAATTGTACTATATAAACAACACATGAGATGTATGCCGAGTCGCTGGTTTTTACCATCTTATCTTGGATTTTTCCCACCATTCGCGTGTGGCCAGACACAACAACTTCCTTTTTAATACAATTTTTCCACGAATTGCTTTACATTTTTAACCTCCATGATGAAACCTGGTAAGCTGTTTGACTTTCTGTTATTTAGTTTATTTATCAGAAACTTTATTAAATGTTATTGTGAACATTCCGAGTTTACGATTATTTATTTATTTTACTTGTCGTAAGTATTATTAAATATTTTCATTTATTATTTTATAATTATCTTTATTTTATCTTTTTATATATATATATGTTTGCATTTATTGTTTGTATATAAATATATTCGTTATAGTTGATAATTGATACTTTTCATAATATATCTCTTTATAGCTTTATCATTATGAACCTTTATTATTGCCTGTGATATTCCATATTATGTAGTTTTTGTAACAAACTTTATTTACTTAAATTATATTTGCGTAATGTACTACTTTTTGTTATTTATGTATAATTTTGCTTTAGTTTATGTTATTCTTTATGATATTTCATTGTTATTGTTTATTTGTAAATAATTTTTATATTATATCCCCTTTTATATTATTGTTTACTTTCTATGATTTATTAATTATATACCATACGCTAATATTTATTTTAAATTATAAACGCTTTTTAGGTACTTCAATTCTCTGACTGAATACGTGGAGAGTTTAAAAAATACAACCAATGTGGTGTTGACAGGCCACTCCCTCGGCGGTGGATTGGCTATTATTACCGGAGCGTTAACGAGGTTTTTTTATGAATATTGCATATTTTTAACTCTGCAAAAACTCTACTTTTTATTATTTATTATTTTCCACTGTTATTATTTCGGCTGCAAGTTAACTTTTTCTTCATAATAAGTTGTTACTATATCTGTTAAGAGCTATAAGCGATAATATATTAGATTACTATTAATATTGACTATCAATATTATTAATTTATTCGGTAGTTAGGTGGCTACTGGTAACTTATAATATTTTACTGCGTTATAACTAAACAATTCTGGCCATCCAACCACATGTTGGTTGTCCTTTTTAAAATTCAATATGCGCTAAGGATCAAGATATTTTGCGACGCGTAATGGCTAATGAGAAAAGGGATAGATGTAGCGCAAATCAAGAAAATAGTTAATTTTTTTAAATAAATAGATAACTATCAATAGTTACAAGTTAAGTGTTCTTAATATTAATAAACGAATTAAAGAGACTTTTTTGTTATACTTTAATATATAGTTATACTTCGAGTACACTCTTTTACCATTTAATATATTTGAAGTGTGTAAACGAAAAATTTCTTCTTTTAATGTCTCCACGTGATAAATAAAAAATTTTAAATTTGGAGAGCTTTTATTGGTCTTTCTAAACTAATTAAAATTAATATAACATAATTTTTTAGTGAAGTATATAATATGAATTACTAAATTTTTTTTAATCTTCCAAGAGTTACTATTTAGTCGAATAAAATTTACTATACTAATAATAAATAATTACAATTTACCTTTATTTATTAATTTCATTACTATACTGTTAATAAGTTTCATATAATAAAGACATCCGTCTGTAGGATTTAGTGCGCCGGGCATAACACACGGTTGGAGAAAAGTATTGGCTCTTAGAGAACGTACCAAGAAATATGATAGGAAATATGGTCAGTTTTACTTAATGGTTACTGGACGTGATTTTTAAGTCATTATTTAATATTTAATATTCAGTATAAGCGGAAGATATAACAATCAACGGACTATTTTGTATCCAATTTTTTTAAAGTAATAATATTTTAAAAAGAGTTGTTTGAATTGAAAACTCAATTATTATTGCGAGCAATAATGCTTACAGCATTTTCATCGACTCAAACACACACAAGTTTTACTCGAGGAATTTTATCACTTTTAAAAATACGTTTGATAATAATTTATATATAAAAAGTTTATAGAAAACCATTTTGTGTATTACAAGCAATAATTTAAGGCATAATATTATCAGCTTTTACTTAATATATACGCGTAAAATTATAATAAAAATTATTGCTTATTTGGTTTGTTCTCTAATAAACTCTAGCCCTCTTTTGGCTGTGTTAGTAGGAACTACATACCACAATAGTAATAAATAAATAACGAGAATAGCAGCATTAATTATACTTTATTAATAACAACCAAAAAATCAATTTTTTCTATAGGAAAAAACAAAGAAACTTTTCCACATACTGCCTTGAATATTGTACCGGCGAACGATCCCATTGCCATGGTGGACTCTCACGCGGGAATGGTCCAAAAGATTGCGTGCAAGCACACCCACCAGGCGCTCCAAATGTCATGCCACATGCTCGAGGCGCCTACCATATGCTTTTAATGATATTCATTTTAGCAGTTTTATGAATTCGTAAAAAAGCTTATCACCTCATCTTATTTTATAATAAAATAAAAAGTGGTAATCGATACTACTTATAATAAGAAAGCTAACTTTTAACTTTTCCTGTTTAGTCAACACTCTGCGAATTAATTGAAAATTGCGGCGATGAGCGTTTTTCAAGCTGCCAGTTCGAATACCACTTAAGCGGCCTCATTCCCGCCATGACAGTTGTCGCTTCTACTCTTTCAAAATCCGCTGGAGCTGCTCTTTTTCTTGTTGTTATGGCTTTCATATTGAAACAATTCTTAGCCCTTCCTTGAAACTTTAATTGTACACAATAAATTCTCTAATATTAATATAGACATTATTGTTATTATATCATTTAATAAGATAGTTAACTTGATAAAATTCAAGCAATCGCACTAGGCTTGACTTGATTTTATTTATGAAACAAATTTAATTTGTTTATTTACAACTTAGTAAACCTGAAAAGAAAAATCAATCTCTCCCGCAGAAACAATTAATATTTTTACTAAGTTTGTCGACATTAATATTGCTTTGTGTGATGGGGTGTATTATGAGAGACTTTGACCGCAGTTATGTCCGCCTATTTAGGCTAAAAGACAATAAAAGTAGCTGAAGAACAACATAGAACACTGTTTTATTCGTAAAAAGAAATATCTTCAAATATTATTTTCTGCATATTTAAAACAAAGAAACTTTGAATATATTTTTAATATATTAATTTCAAGTGAAATATCTCGTTAAATTATTTTCAACCTGCTCGGTACTACGGGTGACCCTCAATTTATTCTACGTTTAGAGCTATATAACCTCTCGCGTTTGTGTATATTACAAGGATGTTGCAAACCATTTAATAATTACTAGTTATCCATGTATTTTACTGCCAATAAGTATGAATATTATCTGAACTTTAGACTGTACAATTTGGTATAAGAGGGGAACATCCAATTTATAGAACCTCCAGCTCTGAACCGTGGTTAAGCTACCTTGATGGGCATCTTCAAAACAGTGCTCAGTTCTCGAGCTAAAGGGTTTCTACAAAAATATTCTTTTTTTTTTTCTTTTTATATTATTTAATTCTAAGTTTATTTATTTCAGCGGCCTGCCACGTTTAAAATTTGTTGTTTAAATAGGATTAATTTTTCTCTAATTTTCTCCTTTAGTGAAAAGGCCACCGGTAAGCTTTAGTATTTTACTTATTTAAATCTTTCCGAAACCCATTTATTTTACTTCTTGCCTATTTCTTAACTTGCACTCAACGTTTAACTAGTAGCGTGCACTCTTTGCAAGGCAGTCGAAGTAAACTTTAAACCTGCAACTATAAACTTTTTAATGATAAAAGCTGACGGGGAGGAGCAGGGTGGCGCTTCTACTTTTCTATTGTTAAAATAACTTCTAAAAGCTTAAAATAGAACTTAAACAAAATAAATGGAGAGCCCAATTTAATAAAAAACAATTTTATGCTATTAACTTTAAAAATTATTTGTTCTTTTTGCAGTACTAGTAAAGTATAGAATATAGCAAATAGTAAAAATGCATCGTTTTATCTTAACGTAAAAGCTTTTTTAATAAAACTCACTCTCCTAAAAAATTAAAGACCGTTTGAATAAAAAGTTAAACCTGCTACAATTTTCTTATGTCCCCTAATAGATATTCATATATAATATAAAGTATAAAAAGCTTTAAGTTGGGGTAACAGGGAAAGTTTATTATAGAGTTAAGAGCGCTCTAAAAGCTTAACAGGGGGATTCTCGATAACTTCTTTATTTTGTATGAGGCGCAGCTCTCGTAGCGCAGCTTCATTGGAAGCGCTAAACTTATTTTCTTCAATATATCTTTTTGTATCTAAAATAATATGTTGTAACGTAGCCAAAGCCTTTTTAATTAAAATTAGAAAAAATAACCAGTAGCAATACTTATGTATAATAAAAATAGACTTAAAAACTAATTACTGGGAAATTATAATTTAAAGATTTGTAATAAAAAATTAAAGGTTTATAAATAATAAGTTAATAATTACTATTCCACAGAAAAAAGTAATAATATATATATATAAGGTAATAAAATAACTACTACCTTTTTACAAGCCACTTCGAAGTTATAATTTTCTTTGTCGATCCAAGCAAGAAAAAGGGCAGAAAACAAGTCGCCGGTTCCAGTATATGTCCCCTTAACAAAATTAAAATTTTATAATTTATGAAAAGTATATATATTTATAAAATATAGTCGTAGCGCACAAGTACTAATTACTACTTCTTTTCCTTACCAGTAAAAAATTATAAACCAAGCAAACCTACTTTTTAATTTATTAAGAAAAGCATCTTATTCAAAGTTAAAGTAAAATCTAAAGTTTAAATAAAGAATAAAGATTAAAATAATATTTTAAATAAGAATTTATAATATAAGAGTTTACTGTAAGCGCCATGACCTTTTTAATAACTATTTTAAAAGATGGAGCTCTAACTTTGTGTAAACTTCTGAAAAAGTTAATATGCGATACGATATATGTACTATTAAATAACAATAAGTGCTAACTTTTGAAAAAAGCCTTAGCTTACATAACTAGTAAAGTAAGAATTTTAACTATAGATATTACTTTCAAAGAATAACCATATTAAAATTTAAGTAAATAAAGAGGCAGTAATTTATATTAATTATAATTTACTTCATACGTAGATAAAGCTATAATATTAGATGTTGGATTTAACTTAATCACAAAATACTAAATTATGTAATTAAAATTTTTAAATATCCATTTTTCTTTTCCAAATAACTGGTTAAAACTCGTTAAATAGATTGTTATTAAAAAATACTATAATATAACGTTTTATATATTATTTTTAAAGATAAATATAAAAATTATTTTAACTGAAACCTCAACTTTTCGGACAGTTTGCTTAAAATAAAAATTGTTTCTGTTCATGCAAAAGATGTGCAAATGTTTGTCGTCATCAGGAAAGATGCAACTAGTAATAACGACTGTTAGGGGGCCCCTCCTTAAAAGATCCTCCATAGCACATTTAGCAGAACGATCATCGACTATTTTAACTCCTGAAAGAATTCTTATAACAATCAAGTGGAAAAGTTAAAAAAAAGTTCATAAGTTTCCAATACTCCGCTTCAAATTGATTGGGAGTTATAATATCCGCCAGGGGCAATAACTCACTACGATATAAGTGGACTAAAGTTTCGGAAACATAGAGACGGTCGTTATCGCCAAGGACCGGATCACAAACTGTAAAGCAATAAATCTTTAACAGCTACAGTGGTTTTTTTAAAGATGAGAATACCATAAACAATTGCGGAATTTTTGGTTTTTAAAGCCATAATTATATAGGTTACACTTTTTAAAATAGACTCGGAAGCCATATAGCCTCAAATTTTACAATAACTGTTTCAGCTTTCAAGCAATAATTAAATATATATAAGGAAAAAACCGGTTAGAATGTGCGAATGACAAAGAAGACCATTGTTTTTAAGGCCTGTAAACAAATCTTTGCACTGTTTGCCATCCAAGGTGGAACCAGAGTAGTAATTGTAACCTAACAAAATTTAAGGTATTCTATTAAAAAATGGAAAGCGGTTTTATCTAGTAAAATGTTAATATTAGAAAAATAATTAAATCCATAAAATGAGAAATAGCATAAAACTCTGAAAGAAACCGGTATGGTTAGAAAATTGTACGCTATTTATAGCATCTACTTCATAGCCAAGTAGTTGTAAAGGAAAAGTGGCACACTTATTGCCCACATAACCGTATACAACGTACGACTGAATAGAGAGAATTCTTTTATAACTCATTCTTATAAAGAAAATAGCTTGTAAAGCTATTCATATATAAAGTTCAAGCTATATTATGAAATTGTGGAGTATAGCCCCCGTTCGCGTGCAAAAGTTTTGAGTTTACTGGTGGCAGCAACCAAATTTAGAACTTCAATTTGATTTTAGTAGGACGTCCAACAACTTAGTTTCGGTACTTCTTCATTTACTAAATTCATGGCATTCCAAGGATTTAGTGTTATAAAATTAAAATAATGTTCTTTACTTTGTTATTCTTAACAATATAATCTCCAAATTCATATATTATTTAAATATTAGCTGTTTTATTATTACTTAAAAGTTTATAGTTATTACTATAACAATTATAACTTTAAACTTCTCTGCATGGCCTAGAAATTATAAAAATCCAAAAGGTATATTAGAGGTGACTGTTTAAAATTCCAATAATATATGAGTAAATTGAAACTAAAAGATATAAATGTATTGAGCTTTCAATTAATTTATAATGAGGCCCCCTGCCTTTTAGGTAGAAAGCTAATTGGGGAGGCCTCTTGGGCCTAGCCACCCGCTGCCACCTTTCCTTGAGGTGTTTTTTAGGATGCCACATGGCGGGAAGCATCCCTCGCGCTTTCAAACCTCTGGTTTGAACACAGAATCTTTACTGAGCTGGGTATTTTATGGTAGTTTTTAAAGTGGGTTGAGTTTCTGTTTAAGTTTTTTCTGAAATATTTTTACATAGAAACTATAAAAATATTTTTCTCGTTGAACGCCAAAAAAAAGCACACGCCATACCATTTTCGTTCATGTGGTATTTACTTGAGTACTTCGGTTTTATTTTAAGGGCAACGACACTTTTATTGATATTTTTATTAAAAAATCTGGAACGAAATAAGGCCTTATACAATCTTATTTTTGTTATATAGTTTTTGGTCAATTTGTGCTTTCAAATGACTTAAAAAAAATTTAAATAAAGGTGCAATACTAAAAATATGGTAATATGGTATTAACTGATTAATACAAGTCTTTTATTTTACCTTCCCTCTAACCTCTTAGCATCGCAAAGATTAGCTCAGTTCCTAAGAGGTGAGCGTTATTATAATCAACTATTTACCAAAATTATCTGGGTTAAGGCCGGTAGGTCGAGCTCTTTTAGTAATGAATAGGAAACAGCAATTGAGTTAATTATTAAGTTTTTACGATTTTTTTATTTATAACTTTAGAATATATAATACTAATAACGACACTGCCCCGCCTTGAGTACTCCCAGCTTAAAAGATGTTTTCAGGCAAAAACATTTATTATATTGCCGTTAAATGGGTATTTTGTTATTGCAAAGTTATTGCATTATTTTTTTATACCTGTCCAGATATCCAAATTAATAGATAACATTTATTAAAGTAAAATTTTTATGGTTTACCTCCAAAGAAAGTTTAGTCAAAAAAAAAGGTTGTGAATGGTAATTTTTCTTTTAATTTATATATATTCCCATTTTTTCATTCTAGTGAAAGCGCTCAAGAAAACAAAAAACATGACATACTTAACTTTTTTAACTTATAAGACCAAGCACTCAAGGTCAACACATTCCTTTACATTTATTGAGATTCTGCAAAGTCATAACGTATTAGTGTAAAGCACTGTCATCATAATACTATCCTGTTACTTTAAAAAAAGTTAATTGTTGTTGCTGTTGTTATTGCTACTAGTGAGTGGAGTATCAAAATTGTGGTGTAACTTTTCTCGAAACTTATTAAACTATTCATATAAGAAAGCAATGATGGCCTCAACGTAATAACAAATTCTCAAAGCTTTTCACGCTGTTATATGCTGGCGGTCCCTTCTCGGCTGCGCTCTGCATGTATGCTTGCCACGCGCTCCAATGATTTTTCCTTCAGATTCGTAAAACTCGGAGGCAGCTCATTGGGCGTCTCAGAAACATGTGTACGATCGACCAAAGATCTTACAACGGTATTGGCTGAAGTAGCTTCAGCGTCTGGACAATGCAGTTATGTGAGTTGTAATAAAAAAAATTGAAAAAGTAAGCAATACAGTTCCGTTCTGGCTCCAATTCGCCATACTCAGGAACGTCGGAATAATTAAAGGGAAGTTCCACAGTAAGTGAGCCGCCAAAGAATTTAACTGAGACAGTTATAAAGTACCGCAAGGCTAGTAAAGTCCCTTCATTAATAATAAAATGATGTAAAGAAAAGTTTTGAAAAATTATAGTCGTAAAGCTCATTTGTTAATGATTACTAGTAGAAAAAGTGTAAAACGCACGTTAAAGTTATAAAAATAAAATATAATAGAAAGAATAAATTATTTTTGAAATATTATTGTATCCTTGAGCATTAAGCCATGCTTTTTATCATTTTATCTATAAAAAAAAACCGAAATCATCATAAAACTCGAAAGAAGGCGGATGGTATATTGGGCGCAGGCAATCGCACTTCTTTTGAAAAGGGTCATTGTTTAATTGGCTTCCACATTTTCCGGAACTTTGCAGAATTATTAGGAGTTCCCTCCACGGATTATTGGTAGGAAGCTGGCCCTCTTGAAGTGCACTTGATCGCCTCCCTGTCACGCGGCGGGGCGGGCGGTCGGCGTAGAAGGAGGAGTTTAAACTGGTAATTGCTTCTTTACTAGAAGATGACTCTTCCATATCAGAAAAGTTGTCTTGTTTTAAATCTTTAATAAGAAAAAGAGTAATTATTGTAAAGTAAATTTTACGCTTATTAACAATTTATTTAATATTATGTTCATTTATATAAATATTACACTTATATATATAATGGACAACTCTCAATGTAAACTTGAGTACATTGCATATTAATAAAGAATATCTACTACTTATTTAGTTAAATATAAATTAATAGTTAACTTAATACTTATTATAAACTATAATTTGTTTAATAAAATAATTATCCAATTTTCATAGAAATTTTATTTTTATAATAATAATTTATTCAATGTATTAACTTTATTTGTTTTATTTAATAAATATACTTCCTATCTGTTATAATTAAATTACTTTTAATAAGTTTTTTATCATAGTTGCTTCGTTAATTTCAATTATTTACTTATTCACAGTTATAGTGATATCTTTCTTAATAATAATTAATATATAAGCATTGTGGTAATTAACCTTATTTTAATATCTATTATATAATTATTGTTTTTTAATAACTCACAATAAATTTTTTTTAATAGTAATAATAAATTTAATTTTGTTATTAATCAATTCATTACTTATAAACTCACTTTATTACAATATATGCATACAATACATCTAGTAATAAATAATTATTTTTTAAAACTTTTTTATATAATACCAGTAATATATGAAGGGACTGCTACGGGAAAGTAGCCTTTACTCTCCGTCACTCTGGGAAGAATCACAGCCTTGAAGAAAAATTGGCGTATCCCCTTTTTGTTTTTAAAAGAGAATTTACGCTGTTGCTCAGGCCCTAAAGAGCTTTGCTGCTGTGCCTGTGATAATTCAGAGCTATACGAGTTGCAGCGCGACGTGTTTTTCTTTTTCTTTGCTAATATAAATAATAAAAGCTAGTATAAAAGTTTTGCTCAGGTGTTCTCAGATTATGCTTTATCACATTTATAAAGACAATTAATAATAATTAAAAACAGAGTAAACTCGAGAATAATAGGAGTATATTTAAGACTCAGGCTTATATTATATGAAGATAGATTCTGCTTGACAATAAACATAATAGAAAACTGAAAATATGAGATCCTTAAAATTTTTACTTAGTATTTATCATGATAAACAATAAAATAAAAAAAGTTAAATAAGATATATAATAATAATGCATTGTATTTACAAAATAATAAAAATCCATCTTGTGTAAAAAATAAAAGAGAGTAAATAAAGATAAGAACTCAATTAACATAATTAATACAATAATATAATAAATTAAATAAATAAATAAATTGTAAATATTAAAACAAGCAATAAGTAATGATGGTCACTAAATAAATGTGCTAATATTGATTGTATAATTTAATAAAATTAGTAACTAATAAACTTTTAGTTTCACTACTCAAAGTTTTATTTAAAACGGTAATAATAGATATAATATATATAATAAATATTTTCTGTTATAGTTATATAGTTAAGAATATAACAGAGCGCAAAGTTTTTAAAATATAAATACTATTCATAAATTTATTAATAGTTTCACTTTATAGTTAATAATAAAAATAGAATTCTATGTAATAAAAATCTCGAAGTCTATAGTATAATAATAATTACAATATGAATAAAATAAATGCGTTATAATAAAAAATTTAACAAAATTCAACCCAAAATCCCAGCACTACCTCATGCTATTAAAATTAAAGTTAGGTGAAAATCGGTAATTAATAATAAAGATATATGATAATTATAATGCGCTCTACAAAAAATACTTAATATTAATGAAAATAATACTTAAAATTCTACAAAGTTTTCAGGATGGTTAATAAGAGCGAACAAACGAAAAAGTTTACTTCATAATAATAATAAAACTTGAAAGAAATAATTAACTATTAACTATTTTATATAATTATCAGTAAAAATCGTTAACCAAAATAGGAACGTATATTCGTAAGACCCAATCGGCATCTCTTAAAGAAATTATAAAAGTTATTAACGAAGACGGAATCCTCTTTATAATCAGCTGTCTCCACAGACTTCTTTTGAGTCCTTCCAGAATGGTTGGAGTGCTTTTTTTAATTTTCTTTATACATAAAACTTTCTTTATGAGTATTATATATGCAAACCTCTCTTATGGCGACAGACTTTTCTGAATAAGACGCTTTGTCATCTTCACGAGTTCTTCGTAATAATGAAAGGCTGCGACTGCTCTCTTATTTTATTTATATTTAATAATAAAGCTGAAAAGTGTCTTTTTAAAGCTACAATTTTAAATAAAATAAATTAATGAGTATTTTATTTTGCCTCTATTAACATATATTACATTACGAGCTTTTTCATTAATTTTATGCAAACTTCAAGCATATCCACTATAATTTACGCAAACCACCAAACCGTTACTATATAAGTTAATTTGCCCCGCTGACTACCAAAATATGAAGGGTTTTTTAAAAATCATTCCAGTTAGCATTAAAGGCTTTTCTATTAACATTTCGTAACAAAAAACGAGCTAAAATTTTTTTAACACCCCAATAAAAATGTAGCACTTTTATTAGTCAAAGTAACTCTTAAATGTTATACTAGTCGCAGGAGTGCTTTATATGAACATTACAACAAAAAGAAAATATATTAACAATAGAATTAAATATAAAAAATTAGTATGAAAATATTAAATATGCACTCACAAAATTATCTAAATAAAACTTACTTTTAAACTTTTTACAAGAAGGAATAAGTACCGAATCTACCACAACATTTGAACCCAAAAGATCAGATCCTTCTACAGTAAATTTAAATTTTTGAATGGCCTGTAAAAATATTAAGCCACAGTTCATAAAACATAAATTTCTAACTAATAAATTACTCTTACCTGAACTAAAATTTCTCTTATTTTCCTGTTCGTATTGTTTGATATTTCTATAAATACCTGAAAAATACAATTTATAAAAGTTTAACCTACTTTAACTGTGTATATAAAAAAAAAATTCCAATTAAAATATGACAAAATGAAACTGAGATTAAAAGTCAAGTTAACGAGATTTATAAATAAAGCTTTCGAAAGACTCACAGGTATGCCTTCTCCTCTATAATAAACGTTTCTTTCGAGTTTCGCTTGTAAATAAAAGTCTCCCCTTAAGAAAGGAAAGAACGAGAATTTCTTTAAAACAATGCTTTTCGGAACAATGCTCGTATTGGGGTAATATCTATTATACCAGATTAAATGAAAAAATCTCATTTAAAAAGAAATCACGTCGGAGTAAAAGTTATCATAGAAAATTAAGGGTTTTTAACAGTACTTCCTAGAAGGCACTTTGGTAAAAAAGTTTTTTTCATTTTTTATCAACTAAAACATACAATATTCCTTTGTGAAATCGTCTTTGAGCAACAATGCGAGGAATATTAGACGCGGTTCCCGGCTTTCCTTGATATATTTTGAGAGTTACCATCCAATGACAGAAAAATTTTCTTGAAAGAAATAGACTAGGTGGTAACAATTTTTCCGGTAAGGTAAAATTAAATTCAAATCTATGTTTTCCTTTATTAAAAATAATTAACTAAGATTATATAGATATACACTAAAGCAAACAATACCAAGATCAAAGACATAGTTCCGAGCTAAAGTTTTTGATTCCCTGTAACTACAAAGTAAGTAAAAAGGTAACTAAGCTTTATATTCTAAAAAATACAAAAAAGTGAGAAAATGTATATTAATAATAATATTTGACAGAAATAGAACGTCATACATGGTATCCTCTCCTCCGTAAATAGAAAGCTTGGATATTAAGACACAAGAAACGCTACACCTCATATACTTGATGTCAGTCTTACTCTGAATTAAGCAAACAACTTGACCCGAAACTATTGATTATATAATATTATTTATCTACCCGTTATTGTAATAAGCCTAATAAGTATAGCCTATTAATTTTTTGGAATTCACGAAAAACGAAGTACCTGTTTCGTTGGCAAAAAATGGTTTGGACCGATAAAATCTTATTTCGTATATATTTTCGACTGGAGACTTTTTCTTCTTTTTCATTACTCAAGTATAAATAACAACTCAGTTCCTCAAAGAAAGCCCTCAAATGGGGAAAGAGTGATTAATGCGACAAGCTAACAAAGATTTTATCAACATTTCAGTTCGGAGATATTAGCGATTATTGGAGCAATTAGACATCTGCTTTATAAAATTATTCCGTATATAGAATTCATATGGTCAGGGACTTATATCATAATACACTTGTGCGTTGAAACTATCCACTATAGTATTAAATTGCATTTATACAATAAAATTGGGCTTTTAACAATCTTTCTAAGCATAAGTGCTAGTTAAAAGTATTCTAATATACTTTAGTCTCAGAAATCTAGTAATTGCACTTAGTGTATTATTTTAGTTTTAACTAGGATTGGTTATATCAGAAAATATATATATTGTAGAAACTAGTTCAGCATTTAATAATTTTTAAAGGTTGAAACGTTTTAAGTACACCAACCATCCTGGAGAATTGGTTTTTAAAATCTGCACTGACTGTATGCTGTATTCGAACATATATCGATAATTATTTAAATGGCCACTAATTTAGTAAAATTGAAAGCATAGAGTTTTAAAACGGAACTTTACATATGACATTCGAAAAATTACATCTTACATAATTTTTTTTAAGCTTCTTACTGGGTCATTTACTCTTACTTTCTTTTCAATAGCAGTACAAAACGCGAACATCAAAAGATGAAATACTGAACATATACTTCTGCGTATTCATTTAAAGGTATGCTATTTCGAGTTAAGTTGAAAGGCAACGCGTGCTAAAGACTAATACCTTGTTGTTTTCAAACTAAATAAACTAACTTCATAACTTTTCGCTTGAAAGTGTAACGACAGTGAGTTTCAAAATTTACCGTTAACTTTATCTTTATTGCACTAGTAAATGGAATGCTTTAATTGCCTGCTAAAATATAGTTTATGCATAATAAAAGCTTTAGTAATAAAAATTCTGCAGATGCAGAATTTAAGTAAATGTTCCAAGTATCAATATGTAAGCATTAGGCGCAATGTTAATAAGAAGTTTAACCGACTTTAAAAAAAAGGATTTATAGAGAACATGAAAATTTTAAAAGCATAAAAAAGCTGCAACTCCGAAGTTTACCATCGAAATTGTTAAAGAATCACCGCTCATGGGTCTTGTTGAGCTTAGGTGAAACTACCTTTAGTACTGCATTAATAAATCACGAGCATAAGAGACCAATGACCTCATATATAGAAACAGGGTGGTTTAAGTTAGAGGTTCTACAGGAAAATAATAATTATATGAATCCATTAATCTTAATTACTGTTTGTATAAAGTGTAAGATTCCTAAAACAAGTCATCAGTTTTTGAGGTTGTACCTGGTTTGACAGCTTGCTTTCGGTTGTCTTCTTTATTTTAAACGGTAATTAGTACATAACGGCCCCTGAAGAGATAAGCTGTTAAACTTAATTTTTAGGTATAGATAGCTCAGTCTTGAAATTTTCACAGGAATTTTTAATACTTTAACTTTATTTATATTAGTACGTCAGAATAGTTAAACTTTGTTTTTTAATGCGTAATAACGAGCGAAAAGACGAACCGGAAAATAGGCGTTGCTCGCACTTGATAATTGAAAAAATTCATTGACTTAGATGTAAAAATTTGTTAATATTTTAAAAGACACAAAATAGTAATTTGAGTTTTGTAAAGTATTCAAAGGCCCGTACGCTAAAATTGATTAACCCTCCAGTAACTGGCGTCATGCATACCACTTTCATACTCTCTTAATATTTATCTAGTTTTCATGTTTTTACAAATTTATAAGAATATCTTAAAATATATAATTATAGATAGACTTACACGGTATTATGACCAATAATATAAAATAAAACTCAAGGCTAAATTTTAGTGTTTATGATTTATATGTTATACCACAGTGAACCAAAAGAAAGCTATCTTAGACTGCTTACAGGAGGTTTTTATTATAGCCATTAATATTTATTTACTTAATCTACACAGCTTTGATTTCCACAAGGCTTAAGAGGGAACATTCGACTATAAATACTTCCATTACTTAAAATATCACAATCTCTCTCTACACCAGGTTTTTTTGAAATATTTATTTAATGTTATCCTAAGTTCTTTAAATATTCTTATCTCAAACTTTTAATTGCCTTAAATTGGGGGTTGATAGGTATGGCCTCGCAAAATTTAAGGCATCTAGAGCCGTCTCTTTTAATATAAAGACAGTGCTGTCCTTAAAATTTAAACGTTTATCATCTTTCTAATTTTTTTCCGTATATAAATAATTATGTAAACTTTAGATGTTTTAAAGCCGATACAGTACTTACTTTTCTAAGACAAATTAAAAAATGTTAAGGTCGTTTGTATTCTAAAAAATTGCATAGAGGTATTTCTATGTACTGGTTTTTAAATTTTTAGGGGCTCTTCGTATTGAGTAATGAGTAATACAGTTCATAGTTGTCCATTTATAGTTAAGCAAAAGAAAGTCAATCTTACATTCACGATGCAGATTATAGTTTCACATAGACCAAGTTGGGCTTGTAAGGGGCCTAAGGAGGTAGTTAGAATTTCTGGATTCTGTTAATATGGAATCTGAGCAGCAGGATTACGAGACAGATGCATAACTAACTCATGATAGACCTAAAAACTTTTGGCTTTATTGTTACAATGAATTACAAATAAAAGTGGTAAGTGTTGTACAAAAAGATATATGGGAAATATACTCGCGATAATGATTGGATTGTAAATAGACAATGCCATGAATTAAATTTTCGTTTGGTGTGTTAAAAATTTAATAAAATTACCTCTTGAAGCGATAGTTGGTATCTTAAACTTTTTAGTGGTTCTCTGCAATTTTTTCACACGAAAAATGCGCCAGAATAAAGGTATATAATTAAAAATTGGGAAAGGTCTTAGGGTATAACTGTGTAACCAATACACAGTAAATAATTAAGGCCACAAAATTTATAAAAATTTGCGAAAACAAATTGATTCTCATTGCAGAATTCGTAAGGGTAAAAAATTAAAAATAATTTTAAACCTGTATAATAGCCTACTGAATTGGTTTGGATTTTTAACTTATTCGTTTGAGGGTAGCTATTTATTGTTTATTAGGTGGTTTTTTAGAATTTTTTAGTTATAACTAACCTATCCAAAAGGCTTTCAAATAAACTCAATAAGTGGAAATTCACTAAGAGTTGGATACGCTAATTATAAGTATGCTGAGTGGTCTAATTACAATAAATTTTAAATTCAAGTTACACTGATACCTACATTTTCTATTGGGCAAGTTTCTTTATTATAAATTATGACGGGGGAATATGTATGATTAAAGTTTGACGAACCCATAATATAAGAGAAATTGATCAAATTTTCATTTTAGGCTTTACATGATCTATAGTATGCATTTTTTGCGCAATATGAAGGCGACGCCGCGATGTACTCTTATAAGCAAGAGATTGAAACTTATCTACCACCACCTATAATATTTCAAAATTTACTCAGTTGAAAAAATTAAAACAGGAATTTATGACTTAAATATATGACTTGGTTGTCGATAAAAATTGAAAATTTTCCTCTATTTTTTGTTAATTTTTTAAGTATATAATAAGATAAATAGTAGTAAAGATGGGGGGGGGGGGGGGAGCGATTAATTTCTTCAACTTTTTTCTTTAAGGTCAATATTTTTGCTGGAGAGTAATTATGAATTTGTGCAGATTAAAAAAAGTACTCCTCAAACTTGAAGTGTTAAACTGCACGGAAGTGAGCAAAGTGGATCTATAGATGATACTTTAGTAGAACTCATGTCCCTCTTCTTTTGATGGCAGATACAAAGGCTAATGCTGAAGTAGTTTTACCTTGTTTTACAATACAAACAAAACCCAATTATCAGTTCAGCCTCAGGTTAGGTCACCGCAGGGCTCGTAAATAATGACTTAGCATCAATAACGCTGTTAAATGAAAGCACGAGGTTGCTAAATTCAATAACCGTTATTGTATTAACAATATTCCAATAGTTTTACCTCGCTCTCTCAGTCGTCCTGCCTCTAGACATGCCTTAGCTCTCGTTCGCTACTTCCCTAACTACGTCGCACAACTTAATAACTTGCTACCTTTTTCACCGTGCTGGAATCCTTCTACTTCCTAAACCCTGCGTGTTTAACCAAGAAATTGTTGGAATTTAATTTTATTAATTTCTACACGGCTTTATAACTAAGTCGCTAAGATTAGCATTCCAACTAGTACTATTAAAATAAGAATGCAGTCGTCTGCAGAGGCATCAACCAAAGCATCATTACAGCTTGGAAGCACTCCGGTCCTTCTTCACAATGGTGGTATCACCCAACTCATGGTGAATTTAAGAGATAGATTCCACCATGCAGCCCGTTGAATACAGAGATCAACTAGCAGGTTGTGAACTCAAAGCCTACTTAGCCCTTTACTAACGGTTGGAGGAAACTACGAAATATATATACTTTATAACTTACTTAAAAATAAATGAAAAAAAAAAATTTAAAAAAGGCTTAATTGTTAACTCTATGTAGGATTTAAAGGGGCTAACAAAAAATTTGGAAATGTGGGTATTAGAACTGCCTCAAACTATATATCTACCATTATGACTAGGTTAAAATCGTGGTTGATATTTATGCTATTAATAGTAGCATTGGGACAATGTACATTACGTATTAGTCATAGGTAATCTAACACATTCCCAAAAAACTATCAAATTATTGACTTTATTAAGTAAAACCTCTATGGTGCTAAGAAAGAAACGGCAAAGGAAGTAGAAAAGACACATTGAAATTCATTTTACAGTGCGTACTATCATAATAGAGAAGGGACTGTGACAAAAATTTTGCTTTACAACAATATAACCTCTAGTAAGTAACACCACTTTTTCCTTAAACCGTAGGGGTAGTTTGAACAATTAAGCTTGGCAAAAAAACCATGTATAAGAAGGTATCAAATGCTCGTTTCGCGTTTCCGCCGGCACGCTGTAGGCTTGGACGCTCATTTTAAAATTCTTTTTAGGAACGTTGTAGTGAACTTACTTTCATGCGTTTTTTACGTGGTAATGTAAGCGTGAGCTATCATTTAAAGACTTGGCGCAAACCTTTAGCTATGTTAGTACTTTTAGGTTGGTAAACCCAACTACTGGGGCTTCGGTCTAACAGTCATGACAGTACACTCTTCCTGAGAGCCCTACGTTCTCGAATAAGATCGATCATGTAATAAAATTTAATGGGCAGATATATGGAAGTCTCTTAACTAACTTCGAATTTTGGAGCACAATGAACGTGTTAGACGTTCATCTGCAGATTGATTATCGACAAAGCGTACGTTTTACTAGCATTGTGTTGGTAGTAATACTCCTACGACTTTAGACACCCTTCGAATTGAGCTAATATTCCTAAAGTAGGTTTTAGGACTATGGAAAGGTTTCGAAAACAGAGTTGTGAACTCCCTTTGGCTATTGACGAAAGATATGCCGATACCATGGACAGCCCCTGGTAATATGGGTGCCTTTGGAGTATAAGAAAACTCTACAGGATTCGAAAGAACGGCTTTATATAATCCTAATCAAAATTCCCTCCTACCTATTATGTCCATAAAGTGTCTGCCATCTCTAAGTTACTTTTCTCTTGTTCTCCCTGGGGACGGTTATCTATAAATGGCATCTGGCGTTGTTGACTTACTAGCTGTAATGCCCGTCTAGGTTTCTCATGTTTTTGCACGGAGCCGAGAAAGATCCTTTTAACTAACTTGAAGTTGGTAAATTAAATAATCTAGTGCAATACAGAAGGCTTTATTAACTAGATGCGTCCAAAAGCTTAAGGTTACGCTGGTTGTTATTAGTAAGTGATACGTAATAATACCACTCGCTCTTATTCTAGGGATTTCTTGACCAAACTTGAATGGGGTTAGAAGTAGAAGTAAAAATTAGTTAGTGATATGTTTACTTTTATATCAGTGGCCATAGTGCTTTCGGCTAACTTACAAATAACTGGGATTAAAAGTACTATCTTCTCATGTTTTACCAGGAATTTATACTTTCTTACATGGTGTTATTACCTAGTAAGTGCTATATAGATGGCGTCGGTCCAAGTCTATTTCTATATTTGAGGGACTATAACATATATTATCTTGCTATTACTATATTCTTTGGTTCTTGAGCCTTAAGAACCGGAGCCTCAATAGTTTTTACCAAAAACTTATTAGTAATGAGCTCCTTTTTACAAGCAAAGCAGCTTGCATTTTTGCTTCTTTCTCATGCATAATTATCACCACGCTTAAGTGGTATTGTTCTCCTATATATCTATCTATATCTTTAACTTTATACAATTGTATTTAGTCAGTATTTATTCCCTTTACCAGGTGAAAAAAATTGTTTGCTAACCATATCAACCAGTACTGTGTAAAATTTAATACTGATCTCTACAAACTACCTAAAAGAACTTTGTTTGTACGCTTTTCTAGCTTATTAACAACAGAACTAATAGCATACGAGCGCCTTATGAAAATTAGAGTAAGTAAAGATGTGAGAAAATACCAACGCAGCGTAATTGTCTAGTAACTTACTTAGCCTTTGACCTCTTAAAGGCTTTATTAAAAGTCAACCTACACAAATACTAAATACAAAGCTTTCACAATGCATATTAAACAAAATAAAGCGTAGAGTGTAGCACTTGTTTGAGAACTAACAAACAACAGTCCGAGGCAGTTATTCCCATTCTGTCGTCCCTGGGGGTTTTGCAGTTAAATCGTAAAGCACGCGAGAGATACCTGATTATTTGTTATAAGTTATAATCAACATGTCTCCTTAAAAATTTTAATAAAGGCTAATTATTTAATCGCACCGTCCTGTTTAGAAATTTTGTTAATCATCTCCTCAAGCGAACTTTCTGGCAAATGTTTTCCAGGGACTGCAGGGACACCAGTCATAAAGTCTTTCGTGATAAAAGTACGAATCACAACGCTCCGCTTCACAGTGGGTTTTGCTTGGTGGCCTTCATCGAAGTCTATAGGAACCAGAATTACTGGAACCTTTCAAAAAAAAAGATTAACTTATTAACTTAATAACATTATAATAATTAAAATAATAAGTATAATAATAAAGAGTAGTTAAAGCTCTTGACAAAAAAAAGAATACATTTTCTTTATAGCAGTACTACAATATATAGTAAAGTAGATTATAAAAAACTTTTAAACAAATGCAGCAATAAATATTATTGTATTCCAAAATTATAATTATATTTATTTTAATAACAACTGTATAAATATGTAAAATCTAATTAAATAAAAATATTAATTCAATAATACTAGTATATGTTAAGTGTAAACAATAAATAATTCCAAGTAATAGATAATAAGCACTTTACTAAATAGAGTTCGTTTTGATTGGGTAAAAACACAACAATCAAAACCACTGAAAAAATTATTATGAATATATATTAGTACCTAAGAATAAGCAATAAATATTTAAGTAAATAGTATTACAAGTAAGAGTTAGCAAATATAACAAATATAATTTATAGATAATTAAATTTAAGTTAAAAAAACAAATTACAGTAGTTTTGAAGTTTAATAAAAAAATTATACCAAAAATATATTATAGCTATTTTAATACAAAGGTAAAAATTTTATCCATAATTACTATAACTTTTTTATATTTTATATACTGGTTTAAATTTCCTATAATATTATATATAATATATTAACATTAATCATTATAAACCTGGCTAAGTGTTGTAAGAAGTTTATGATTATAAAGAATTTCCGTCACCACGGCATCCGCCTCGCGAAGTTGAGCTACAACCGAAGGCGTAAGTGTCGTGGGAGTAACAGAATTAATAGTTTCTATAAACGGGAAAAAATAAAGATATAGAAATATAATATACTAATTGTGTTAAGTTTGTAAGTTATCAATAACTATAACTCTGTGAAATAGTTTTAATAGTACATCAAAGTTTAATTTAATTTTTAAAAAAAAAAAAACTGTAGTAGTTTTGAAAATTGTGATATAAGATAGTTACCACCGTAATTTAATTGGTAATATTAAACTTTATAAATATCTTGCAATTAAATTTAATATTATATATAGAAATGCCTTTCAAATACTAGTAAATTTAATTTAAAATATAAAAAATATATTATATTACAAAAAGATAAATATTAGAAAATGTTATATATATAACAGGTATAGTTATAAGGATAATATTTTTAACGGTAAAAAGCACAATTCATAAATACATAATATTCATAGTATAAAAAACAAACAATATTTTATATATAATATAGTATAACAAAAATAATTAGGTCAGTTTAGTTATAAGATCGTCGTTCATAATAAAATATATAATATTAATTATTATGACGTATATATATATAAATATAATATTCTTGATTATATAATAATAAAGAATTTTATTAATAAAAAAATTAAAATTTTTATGACATAACATACAAAAATGTTTAATAACAGTGTTAATCTATATAAAAGTGTAATAATAGCCTTAATATATTACATAATAAACAAAATTTTCCAAAAAAAATTATAAAATAGTCTTTAATACAACACGGAAATTATATATTAAGTATTTCAATTATAGTTATACTCTAGATGACAAAATGTTCCAAGCAAGCACGTTATTAAAAAAAATTTGTAATTTTCAGCAAAAAAATTTTATGCACAAACAAAGAAATTTGAAATATAATGGCATATCTTTTATTTAATTCGAAAATGAGTAATATTAAAGAAATAATACTAAAATATAATATTGTGTAACGTAAAAAATAAATCTAAAAAGTTTTAGTCTCATGATAATAAAAAAGGGAATATAGTAAAGTTTCTAAATAGTATTAAAATTTTGGTAGTTTCTAATAAGTATGTCTAAATGATTAAGCACTAATGAAACGGTGTAATATATTATGTACGAGATAATAATATAGATATTACATCAACGTGAAAAAAAAAGCATTTTTGTTATAATAATAAATAAGATGAGTAAATAAAAGTTTAAAAATCAGTATATAAATAAAAGTAAAGAGGAAATATATAAAAGTGTGGATAAGTTTAATAATTATAAAAAGAACGTAAAAGTATATAAAATTATAAAGCATCAATAATAAAAAAATGATGGTTTTAAAAGTAACTGAAACTATAAAAAATGCGAAGGAACTTTAATAAACATTGGAATAATCATAATGTAAATATTAGAAGTAAATGAAGCTTAAAATTTTGTTAACATACAGTTGCCCGTGATAATAAATAGAAAAAAGTAAATATTATTACAAAATATGAGAATAAGTAATATTAATAACAAATTCTACAAAATATATAAAAAAAGTATTGAAAATAAAAAAAAGAAAAGTTTAACGTTGCATTAAAATATGTATATAGTAAAGAGATATACAAGAAAAGTAAAAAAGTATAAATTGAAAATAATAGATTTGAGTATAGAATAAAATAATATGATGCGAGAGAAGTCGATTTTTTTAAACATTAATTTTTTATTATAATTACTTATATAAAGTAAATATTATAAGGAAAAGAAAGTTTGTAAATTATAAAAATTTCTTGTGGGTTGAGAGGGGAATTAGATCATATGCTGTAGTATCTTAAGAGCTCCAACTATACTTATTTAATTTAGAAAAAATTCGTAATATTTCCATTTTTTACTTTAAGTAAATGTGTAAACTAATCAACAGAAAAAAAGCTGCGGATAAAGTTTTTTTAAATATAGATAAAATGGAAAGTTTGCTTATTACCAGTTTAATAACTTTACGATTGTCTCAATAAGATAAACGAATTCGCACAGTTAAAATAAAAGCACAGAGAAAGTTTATAAAAATGTAAAAAAGTAAAGGGAAAAAAGTAGTGATATCAATTATAATAACTCTTGACGCCCTCACGGAAAACAAACACTACGCGATTGATATTATGACAAATTTTAGGAATGAGTTTCGCTAGTTCAAAAAGAAAGGGCCAATTTGGGATCTCACATGAGAGAGCAGCTACATAACTGTAAGTTCGGTTGTCGCCTTTATAAAATATGATATGAAAATAACATTAATATTAGTAATAAAAATAATAGTTATAGTAACAAAACCTTGCACCCCCACACTTTTAATAGGAAGTAGAGTAGAAGAGATTAGCTGCTGGCTTGCTAATAAACGAGTAGAGTGTTCTCTGTTTAATTTAATGACATAAATATATGTATACTACTAAAAGTTTATAAATTTAATTACAAGTATAATGATAGAAGTCTCATATTTAAAAAGTATGAAACCTAAAATTTACGTCACACTGTTAATGTATAATTTGTTTAGTGGCAAATGTACTTATTAGTTGATTGCCTAAAAAGGGTCTACGTCAAGAAGTTTCCTTTTTTAAATTAAACAGAAAGTTGGAGTACTTATAATTCATTAGAAATTTTTTTTAGCATTTATTAATACAGTAGCAATAATGAAATCAGATAATTATAGTCGGTAAAATAACCATTTTTTTATAAAATATAAGTACTCAACGTTTATTTAAAACTTTGTAAAAGATAAAAAAATTTAGATAAGTAGATAGCAAGAAGTAAAAAACTTAATATATAAAATTAAAGAAACCAACTTTTATTTGTATCGCTCTGCTTTAAAATTTTCTATAAAAAAGTTTCTTATTCATTTTATAAATGACCAAATTTTAAAAGTTTTCTGAAATCGTAATTAGATGATTGCAGTTAAAAGCGGATTAATCCAATTTTTAGTTATAGAGAAGTTATAGATAGCAGAAGATTTTATAAAATAATAACATATATAAACAAGTAACCTTTTTAGTAAAAAACAAGGTAAAAATATCTAAACTTTTGATATTCAAGTAACTTTTGTTACAAAATATACCAAAGTTAAGGTTTTCTTTAACTTTTACTTCTAAAATACTGAAATTGAATTACTCATTATACTTTTGGTTTCTATGAAAAAATTAATTATGCTGTAGACAAAATTTTATTATTGAGTCAGTCACGATATATTTTTTTTTAAAAAATGCAAAAAATTCACTATTGCTATTTGCAACTTCTTAAGCAATGCTCGTAAATCAAGCAGATTACAGAAAGCAGTGTGCTTAAATTTTACTTTAAATTATCTAAAACTTCAAAAATAATGTTGGAAAAACCATATTTGAAAAAAAATATTTAATAAAAACTTTTACATTATATTCTTTATAATAGATCTTAAGCGACTTTTATAATAAGTGAAAAACTCCTATAATTGAAACTTTAAAATTTTCTTCTGTTAGTTTTTTAACATTTCTGTTTAACCTGGCTTGTTTTAATAATAAATATTGTAACAAACCTAACGAAATCGCAAAGTAGCTGGTTGGTCCTCTCAAAAACTTCAGTTATAAGAGGCTCATCACAGCAAATTATCCGAACAGCCAATCCAGGGCCAGGAAACGGATGCCTTTGGAGAAGTGGTTCCGGCAGTCCCAATTCAAGACCTTTATAAAAAACAGAATTTATATTTATAATAAAAATAATTTTGAGTAAAAGATAGTAATTAATATAACTAGTAGTATACCACTTCGTTCAATTATAATAAAAATAGACCATTGTTAATACTTAACACGACCGACACATTATTCAACAATCAAGACCATTCCCACCAATACAAAACGATTTAAAGCAGCCAACCAAGTTGTTTCACTTCGTCCTTATGGTAGTCCTTCAGGGGCTCTATGGTGCTGCCCCGCGATCTCAAAATTCGAACCAGATCCGAATCATTGTGATGCGTCTTCACTTTAGTGGCGTGCTGGCTCAAAGTAATTGACGCGCTTTCAATAAGGTCAGTGCGTAACGTTCCTTGAGCAAGAAAAACTTCATCCGCAAGAATATTGTATTCCTAATGAGAACGTTATTTAAAAAGTTTTTAAAAAGATGATTAGCCTTTGAAAAAAATTATAAAAAGTTTGCTAAAACATAAATTACCATGTGTTAAAAAAGTTTAAATAATAATTTCGCAATGTATAAAATTATAAGTAATAAATAGTTAATAGAAGTTCGTTCAACATCACTAAAAGTGCTTATTAATAAAACATTTGAATTATTTAATAAAAATTTCAAAAATTACTGTTTTTATTAAATTCCGCATTGGTAAGAGAATTCAAAAGATAGCTCAAAAAATGGGAAAAAGAAAAAAGATGCACACGTGATTGCCCAAAGATACAAAACTGCATGCTTCGCGCGAGGGCTATATATAGAACCAAACACGTGCTAATGTTAAATGCAATAATTCATCATTATACCGTGTTTGTACGGATATCTACATATAATTGCATTACTTTATATAAACTATTAACAAATTTTTTCCTTTTCTTTACTTTTTAACATAAAAATTTAAATATTTATATAAAAAGAAAAAAATTTTATGTATAAAATTTAACTTCAAGAGCGTTCTGAGCCACAATCATAAATGTATCGCCGATAACTTTTCTCTTTTCTTCTGGATCATAAAGTTCACACAGTTTGGGCGTTTCATATTGGTACTCCCCGTTTTCTGTATTTAAATAAAAAGAAATTTCAGGAAAAAAAATAGTTAGTAATAGTGTCCACGAGATGTGAAATTATTCATATTATACATTAAAATATAGATGTGTTATATGTAATATAGAGAAAAAAATTAATATAAATATAATGAGGAAGGAGTGTATTAGCTATAAGCAAGAGTAATAATATCAGTATAAATAACTCAAAAATCCTAAAATATATAAAAGATTTTATTATTAGTAGATACATAGCTACAATACTATGGACAAGTCTAGAAGGAATCATTGTATTAATCGTTAATAATAATAACGTAAATAAACAATAAATATTACATTTAAAATTTAAAACTACTAAAAAATAACTTGTTTTTAAAATAATATAAATATAATAGTAAATAAGAACTGTTGTCAAAAAAAAGATAATATATAATGAATAGTAAAAATTATATATTCTAAAATCCATTTTATAATTGTTACAATAGTAATAACAAAGTTTCTATTAAATAATGCATACATAAAGAAAAATATTAATTACACTAATATAAATGAATTGATGTATTACGCTAGATATATATAAAAAAGTCATAATAAATTTATAGTAAAGAAATAGAGAAAGATACATAACTGTCAAAAAAAATAAAAAAATTAACATAATAATAAATAAAATAAAATTATTTTTACTTATAAATAGTAACGTTAATAGTAAACAAATAAAATTATTTTTACTTATAAATAGTAACGTTAATAGTAAACAAATAAAATAAAATTAAATATACCACTAATATTATAAAAAAAATAAAACTGAATATATATTATTAATTGAAAAATACTTTATAAATCATTGTGGATATGAAAACAAAGAGATACAATGTATTTAAAGGAAGTAAAAATATACAGTAAACAACCTAAATAAATAATCTAAATTTTATTATGTAAGAAAAATATAATAAACAAATTATAAGAATGAATGGTATTATTACTACGTCCCATGTGCTGATATAAAATAAAAAATTAACATTAACAGAAAAGTAACAGGAAACGATTAAATAATTAACAAAACAATCTAAGTTTCACTTATGAAAGTTCTTCCGTTGAAAAACTTGTCTGAAGCGTCGACGACTCTCAAGTTAAGACCAATATGGGCTAAGGATTCCTCAACTAACTTGCTCTAAACAAGTGTTTATAACAATAACTGATTATCAAGTAATGCTTAATAAATTATTAAAGAACGCAAAAAATTTTTAACCAATTAGGTGGAAACAAAGTTTACTTTATACACTTTTTTATCAATACTTTGTTATATTTCTCTCTCATTACAGCTAACAGAGCTATGAACAAATTTATTCTTTTATTTTTTTAAATTAATTTTTTCATTTTACAAGCAAAAATTTTAAAGCTACTTAAAAAGTATAGTTATAAATAGTATAACAATATTTATAAATAATGTGTTATATACTTCATTCAGGCGCATGAATCCATTATTAATATGAAGCGCGCAGATTTGCTGAGGCCCTAACGCTTTATAAAGCAAAGCAGCGCAGACTGACGAATCCACCCCCCCACTCACAAGAACCAAAACCTAACAAAAGTTATAAATTAAAAATAAATTTATTAAAAATAAATTTTAAAATTATTACTTAAGCCAAACTAAATTATAGCTAATATATATAGTGTATATAGATTATTTAAAATCATGTAAAGAACTTCGGTAAAAAATTTATAAATATAAAATTTATTGTATATTTTTATAAAAAAAATTAACAACTTAAAAACCAATATTTTTATAAATTTTTTTAATGAAAATAATATTAAAATAGCAAATATAATAAACAAGTTTACAATTCGAAAAGTGTTTTAAAAAGAAAATTAAAAGTTCCTATTATAAAAAAAGTCGTTATACGGATGGTAATATTAATTGAATATAAAGTAGAAAAAGTGGGAAAGTAGTGAATATCTTTTAAAGAGTATTAATGATAATGATAATTGAAGTTATTAATATTAATACTTCAGTAAAAATAAATACAATAAAATGTAACTTAAGCAAGAAAAAATAAAAGGTGTATCAAAAATTTATTAATATAAGCTAAAAAAACAGACTTTACTACAAAAAAATAAAATAAATATAAAGCAGAAATGGAAAATATTATGCAGGTAAAAGTATTTTGTTTTACTAAAAAAATAATTATAATAAATTTTTTTTTTAATTTATTTTAAAATATAATTATTTCTTTTAATTTAAAAACAGCATTATTAATATAATTTAAAAGTATTAATTGATTATTATTTTACACAAATATTAATAACTTAACTTTTATATTTTACTTTAATTAGATTTTTAATAATACCTTCATGTTATTCCCTATTCATTCTTTTAACAGGTAATAATAAATAACATTAACAGAGATAATAACAACACTTTGTATTATTAAATTATATTTCACTTTATATGAATAAAAATAATAGATATAATATATAAAATGCTCGTCATTCACCATTAAATTTATAAAAAATTTTAATATTTTTGAATTAATTAAAATAATAATTAATAATATATTATTAATTCATAAGCACCATTCAGGTTATTAATTATTTTTTTTACTTATTTTAAATTATAAGAAAACTTTGTTATTATAAATTTCAATTTTAAAATTATAAATTTCTTTAGTAATAATATAATAAAACTTTTATGCCATTCTTGATCACATAAGTATATTGCTGACAATGACAATCAGAGTACAAATTTTCAATGCTAATTTTGATAATTTTTTATATAATTTTAATGATAATAACAAGTACAATACTAACAATAAATTTACTTCACCCAATATACTGTTAAAATAATATATTATAATAGGTAATATTCATTTTAATACTTATAAAGAACATTAATTTTTCTCTATATTAATTATATTTGAAGTCTAAAAAGTTTAACTTTTTAAAATATTTCTATATTAATAATTTTATAATTGAATTTAAAAAAAATTTTATAAGTACTTTAAAAGTTTCAAAATTTTAAGCAATATTAACTTTATTTCTTTTAATGCTTACCGTTATATTTATAAACATTGACATTATTACTATTATTTTGTTCTACTATAATTTATCAAATTAAATTATTCATAAGAATATTATGAATGAATGTACTTTTTTATTGCCTACTGTTTTTCTTATTTCAGCAATACAGATCTCTTCTCTTGACTCAATCGTATAGTTCGCTTATAATTATTGATGTTAAACACATTAAGAGTAAAGATAGAATAACAATATAATTGCTTGCGCAAAGCCCTCCCCTCCAAACTTACTTTTTATATACAATTAACACTAAATTTATATGATATTTAATAGTTCATCCAATATTTTAATTGTACTTTTCTTTGTAAATTTTTTCCCCACAGTTTATGTTATCTCATAAAATTTAGAAAAATAATATTAAATAAAAACAATGTTAACTAAAATGCACTTTCTACAAAATAATTCAGATGAAAGTTCACTTCGTTAAATCTAATTCCTTAAACTTTGGTTTTTAAATTACTGCCGACAAGATTGTTCTCAATCAACATTAATAAAAAAAATAAGCTAAAATATTTCTGTTATTTGAAAATATAAATATGTCGTAGGTGTATTAGTGGTCAGCTTCCACATAAAAGTATAATATCGTAGAATAACACATTTCTATTTGTGGTGTTTTTTTTAAAAATCAAACTTGTAAATTTACATTAGTTAGAATTTAGTATAATATTATTATAGTAATTAATCATATAATAAAAATATTTTTTTAAAAAAGGACTTGACGGCATTAGAATATTGATAACTACCAACATTTATAGCAAAACGCTGCATATATAATTAAATAAGTATACATTTAATTCCCAACTTATACAACTCTGTATTAGTAAAGTATTTTAACCAATAACTTGTAAATCTTTGTAAAATATTATAAATAATAATTAAAAAAAATATTAGGTAATAAAAATTGTACCTGGACAGTTAGAAATCTTAATAAGAAAATTGTAAAACATCTGTGAACCGTTAGTGGTTAAATCAACTTCAGGATGAAATTGAACACCAAAAATTTTGTGGTCAGTATTTTCAATGGCTTCAAAAAAATTTAAATAAAAATAGTTATTCTTCTTTAACATGTATTTTTTAAATTAAATAAAATTAAGTCAAATTTTTATAGAAAAATTGAAGACAATTTTTTTTTAAAAAAACTCCACAAAGCACTTAACAAATAAAAATATCATTAGAATAGTATTAATAAAATAAGTATAATAAACTAACTATTAATTTAAAATGAATACCTGCAATAAAGTGGTCAGAGGTGGCAATACTTTTAAAAGTTGGAGCTACTACTCCAATAGAGTCACCGTGGGTTAACAAAACTTCTTGTTGGCTATGAAGGCCTGTAAAAAGCAGGGATTGTGGATCTACCGTTATGTACTGTTGCCCATCTTCGCGAATGTTATGTCGTTCCACGGTACCCCCAAAATAAAGATTGATCAGTTGCATTCCATAACAAATACCAAAAATTGGGATTTCTGGTGGTAAAAAATTAGTTTTTTACGCATAAAACACCAAAGTATAAAAAAAGTAAATTAAACTGCTTTTTAATATTCTTTCGTCACATCTTGGAGAATCCTTCTCGTAGACGCTACCAGGGCCTCCAGAAATAATAATAGCACAATATTTATCTTTAATTTCTTCTAGAGGAGTGGAAAGAGGAATAATTTCACTGCGAACTTTTATTTCACGTATTTTTTTATCAATAATCTATATTTTTATGAAAAAATACTTAGGCCAATTTATAAAGATTATTTCAAAAAAAAAAAAACAGATAAATTAGTGCTAATTTAACTATTTAATACTCTTAAGTATTAAATAAGAAAACTTTAATTAGTTAATTAGCCCTAAACCTTAGAATATTGAGACCCCGCATCGAGTATAGCTACTAAACCGGTGTCAGTTAAAGAATTTTTAATTGCCATGTAGAACTCTTAAAACTTTAAAAATTAATTCTATAAAGTGATGAACAACGGCCCAGAAGGATATTTCAAAAACATGGTATCACGTGCTAGAGAAGATCAGTCACTAAATTGCGTTGAACCAGTCTTTAACCATTCGTTAGGGGGGTTGGCACCGTTTTAGTGTTTCTATCCTTACTATATGTCGTTATATTAGAATTTTTCGAAATAATTTTGCTTGTTAAATGTATGTATTCTGATAAAAATATAAATTTAGCCTTTTTTTTTTTAAAAAAACGTAGCCGTTATCCAAGACTAGCTTAATAACCTTATCTCACAATTAACTTGAAGACAAAACTATCGAGCAGTGAATTAATATGTTCACTGTAAGTCACAAAAGTGTAAAAAGCAGTAAAGAAAATTTTTTATTAAAAATTTTTAAAAAAAAAAAAATTGGGAAAAACAGATATAAAGGTAAGTATCATACGCGCGAATTCTCGAGCTGTAATTTAAGCTCTCGTCCACTGGTCAAGAGCAATTAGTAACAACCCGTGATAGTTTTACTCTACCTGAGGTTTTCAGTAAAACGAAATGAAAAATAAGAATTGAGTTCTAAACACAGCTATAAGAATTTGAAAGTTCATTAGCTTGTAACGTAGAACTATATGTAATTTCTTCTTTTTAATTTGTTTCATTTTACCGTAAAAACTCAATTAATGGAAGGTAACCATTATCGCGATTGCTTTAAAGCGAAAAAAAAGAGTTGCACTTAAGATATTTTGCTCACATACTTAAATATAAGTGATTTTAAAAACTTAGCAGCTAGTAGGGCGCTTATATTAAGACAAATATATGTGGGATGTACCTGTAGTAAAACAAAAAAATATTTAATGAGAAATAAAATATCAAGCTCAATCTGTTTAATTGGAAATCTTAATATTTAGGACGCACACCGCTGTGCGAAGAAGAATAAAAAACTTTTTTTATGTTTTCTTAAGTTAGATAGACAAGTTCGACAAAACACTAGGGCTAATTGTCTTCAGACCATATTTTCTCGAGCTGAGATACACTGAAACCTCAAACTTATTAGCCTTGATGCGTTCTGATAAAATTACAACAAAATCCATCTTTTTAAATTAAACAGTGAAATGTAATTACAATTTAATAATATAAAGAATTTGGCCCCTTATTTTGTAAAATTTGAGTCAATAAACATGAATTAGGTTTATGAACATTGCGCCTCTTCTATTTGTCGGTTATAACTACATATAACAATTTCTTACTATCAAATTACTAGATTGGCAACTATTAAGTGTATAACCTCACATGCAGCACTAGCATATGTCCTGATAAAACATAAAATACCCGTGGTCAGATCACGAACCCACGCTGATTGGCATGATTTTATTAGGACCCTAAATTTGTAATTTTAGGATCACGTCTCAAAAGCGTTTATAAAAAATTAACGGTCGTAGCATCTTGTATGTCGATAAAGCTTGTGACAAAGGTTCAAAATAGCATCATTTTTAAAATAATTATGTGGCAAATCTATTCAAATTTTTGGGCGAGATTTAGATACGCGCAACCATCTAAGCCCGGAAAGAGAGTCGGCATCAATGGGAATCAAACCCATGAGCTTGAGTTTGCGCGTTAATGCTCATAACCGCTGAACTACGACGACAACTCTCGATCTCGGTAGTATGAAGACTAACTTATTAAGTTACCTCATACACATTAAAATATCTTTTCTCCGTGAAGGAACTTTTCCAATAAAAAAAAACTCAGAGAAAGCTGTAAAAAGCAAGCAAGCTGGAGACACACTCCCCCCACTTTTTATCTCCATCCATGATACCCCCACATCTATTAATATCTTTAAAAGTCTTTAAGCAAATTCCACAGCAATAATTTTTAGTACAAAGTCAGCCCCTTAAGCAAGAAAGTATCAACCATTTTTAGGAAATTTGAGAAGTGGTTTGGCATATAGCAATTTAAAGGTTATGCTGCAAAGCCATGCCCACACCGCCTGCATTCTTAGCAAAATGTAGTAGAAGGAGAGGAGGAGCATCCATGTAAAATACAAAATGTACCAAATGTGGAACTAACATAGAAAAAAGGGGTTAACGAACATAAAGCAAAGGTTTTAAGAAAAGCTTTTTGTTTCTTTTTGAGCAAAAAAGTATACTGAGCGATAAATCACCAGTTAAACCGGTACCAATTGAGTGACCGCCATTGCTAATCCACTACAAATTTAACTAAACAACTTCCTTCCATGACGCTCTGAGTTCGTCCACAACTTCAAAAAATTTACGACGGGACTATTTATTCGAATACTGCCAAAGAGTTCTTTACTCATAGTTCAGTTAGTAACCTTAATTTAATAAAGCGTAAACTTTTGATCAATAAAGAAAAAGATGTACATTGACTTTTAAATCAAGGTAAGCCATATATTGAGATCACTCGTGAATGTGGTGTCAGTGGGGCATCTCTCAGCTCAAATTTCAGTGTGATTTAAATCGTCCTTTCAATGAATCTGGACTTCCAAAGATCATGAATAACCGGGATGTAGATCGACTTGGTCGACAAGTAACATCGGGTGCGATCGTATCTGCACAGAAAGCTTCGAAACTTATATAGACCTGTTGTAACCACCGTATCGAGGGCATTGCATTTTGTGGTCTAAACGCGAATAAAAAGTTAATTAATCCGCTTTAACAAACCGTCACAAGCGACTATAATTTGAAGTTTGTTAAGAAGAACGAAAAATTCGTCCGTTCATGACTAGTAAAAAAATTATTTTTATGGCGAGAACAAAATTAATCGATGTGGTTCAGAGGGTATTAGAGGACGTTAGAAGCGCTCCGGTGATAATCGAATATTTGGTCACGATTTGGTCCTATATAAGATATAAGGGGGTTAGATTTTCGGAAAAAATGAACGGGAGAATCACGGCAAACACGTATTTAGACATTATTAAGGATGACCTGCCCAGAACATTCGATTGGTATGACCTTAATCTTGATGAAATGTACTGCCTGTCACACTGCACTATCGACGCGAGCATGGCTCCAAATACAGTAATTCCCAGTGCTAGCCCGACTCCGCAATCTCTTGAGATCTTTATGAATGGGGAATTTAGATTAGGAATAGGGAACATAGGGGTCAGCTCCTGCTAAACCGGACAAATTATGGACTCGTGTACAAACAGAATGAGAAAATATAGCGCCGACTATGATCTGTTAAACAGCATCTCAAAGAGGATACAAGCAGTTATTCGGGCTTAAAGGAGCTATACTAATTATTGAGAACCTCGTTTATAAAATTAAAAATTTTCCAGGTGCAAAATTTTATAAGTTCATAGCTCTTCGAATATTAAACCATGAGATTAAGTATAACAAAATGTAGTTAAACCTAGAAGTTTACTTTGTATAAAATGCAAAGTAATCAGTCAAGTTATTAAAAATTTATATCCTATTAAAGGATAAATGCAAAACAATAAACACAAATATGAACTATGGTGTAGAAAGTTAAGTTTTTATGCATTTACCAAAGTAAACATAGGTAAAAATGCACCAAAGATTAAAAGGAGGAAATGTATGAATTATATATTGTGCAAAGCGATAAGACTGACAGGGGCACTATATCCTAGGTTTGATGGAAAGATCAATTTAAAATTATATAAAACAATAATTCGTCCTATCTTAACCTATGCTTCTGCGTAGGGCTACTACTCTTACAATATTATTAAGCGAGTATAAAAGTATCATAATGAACTATTGCGGATGTCCACTAATGTTAGCAGGAGAAACTACACCAAATACCCTAGCCTTAAACACACTCTCGGGTAATTAAGTTGTACTATTGGTATTTACAGCAGTTTATAAACTAATTTGAAATATGGATGAAGGGCGAATTTCAAAGTTACAATTAACAATTAATACAATTCTCATGAAATGAAGTTCTTTAAATTAAGTAGCGTAAAGGTTTTGATGCATCTGATGTGCAGATTATTTCCATTTAAAAGTTTAAGGCGCACAATAATTTGGCCTTTGGTAACATTGAATCCAAATTTGTGTCAATAATTACATTGCTCTTTTATTCTGGGGCATGGGATTTTTCGCTATACACATAGATGAGCAATCTCCAGAAAACATTTTGTTACTTGAAAAGAGGTCATAAATTACACGTTTATAGATGTCCATAACATTTATGATATATTAAAAGAATTTACTAGAAGTTACTGAAGAAGAAAATTCTGACTGGACCTCTGGAGCCTCTTTTAACGGACTCATCGGAATATTGGTTATTAATGTAATATAGACCTAAGGTAACATATTTTCCTGGCCGTCGTTGCGACCGGCATGGTGATTAAGCCAGCGTTGCAGCAACCTCAATACCCTACCAGGAAAAAGAACGAACGATAAGCGTGCAAGAAACTTTTTACTTAATACACCCTATCTTTAGAATAAAATTTGTTTTTGTAAAGAATTCGCCTACACCAAAAATTGATCGCGCTTTCCTTGCTGTATAATAATGTTGCTTGCAGTAGAAATTATTATATTGCCTTGCCCTTGTTCTCCTCCTATTAATCGAGCTGCTGGTCCAAGTGAACTGATACTATCTTTTACTAACAAATCTATTCTTGATTTCTAGAATTTGTTGTAAATGATAGTAGCGCTAGTTAACTTTTATATAGTGGCTTAAGTTTATTTACAGCGTTAATGTCGGCTTCATAATCTATCATTGTAGCCGACGAAAACCGTTATTTATGCAACCTATAAAGCGTCGTTTGGATAACTGGAGTCAGAGTTGAAAGCATATATTTGTATGCTCATAAAACAATATTTTTTTCGATAGAAGAGATTAAGTGGGGCCTTCGGCTATACTGCGATGGTGTAAACATCTCTTTCTGATTTCTAAAAAAAAGGATTAGTTAGATGTTCGACACTGGTCTACTTAAGTTGCTGTGGAGTTAAGCTTTTCTACGCTCTACTTTCAGTTTAAACAATCTTATTTCATCTTTTTTC